CCTGGTTACATACTCTAATCTTCTCAACTCTACTCTACACAACTCAACTCCACTCTACTCTGAATTTACTCTGAATCTACTCTACACTACTCTAAATCAACTCTACCTTAGTCTAAATATACTTTACTTTAGGTACTCTAAGGCCCGGTTGCTCGTACGCGGATCACATTTTGATCCGGGATTAAGCCGAGTTTGATCCGGGATCAAATATGGCCGCCGTATCAAGTGTTTCTCAAACGTCAAAAATTCGGAATTTAATCCGACTTCGTTGATCCGGGCTTAAGCCTGGATCAAATCACATTTTGCGTTGCTCGAAACAAAAATCGCAGGATCAACTCGGGATCAATTAATCCGTGGCCAAGGTGGGATTAAGCTGACGAACTAGCGTTGACAGCGTTTATTTTCGTGATTTTGACTTACATTTGTTGGTGCTTTTGAGGTTAAATTAAACGAATTCCGGTTATTATTATCCAATTTGAAGATTAAAGAAAAGGTTTCTAGTAAACGTAAGTAAATTATATTTATTTTATATGTAACATAATTAATTACACACGAAATTATTTTAGAACATGTCCGATTTATCAAATTTATCGTCTTTGAGCGACCTCGAAGAGCCTGCACATCGAGTGAGACGTCGTATTCTTCGCCCTCGCCGCGATCCTTTTAAATAAAACTAAAAAATAAAAAAATTAAATTAAATTGTACTTGATAATAATTGTTTTTTTTATAGCAATTAGGCCTTTAATAGGCCTTATCCTCAACAATATGTTTATATCTAAGCAGGAGGGAAAAGATGTGATAATTAGGAAGGTATTTATCTAGATATAGGACCGTAGGAAAGTTATCTGGTAAAGAATTAACGAATTTAAACAACAAAATACTAAAGTATCTGTAAGAAATTTGTATGTACTTACTTTTTAACTAGATCTAATAGCTGATTTTTATCCGTGAAGGAAAAATTAGTAGCTCGCTTTGACATTGTTACAACTTCCAACGGTCACGTTCACGGCACGAATGTAATTACGTAGAATGTCAAAAAGGCGTTAATTTCAGCCGAAAAAACCGGGAATCAGGAATTATAACAAATAAAATCGTTTTATTTGAGGTTGTGAAACCGATTTCTTCTTTTTAAATGACTTTATTAAGTTAAATTTTAAATTTTGTTGTCTAGAAATGTCACTTTTGTCATTTTTCATTCGATTAATCGAAATAATAGTAACAAAATAATCGAATTATGGCTTAAGCTCGGGATCAAACCGGGCTTAGTTGATCCGAGATCAAAAAAGTTTTGTGCAACCCGAGTAAAGAGTTAATCCCGTACTAACTTTGATCCGAGATCAGTTGATCCCGAACTTGATCCGCGTACGAGCAACCGGCCCTAAATCTACTCTACTCTGAATCTAATACTTTACTCTACACTGAATCTACTCTACTCTAAATTCTGAATTATACATTACTCGGCAATTTACCACCGCTTGCGTATGTTACAGTTAATCGATTTATCTGATCAATGATAATTGTTTTCGTAGATTTACATACATAGTAGATTTATCCATTTATCTATCACAAAGTTAGCACGTATCGTTATTTGCCTCGTCGTACGGAAAACGTTTAGATAGAATTAAGAAAAAGCGACATTTTCCGGACCGTTCCTCCGGTCGTTAAGCTCATCAAATTTTCGAACGGCTGTAAACAAGCGGCCGCCGTGGCAGCGGAACGCCCGATTCCGCAGCGTTCGAGAGAGATAAATCGCTTTTTATCTTGAATAAAACGAAAACTTTCCGAATCCTCCCGGTTGTATCGGAACATTACCGGGCTCTTCGACGCAGGGAAAAAAGTTTCATTTCAGCCCTGCGAGTAAAAAAAAGTGTCGGGGCGAAAAAGGATTGTCTTACCGCGGCGCTTCTCAATAAAAGCGCCGCGTCGCCCTGATAAAAAAAAAGGTCTAGGGGTAATTACGCTGCGAATATATATTTCGCTTGTAACAGATTAGAGCCGGTCGGTGTTGCTGTTTCGTCAACGCTAGGGGGGTTGATGTTCCGTTTTATTTTTATTAGAACAGCAAATTCGTGCGTTTGATTAATGGTATTGATTGTACGGAGGAAAATTGGTTTGGTAAATTGTTTCGTTTCGCTTGTAGAACGTAATAGGAAAAGTTTCCTTATTACTTACCGAATGGGTTGAAATGCGACGTTTTTTTGCATATTTTCATTACAAAGTAGCGTTTATTTGCATATTTTTCCGCTGAAATATTTCTTCGACTTCATTAGAAACGGCCAATTTTGTTGACACGATTTTAGAATCCGCTGATAAAAGAAGTAGAGGGAAGGAATAAAAAAAAACCTTAGATATCCGACACGCAACCTTATGAATAATGGATTGATTTTTTTCCGACCATTCATCCATTCATTCATTTTACCAACATAATATACGCATTATAAATCATAGACGCTTTCTATTTGGCACCGTTTTGCAGGTTAAGCAGGTACAGTCCTGCGATCCTCGTCGAGAAATTAAGGATGAGGCGGCGAAAACATACAAACACATAACTCTTCCGCAGGTTGAAATTAGTTCCATTCGGTTCTTGTCCGGAATGAAATTCGTAATGAGAATAGAGTCGGACCGGAGCGGTATAAACTCGCTACTGTTTTAATGCTTCTGCGAGAAGAAGTAATTGCATTATTAAAAGGAGCCCGAAAGTACACGCCGAGAAACCGGCGCTTGTTGATTAGATACGCGAAATTCCCTTCGAAGTTTACGTTTAAAAAAAATTATGCCCGCAAACATTGTTTTCGGTGTATTGCATAAAAAAAGCTGGGATGTTCCTAGCTGTGTTTTTAATTACGGGAGTATAAAGGGTGCGTATGAAATTGGATTTGTTTGGGGAAAAAATAGGCGAAGGTTTTCTTGCGTTTTCCCGCGCCATTGAAAATACTAGCGCGGCTTATATCCGATTGGGGCTCTCTTTTTTGATATACGGCAGCTGACAAAAGCGGATCCATGCCTCGGAAAAAGACTAATATCGGCGAAAGTACAAATGAAATATGGAACATGATGCGTTCGAAGCGTTTCTCTTCGGCGCTTTTTCACCGTCAAAGAATTTTCGGCGTAGCCGCCGCCTAGCGGAAATTTATATTTATACATACAGATATATCCCCCCTAAAAATAAATCCGTTTTCGCACAATAAATATTTTAAACGCGAAAGGGATTGTCGCCGAATCCCGAGCATCCTGTTGCTTCGTCTGCGCCGAATTAAGTCGTATTACGCGAAGAAAATGCCACATCGATTTCCACTTGAATTTTGTATATTTACAACTCTCGCATTATACCCAGCACGAGCCATTAAATCCGAGGGAAATGCTTTATCGCCGCCACCGACTAATATTTTAAAATAAAATCGACCTTCCGCTGGATGTGGCGCCTCGTTCATCTGTCCTGCCTCTCGGCTGCTACCCCCTGGTGTAAGTAATTCGCGGGTTAACCCGTTATTTCGGCCGCATTTAACCCGTAATGTATTTTCAAGGGTGGGTTTTTAACTTGATCCGTAAACAAACCGCGAAAATAACAGTCGCTTTCTTCTAGTTTGCGATGGAAATCTATAGGAAATATCGTTTGTGTTCTTCTTTTTATCAAATATATTGTTTATTTCTGTATAATAAATGCATAGAGAAACCGAAAATAATCTGGAATAAGTTGGGAGTTATCAATTCGAATGGCCTCGTTTGGCGTTGCGACGGCCAGCTGTAGCGCTTTCGAAGCGCCCTCTACAAGCGGCTTTTATATTTCGGTTTATTTTCGAACGACCCCACTAGCATTTAATCTTGTATTTATAAACGTCGTTTTATGCGAAAATGTTCGTATACATAATCGCCTGCACGGCCGGGGCCCCGGAGCTCGATAGCGGGAATGATAACATAACTGTTTTCATAAAATAGAATTTCCACCTCGTCATCGGTGAGCGTTTACCTCTTTACCTCGAACACGCCGGTGTATATCGCACGCTGCGGTAGCGGAAATTTTCCTCTTTATTTATGCGACGAGAAAATCGCTTCTTTTTGAATTATATTATTGATTATGCTCGATATGCTGCACTCGCTGCAATACTTTTCTCTTAGTATAGTCGGGTGATAAAGTATTCTTTACATTTACACTCCAATTTTAATTACCACTATTTCCAAGTACTTCTAATGGACCATCGTCGTGAGACAGACTGTATAAAATGTTTTAATGTGAATGGTATTTTTTGAAACTATGCGCTAATGCGTTTTTTGCTTTTATATATGGAAAATTTTCTGTATAAAATAATTATGTATTTTCGAGCGATATGCAGGATAATTGCGCTCGACAAATGTTGTAATATCCTCTCGAAAAGTGCATTCGAGGGATTTTGGAAAATGCCGGAAATTGTTGCATTTAGTGTGGAACAGAGTAAAAATTTTTGCCGTCTGCGACATTCCGGACGACACATTTTAATTTTAATGCGTCGAGAGAAAAAAATGGCGGAGGAATAAAGTCGGTTAATTGTCCTTTTGTTTTTTCGTTTGTAATTGAGACGTTTGTTGTCAAACGGGCGTCTTTTTCCGGTCTCATGCAGCCGCTTAATATTCCACCGCCGGCGAATTATATATTTCTGTTTCCGCCCCGTCTTCTTTATTAAGAGGTTGGAAATAAAACCAATTACGCCACTTTATTAAAAATTCGAAAAGGATTCAATTTTAAAAGTGGAAATAATTTAATAAACCTTGTCCCGCGCGATAAGCCCTATTCCGGAGTCGTTCGTTATTCTGCTTGAAGTAAAAAGTAAATAAATAAAATGGCTCTTTTTCTTTGTCGTAGCGTTTTCCGACTCGAATCCCGCATTATTTATTCGATATCCGAGTTCATTATAATCACACCACATTTGCGTTACTATACAGGGTGTCACAAAACTCTCTGCCTAACAATCAAAGCTATACAAGATCTTTTTATAGCGTGTAAAAATCGAATTGTATTGTTCCAGGTTTGTCATGGAGCTCGAAAAAAACGGTTACATCTAATCCCGTAGGATGGGAGTCGCCCTTTCATCGAGCACCCCGCAACGAAGATTCGTTTTCACCCGAAGGAGACGCTCCTACGACCATCGTAACTGAGGGATACATTAGTTAACTGCCCCCCTAAATTTCCGCTGTTTAGTACCTAACATGTACGTTTCGATAGCCCCCACTTGATGAAACGACCAGTCCCCGCTTTGTATTGATATCGCCCACAGACATGGAGTCCACACGTCTGCTGATATACACTTTGTGGATGCTGATTTTCCCGGAATTATTTACAGGTAAATTTTTGTAAATATTTTTATTAATAAGTGGGATTTTAAGATGCATTTACGGTTCTATATATTTCTAAGGTCTGGAAATATAGGTCTAAAAAGTGTCCCGATATTTAAGGATAAAACAGGGTTCCTAAAACGGCCGCTAGGAGGCGATGTTGTAAAGGAACACGGTTTTTTGCGTACGAATTATATAGAATTAGCATTAAGAAAGGTTATATCCCAACTAAAAATAGATACAAAATATAAAAATATACTTAAATCAGCGATGATTTTGTTGCTACCATCATGCCTCTCGTATCTTCGGTTAATGTATTTCTCCATTTTCTTCTTAAAATGTCAAAAAATTATTTTTGAAGTTTTGACAGCTTGAACTGTCGTTTCACACAACCGCGATTTATATGTAGCGCGACGCTGATTGGCTGAGATAAGTTGGTCCTCCGATCGTTCGCCAGGCTCAAATAAGGGGAGACATTCTCTAATGCATAAGCATAGGGAGTTTCTAGAACTTAAAAATATAGGGCCGTGGGACGCGTTCGAGGAAACTTACAAAAATAAAACTGTCAAAATTGACATTAATGACATTTCGTTTAACACAAATTTAATAGAGGTGGGAATTGATTTTTGGTATAGAGGTGCAGTAACGACTGTTACAAAATAAGCGTTATTTTCATCGTTTATCTGATTATTATACTCTACTGCACTATAAATCTACTCTACTATTTTGTATTATTTTAGTATTTGATTTATTGGGTAAAGAATGCCCACCATAATTTTCTGAACTCATTGTTCGTTGCCAAAATGGACCAAATGAAGATGAAAGCGGGCGAGTAGCCGAATATCTTAAGCGAGCAAAGGCAAACGGGATTTTCGCTCTATATTACCTGTCTTCCATTCGGCCCTGTGTCGGCATGTTAACAGCCATAGGGAGAGAAACGGGAGCTCTGAAAGCATCGCCCGTATATACCTGTAGGATAACAGACGGAACGACTCGCTCTTCTCTCTCAATTTCATTTCGTATGTTTTTCGGAATGTTATCATTCCGAGGTCTCGAGTGCTCTACTTTATTCCGCCGCATGACTTTTTAGATTTTAGGAAATTCCATCGAATTCCGAAGGGTTCCGCGCACTTTCTGTGTTATTGCATAATGAGATTAGGTCGTCGAGCGAGCGAACGGAACAAATATTAAATTTGAATTTCAATATAGCAATTTGAAGGTTTTTCTTTTACGCGTTTACCTGGACGCTTTGAGGCGCCCGAAGAAGCGGCAATGGCGAAAGATTAGAGCCGCGTGTAGGGAAAATTATTTATTAGCTACGGCAACGTCGCTTTTTTTTTCGTCGAGTTTTTCGCCTGATTTAAATCCGAATAAATTTCCGAAAGATTCACGAGGTTTTACCCGTAAAAATGACGGAACTTTCACGAATCGAAGGACCGTTAAGTTGAGGTTTTCGATAATAAATTACCGGGAGTATAGCGGATGTATGGAGGTAGTGGAAGAGGTAGAAAAAAGGGCCGGGCGCTTTTTAAAATATACCGGACCGAATTGGAGCACTCGCGAAATAATATAGCGATCCGTCCAATTTTCGAGTAAATTTACCGATCTTAATCCAATATCTCACAGTTCGACTTTTTGGATCATTTCCAATTTCCAGTCTATTCGCGATGCGACGAAACGTCTTTTTGCCTCCGCAAAAAGACAGCAAATAAACGACTTTCTCCTACATAGGACTGCTCTAATAAATAAAAATACACCGACAGACAGGTATTATTTTGATGTATATATTTTTACTTCAATTTTTAAATTAACTACTCTACTCTACTCTGAATTTACAACGAGACTCTGCTCTAAATCTACTCTACTTTAGAGTATAGTACGAGCCCAAAAGGAATTTGTTATTTAAATAGACGTTTTTGGACAGTAGAGCTTTCGAGTTGGAACCAACTTGGTTTTATAATAGTAGTTTAATGTGTTAATTTAGGCGTGCATAAATTAACACTCAACTGACACGGACATAAAACTTTCATTACCCCGTGCATTATTAATTCCTAGGCAATTAAAACTATTTAATATTTACATTTTAATTTATTCGTAGGGTATAAAATTTTTATGATTTGCCGCGGAATTGAATGGTGACAATTCGCGCTCTATGCGTGAAACGTTACGCCTAAATGCCCGCTAATAAAAAGGAGTTTCCTTCAATCTAAAGTTAGAATTGCATGGCGCAGAGCGACGTGCATCTATTCTGCATATATCGCCTGAAAATTTCGAAATTTATATGCTAAAGCGATTCAATGCGAGAGGCACAAAGTGCGGTCGCTTCGCTGTGATTTTCGAGTTTTCCGATGCGAAAAGCGCTCTTTTCTATATCTTTCCATACGTGCCTTTTGATGCTTTCGAATAAACATTTTTTTCATAACGATATTCGCTACTCGAATGGACACTTTCCTTTCGAGATTACCACAACAACCGAAACTCGCCCCGACTCCCGAGTTTATACGTCCCCAAGACAGAAGTAAATTCCCTTAATTACCCGGAATTGCATAGTTCAAGAACTTTGGAAGATCAATTTGCAAGGGGATTAGGATGCTTGGGGATTAGTTTACAGAGGTACTAACTCTCCAAAGGGATCAATTGCGGGATAATTACTGTTATATTCTAAATGTTTATAGCTGAAAATTGTTTGGTGATATGGATACGTTGTATCCAATTTGTAATTTTTTGTTATCTTTAAATGTGACTGGAAATACCTGAGCATCGTTTACCTATTCGTGATATAATAAATTATTCGAATAATAATTACGTGTAAAAAGTGGAAATGTAATTTCGAAGCGCTCGAAAGTTCGTTTTCTTAAATTAACTTAAATAACAAAGCACGAATTGGAGCAACTCAGCTCGGTTCTTCCACTATGCAAGAACGTTACATTATAAATATTCAGGTTGTTAAAATATTAAAGCTTTATGCTTATAGCTTGTTCAATTAGCAGCCATTTTTACCTAGTCGTTGAATTTCCTGTTTCGAGAGCTAATTAATAACTTAATAAGTAATTAGCAATTTGTGCAGTCGCCTATTTATCCGTTAGACGATTTTAATATAATACTTTCAGTGTTACATATATTGCGTTTTTCATTAATATCAAATCCTCCTTTATACAACACGAGTCGCAATTCCGCTGAAATAACAACGTCTCGAAATTGTGCAAAAGATCATATCATTCCGCGATTTTATGGTCAATATACGGTTTCTTGCGGGAACTGGAAAACTCTCGAGAAAACACATTAATACAACAAAAACAGCATAAAAGCTTCGCGCGCTGTTTTCAGCGGCGTCGGAAAATGATGCTCTCTCCATTGTCTTTTTTTTTCACTAACGAATTTTATGAGTTTCTGGACACTGTATGGCGTACACTGCTCAAATTAGTTAGAGTACAATTATTCTTATAATTTTTAATCATCCTGTATATCGGACAATTAGTAAATTGAAAAAAACATCCTTTCTTCGATTTCTATAGTCCACTTATCTTTCCGGCTTTATTATACAAATTATAAACCAAACAACAATGTTGTGTACTCCTTCTGCAGGTTGTTGAATGAAATAAAATTGAATTGGCTTTCAATGGTAAATGTTTTTGTGAAAGTTTTGATTTGCCTTCATTTAAGAAATAAGGAAGTTTTCCTCTTGAAAAATTAATGAACTCGAACAATAAAATTGTATTCTTAGGTATGCTGTAGGAATTCCGAAAAGACTTCAATGTACTTGTAGCGAATTAAAAGCAAACATGTTATACGCGAACGAGAAATGTATTTCTGTCAAGATTCTCTATTTTTATGGGTTGTTTATTTTATATTAGAATCGAATATGGATGGAACGTTGTAGAGAAATTGTATATGTGAAAATAGTTTTCGAACAAATAAAGCGGCCCTTCAACGTTTAATTCGCGCAACTCAATGCAATATTTTCCAATTATTACAAACGTTAAAATACCTCAATCAAAGCGAAAAACATATTTTAATTAAAACTTTATCGGAAAAATGTTCGAATATATGCCCATACGCGCGCTTACTGGAAACATCGATGCATACATTACATTTTGCAGATATTTCTATACATATACCTACAGCGCTTTGTGATTTTTCAGTCTTCCATGAAGGAGAGGCCGCGTACGCAGTCAAACGTTTCACGGGGTTGTACACGGGCCCCTATTTCGATCCCACCACCACGACCAACATCACCACCCAATTGGGCACCCACGCTTACATACCCTGCAAAATCAAGCAGCTGGGCAACAAGTCGGTGTCGTGGATCCGAAGACGCGACGCCCACATTCTCACTGTAGATAGGTAAGATGATTTTTTCTTCATTTCAGCAGATCGCCTCACAATATGTGATAAAAAACTGTCAAAATTGGCATTAATGACATTTCGTATGACAGAAGTTTAATAGAGGTGGGAGAATTTTTTGGTATAGAGGTGCTGTAACGACTGTTACAAAATAAGCGTTATTTTTCAAATATATCGAATCTACTCTAATCTCCTTTAGCTCCAAGCAGAAATAAAGTAATAAATAAGGTATAATTACAAGTCACGTGCTCAATCAGCGAGTCAGGTAGTTACTGGCAGTTGTATTAAAAGTTCGTCGCAGACGAAATCGATTATTTATCAGGTATACGCGAGCGAATCGCGTTGACATATTGAAAAAAAAATAAATTGTTTCGCGAAGAGGGGTCGACGAAAATTCGGAATTTTCGTCGGGCGAAAATTGGGTTCGCGGGAATCGAGTCGGGCCGTGTGCGTCGAATGGCAGATATCTAACGTGGCCTCCGACGTGACGAGTCCGCAACGAGGGGATCTAATTCCCTCTTCTCGAGTTATATGTACACGTCTTACCTGCGGGAAGGGCGCCCGGCGTCGCTCGGACACGAAGGAAATGGCGAAGACGAAACTGATTTTTACATTAGCCGGATCGTTTCCATCGAAACGTCTCGGCGTTATGGATTTTCGCGATCCACAGCCGGTTTTTATTGCGACATTTTCGACTTAACATCTCTACTTTAAAATAACGTGTACTACTATATTATTATACTCGAAACTTTACAGCTAATGGTTTCCGATAGAGATATAAGAAAAATTGCCAATGGCGCTGGATTATTTCGAATATATTGGATATATTCCATCTGTGTGTGTGTATATTTTTGGAATTGATTAACTACATAACCAAAATTTTTGCGGTGTTAAATGAATTCCATTTGGGATAATAATAGATAGGTATACAATTATCGGGCGGATTAATCGTAATCAATTAATTTGATATGCAAATGAACAAAGCGGTCCAATTCCGAATTGCAATATGCTCCGCGGAGTTTAAGACTAATGCATATTATTTATGCATGCACAATAGAAGTGCATTTTCTATACGAAAACAATTAATAAATCAAAACCGGATGCGATCGATTCGATTGGATTCCGTCCAATTTTTTTAATTATCTCACGAACTCTTTTCGGCTTTATTCCGGTGAAGACGGAGCCCTAAACCCGTATTTTCCCGTCGCAAATATATTACGACAGTTTCCTTCTCTGTACGACCGTCAGACGGAAAACACGCCGCCGATACTCTTTAGGACGTGTGTCCGATCGAGGATTCGATCGAGCCCTCAGGAGACGCTCTCCCGTCCGTTCGGGGGTTTCTTTTTACGACGATTTACTCTCCCGAGCGCCCGGAGACTAATCTCGAAAGTATGGGCGAAAGAGATTCGCGTTTATCGGTCACGGATGATATATAAACGACGTGGCGCGGCCGATGGAATGACGATTTTAATTATTTAATTTCGGTGCACCGGATTTGGAAGAAACTTTCCTTTGGGACAGTCGAAGAAGTTTGGGAACTTTCATAAATAAATTTTGTTTGTGACATATTTGACAGTTCGCGGCCAACTTCTCATCTCAAATAATTGGAATAATTCTTGCGATACATTTAATTATTAAATTTGACATTTCACAGCCAACTTTTTATCGATACTTCTTACATTACTGCTACATTACTTACTAATCACATTAATACTTATTTGAGATAAATACATTTCATACAGGTAAATACATTACACAGACATTTCACAGAATATATTTGTCATATTTTGACATTTCTCCGCCATCTTCTCATTTCAAATATTTTGACATTTCGCGGCCAACTCAAATACTTCTTGCGGTACGTTTTGATAATAATATTTTGGTGTTTTTCATGCGCAGGTACACATTTATAGCCGACGATAGGTTTCAAGCGTTTTTCGTGGAAGCTACTGACACGTGGACGCTGCAAGTGAAGTACGTGCAAGCCCGAGACGCCGGACAATACGAATGTCAAGTCAGCACCGAGCCGAAGATGAGCCATTTCGTTAACTTGAATGTAGTCGGTGAGTTTTTTCGTTTTTTTTTTGAAAACCAAAACCGAGAAAGGTGCTTGCTTTTAAAATGCTCATAAAAATTAGCCTTTTTGGATGCAAAATTGATTTGTTGTCCGAGAGGTAAAAGGCCAAAGATGTTTTTTCTTGACATTTGACGGTTGATATTTAAATATATACCGATTTTAGAAATCAGCTTATAATTTTCTTAATCTAAAGCCGTTGTACTTTCACAATTCATGAGAAAATCGACCACACCTTTGCTTGATATTCCTCAAGATATTTTTTATGGGTAATTTACCCCACATTCGCGATTTTACTTTAGCGAATTTCTTTAATATCGTCCGCATTAAACCGAATAGTTACAAATTTGGTTTTAACGTCCCATTAGGAACATATTTAAAGCATATAAAATAGTTAATCTTCGACGGTTATGAAACGTTCCACCGTCATAAATCCAGAAATTTAATTAGGAAACTATTCTATGAAGTTGTACGGAAAAACTTCACGCTCAATTTCCAGTTTAATAAAGTATGATTTAATGTAAAAGTACAAGAATTTCTCTATTTACGGTCGCGCTCGAAAAACGGGTCGTTTCCTCGCCGACTGAATTAAATCCGAACGATAATTACATTGCAATCGGTTCCGTTTAATAATCGGATTATTACCATCTCGGAATATCTCCCATTTTCTATTGTTCCTTAGCGCATCCGCCGCGGTACTTCCCGCGCCGCAATCCAATCGAATTTACCGCATTAATAGAAAACCAACCCAACCACCGGTACTTCCACCGGTATTATAATTAAACAACATCCGTTTCGCAGTGCCCAAAATCGAGATCGAAGGCGAGTCGGATATCTACGTGAAGCGCGGCAGCACCGTGCAGCTCAAGTGCGTGATCACGCAGTCCCTGGAGGAGCCCGCTTACATATTTTGGTACCACGACGGCGAGCGGGTGCTCAAGTACGACCAAAGCGCCATCGACATACGCATGTCGCGCAAAGGCACCGACACCACGGTCAGCACGATGACCATATTCCGCACCAGGCCGGAGGACGCCGGCAATTACACGTGCAGCCCGTCCAATTTGGACTCTGCCAGCGCCTATTTGCACGTGATCAACGGTTAGTATAGAGTTTTGGGTGCAAACGCAAGAAGGGTATTATTTTTTTTTGTCTTGTATCTTATATGGTTTCGATACTGTGCTGATGTAATTTTGGATGTAATTTTTCGCATACGTTCGGATTCGAGGATGTTTCCCGTGGTTGATTGACTCGTTTAGAGAGCGTTTGAGATTTGTTTTAGGTTGCTAATGGATTCGAGAGGAAATTGAAAGGAAGAGAAGTGAGGAAATTGCCGTGGAAATGATTAAAATTTACCGATCATCTGGAGAAGGCTGATGGTAATGTTAACAATTTTTATACTAATTTACTCGATTAGTCGGGCATTGAAAATAAAAGGTAATTAACCGAGTATTCCTGTTCTATATACTAATTATCCAGTATTTGGTCGTGTTATTTTTCTTCTTTCATATAGTACATTTAATTTTAACACCCGGAAATGGGCTGTGTTTATTTTTCGGTGAAAATTTAATTGGACTTTGTGGAATTACAACTGTAATGTTCGAAATTTAACAAGATTTGCACGGTCAACGATTTTGTTTTATTAAGCTTTGGCCAACCGAATTTAATTAATGGATTCATTTAATTCATTACGACAGGAGAATAAATTCAATTAATAGGTAAAACGGATGACGTCTATCGCAATTATGATTATTGGATAATTATTGATTTTCGATTTTCGGTCGGATGGATTCGAACAAACATTTGTTTGTGTTGCTGCATAACAGACACGGAGATGGCCGAAACGGAAGTGGTTCCGGTAAAGTAAATATCACTTTTGAATGCGATTATTTGCGCTATATGCGGGTCTTGTATTTATTTTATACCTCTGTTGATAAACGTAAACAGTTATCGAATAGGGGATGTGCCTAAGTAATAATTTTCCATGTTTATTTTTCCTGCACTATTACAGTTCAAAATAATTTCGCATGATTCGAATTATATTTTAAACCAATATCAACACTTCCCTATTTGTACTAATATTTTATTAAATATTCCATACCAAAATCATCTTATCATATTCAAAAAAAATATATAAGGAAACTTTTGATAATTAGTTTACTTTGATTTAGGAACTTCTTACGACGTATCCTATCCAACTTTACAAGTTTTTCTTCCATTGTGCGCTTCCTAGTGGATGAACGGGCGTCGGAGGTAATCAAGGAACATCAGGAAAGATGAAGAAGTTCGAAAACAACTTTTTCGACTTTCCATCAAACTTCAAATCTATCAAGATACTGTTATTGTTGACATAATAAACCTGCTCTGATTTAGTACTTGTGTTTCTTTTTGTTCAAAATTATTTAACTAATCAGTTAAGTAACTAGCTGGATATGTATAATATTTTTTCTTCCTAAAATACCCTCATTTATATTTCTAAGAATTAAATTGCTCCTTTATTTTTATAATTATAATAACTCACTCATTTATCTGAATATCAAAACAATCTGACAACGCTGGATGGCAGAATCTTAATTTAGACGTCACTGTCATTTTCTTCTTTTTATAAAACTGGGCTTCACGTATGTATTTATTCAGCCATTGTCTAAATGTCACTGTCATATGTCATTTGAAAAATATTTATACTGGCGGGTGGTGCGGTATCCGGTAACAACAATCAACATTGAGTCGTTAGTAATTGTTTATGCGCTATTTATTTATTTATTGTTGGCTCAGCGTTGATAAATAATTCCTAATCGTACCGGTGAGGTGTGTTAGGTATTGACTTTGCCAGTAGAAAAAGGAGTACATACATTCATTCTTATCTTCTAGTCAAATTTATTACCATTTGTTAAGTATTATTTGTCTTATAAGTGTTTAAATATATTATTTTTTTCTGTACAATGGGCGAAAATAGCCAAAAAAATCAGTTAAACGGGCCTATTATTGTCAATAGCGTCGTGCCAAAAAATCGGTAAGTTAAAATCCAATTAATTCAAGGTATTTTTTAATATCTACGTTTGAATTTTGTAGTAAATAAAATCGTTAGTTTAGGACACGTTTGAATGATAAAATTACTCGAAAAAAGCAATAAATCGATGTAAGAATTTAGCGAAATTTAAAAAATTATCTTCTCAAATATTCTTTTCATACCCATTAATTTCATAAAATTTTTATTACATAGATTCAAATCAATAACGATGATACAATATATTATTCATCAGGTACCTGCTTTTCTATAAATAGAAATATTTTTATAGTATTTGTAAGGAGACCAACATTTTCAAAGTCATAAAAATTAAGCCATAAAAGAAATTACATCATAAAGATAATTAAGTATTACAAAAAAAACAAGATCAATAAAATTCAATCAATTAAATGCCGGCTTGATATTTATGTAACCCAAAAGGGGCCAAAAGTTTTAATAAAAAAATTTACGTTCCAGCCAAGAATTAATAAAATGGAACGGATGGGGATACAATGATTCGAAATTCGTAATCAAAGGAGGATCTGAAGTATATTTTTCTGGAAGAAGGTAATTACAATAAACAAGAACAATTAATTCAGTTAATAATGGTTATTAATAATATTAACATAGTTATTTCAATGGAAATATTAATAAACGCCTATAATTAAAATTATTTTTTTTATCAATTATAATTTTACAAAAAAAATATACTCTATAATTATTCGATTGAATACAAGTTAATTAAAACCTGTTGTATACGTGGTTTTAGATACCCCATAGGAGAGCAAAGGCTCCCCCACATATACGGTTGGGTGAAGGACGTTTTCGATGTCGATTTATCGACGGCAGTGCCCAAGAAATTCAACGATCTTCCCGATGAAAAAGCTTACCCCAACCTGAACGTTACCCCAGAGATACTGGAAAAAATTTCGCATTTCAACATATCTTTCTCCACAAAGGTAGGCCGAAATCTCCTCCACTCGTACTTCTAAAACTACAGCAGAAAAATTGTAATCCAAAACGAGTAGTTATCGAGTGATTTATGAAGTATTAAAACAATAATTTCCTATGATTTTCAGGTTATCGATAGGGTGATAAGAGCCCACGGTCAAACGTTGCACGAAATTTATACACTTCAAAACTCAGTATTTCCTCGAATACCGGACGTTGTAATCTGGCCCACTTGCCACGAAGATGTGGTTAAAATAGTCAACTTTTGTCACGAAAACAACATCGTAATCATTCCTTATGGAGGAGGTACGGCCGTATCCGGAGCACCGGAATGCCCTCCCGACGAACAACGGACCATCGTATCTCTGGATACCTCACAGGTATTCATTATTAATAAGGCCATTTAAATTATTAACTCGTATCGTTTTAGATGAATAGAATATTGTGGTTGGATAAAGAAAATCTAGTCGGCTGCTTCGAAAGCGGCATCGTAGGTCAAGATCTGGAAAGGGAACTGAAAGTTCTGGGATTCACCACCGGCCACGAGCCCGACAGTTACGAATTCTCCAGCTTAGGCGGTTGGATAGCCACTAGAGCTTCAGGTGCGCCACCACCATTCCATCAAACGCCTTAGTATCATCTTATAAACTATTCCAGGCATGAAGAAAAACGTGTACGGCAATATTGAGGACCTCCTGGTGCACGTGAAAATGGTCACCCCCAGGGGCACTTTGGAGAAGAGTTGCCAGGCGCCTCGGCTCAGTTGCGGCCCCGACTTCAATCACTTGGTACTGGGATCGGAAGGATCTCTGGGCGTCATTACTGAAGTCGTGTTGAAGATCAGACCGTTGCCCAAGTGCCAAAAATACGGTTCCATTGTGTTTCCTTCGTTTGAAAAAGGCGTCGAATTTATGCGAGAGGTACTTAATCTACTCGAAGTTAAAGTTTTATTGACTTCTACGTTGATTTTAGGTGGCGAAAAGACGATGGCAACCGGCCTCGATCCGGCTAATGGACAACGATCAGTTCAAATTCGCTCTCATCCTCAAACCGGAATCCTCGTACTTCGCTCACGCCTTGGACGCCATCAAGAAATTCTACGTGACCACCATCAAAGGCTTCGATCCGAACCGAATGTGCGTCATGACCTTACTCTTCGAAGCGGACGAGAAACAAGTGGAAACCAACGAGAAGAATTTGTACGATTTGTGCAAAACCTTCGGGGGATTCCCGGCGGGCGAGACGAACGGCGAACGGGGCTACATGCTGACGTTCGTCATCGCCTACATAAGAGTAATTAATGCTCAAACGCTAGCTAAAACGATTTGTTAACAGTCATTTTGCAGGACCTCGGGCTCCAGTTCGAAGTCGTGGCGGAATCGTTCGAGACCTCCTGTCCCTGGGACAGGGCCGTCACGCTCGTCAGGAACGTGAAGCACGTGGTGGCCGACGAATGCCGGCTGCTGGGCATCACGCGCTTCCTGATCAACTGTCGCGTCACCCAAACCTACGACGCCGGTTGCGTGATCTACTTCTACTTGGCGTTCAACCACAGGAACGTGGGCGATCCGGTGCGGTTGCACGGCAGGCTGGAGACGCGCGCCCGCGAGGAGATCGTGTCGAGCGGCGGCAGCGTGTCGCACCATCACGGCGTGGGAAAGTTGCGGCGGAAGTGGTACGGCAGTACGGTTTCGGAGGCGGGCGTGGGCCTGTACATGGCCGCCAAGCGGCAGCTGGATCCGAAGAATATCTTCGCTACCGATAATTTGGTGACGCAGGCTAAATTGTAACGCGTTTATTTACCGCGAGCAGTCGTAATTCTATTTGTAAAGACGATTTTTCAATATACGGTGTTCATGTGTGTTTAGTACGAGTCTTATTATATTTGATAAAAAAGAAGAATGGTCGTATGACACAAACGTAAGAGACCGGTGGAAGCTAAAACTTGACAACAATGACATATGACATTCTAGAATGTAAGGTTATGTTTTGTTATAGTTAATCGTAAATTTTGTTTACTCTACTAGTTTAACAAATAAAACAACCCTTAGTGATGGCGGACAGGCTAACACAATTGCAAGATTGCATAAATAAAGTAAGTAACTAAACCAGCGAGTAACAGCGAGTGTTTACACTCCATGTTTTTTAGCAAGCGGAACATTTTTGCAACAGTATCGGAATCCTCCAGCAGTTCGCTCCGCCTAGTAAATTCCCAAATTTCGACAGGAGCGGGTCGCAGACGCCTCAACAACAGCACAATCAAGAAGACTACGTTCAGTTGTTCACTACGCTAATCGCGAGGTGCGCCAAGGATATCGATACGCTCATCGAATCGTTACCGAGCGAAGAAAACTCCACCGAACTGCAAGTAGGCACTGAAAGCATCTTCACTAATCATTCCCGTTAGCTATAACAACGTTTGTTTCAGTTGCAGAGCTTGAAAACCCTGGAGAAAGAGAACCAAGAGGCAGCCGACAGGCTCGAAGCCGTAGTGCGGAACGGCCAGGAATTGCTGGAGAAAATCCAATCGGCCCTCAGCGACATAGCGCAAGCGCAGCTCGACATGCAGCATTTAACCAAATCCATCGCCGAAGGCAAGGAATTGCATTGAACTACTTCCCTATTATCCTTTAAGATTTTTTATATCGAATTTATTATTTCTTTACTATTAAATTATTTCAAATGTTCAGATATGCTTTTTAACATCAAAAAAGTATTAATTTTCGACGCAGGAATCCAGCAAACATTTAGTTTTGATCACGTTGGCGTAGTATTTGGACGAGTCCTTGGCTATCCTGGGTAGAGAAGGATCGGACTGATTAACGAAGTAAATCCCCAATTTTCCACTAGAACGAAACAAACGGTATTAACAACGTTAAGATAAGGAAAACCCTAGATAACGGAAGCTTACTTGAATCCTTGGGTCCATTCGAAATTATCTATAATACTCCAAAGCGTGTAAGATACCACATTTACACCTCCATCGTGGATGGCGTCTAACATGTGACTCATGTAACTCTACGAATAATTAATAATTAGTAAGATTATATGATTATTTATTAATCTGGTTACTTTGATGTAATCGATTCTGTGTTGATCTCGCAGCGTTCCCGACCTGTCCGTGTCCGATACCCCGTTTTCGCTGATAACGATTTCAACGTCCCCGTATGTGTGCTTGATCCATCTCAGAAGTTTCCCGAAACCCCACGGAACAATCTACGTAACGATAAATTTACGATTAACGTAAGTACGGCCCTGTATTACTTAGTAGGCTTGGAAACTGATTGATTTGGTTCGAAGGTTCACGGAAAATCCGCTAGGAGCGCTAGTGTCGGATAGGGTTCTCAATACACTTCATTTACTTAATTCAATTACAAATTAAATTAAAATTGTCGTAAGTTAAATAAAAATGATATTTGGAAAGCAAAATAGTGGAATGGAAAATTGGGCTTAAAAACGTACGATTAAACAACACTACCCGATACTAGCGCCATCTGTCGAGAATCACATCATCCGCAACACATTTTAAACGAGAATTAGAAGGATTTAAAGGCTAGGATTTAAACAAACTAACTTTGAACCAATCGATTGCAGCAGTTTTCCAAGTACTCTTTTGGTAAACATCCACTTGGGCGTCCTCTTCCCAGCTAACCGGCGGGCTTCGCGATTTGGTCCCTCTAGCTTTCACCATGTACGTCGTGTAATGATTTAGAGCGATGTAATCGTAAGTACCTAAAAAACGATAACTTATTATCAGAGTTACGCGATGATTCAGTTTATAAAACCTTTTATCAACTTCTTTTCTTCTTCGCTGAAAGGCGGCAGACGGGACTGATTGAAGCCCTGCTGGCGACTCAATTCCCCTACGTATTTGGTCATTATTTCGGGCCAGTCTCCTTTTATTATCGGATTCATGTACATTCCATACTAAAAAATATATCCACTACAACCTCACCAATAAAAAATCTTTCATAAACTTACCACAAACTGCCGTTTGATTTCCGCCGCCTCGGCGTCCTCTTTGCTGTAAGTCTTGGGCTCGTACCAATCCGAATCGACCACTATCGTGTTTTGTGCTGAACACACAACGCATTATTCACTAATTACAACGTTATTGGAGCTATCTTACTTTTAAAAACTGGCCTGTACTTCTCGTCCCACAGCCTCCAGGCCTTGGCGTGCGCCAGCAGAACGTGCCTCGCGCACACGTACTCCCCCACGCCGGGCGACACCACCCCCGGAGCGAACACGCCCGCCCCGTAGCCGGCGTGGCAGATCTGCTTGGGCTCGTTGATGGTCACCCAGCTGTCCACGTACTCGCCGAAGAGCTTGTAGCAGAGCTCCGCGTACGCCTCGAACCAGTCCACCACCTTCGGGTTGAGCCAACCTGCAACGAACCGCTGCAATTGCTGCTTTATTATAGAAGTATTGCGCACCTCCTTGCTTCTGCAACGCCGACGGTATGTCCCAATGGTACATCGTAACGAACGATCTGATCCCCTTGGCTTTCAGTTCTTTGAACACGTTGATGTAGTAATCGACGCCCTTTTGGTTGATTTTATCGGCGGTGCCGTCCGGTAGGATTCGACTCCACGCTATCGAGAACCTGGAGTAGTCCACTCCGACCTCGGTCATGCAACGGATGTCGTCCTTGTAGAGGTGGTAGGAGTCGGTGGCGACGTCTCCGTTGGTCCCGTCGGAGGATCTGGAAGGTTTCTCGTGGAAGAAATCGTCCCAGACCTCGGGGCCTTTGCCGTCCACGTTCCAGGCGCCTTCTATCTGGTAGGCGGCCGTCGCGACGCCGAACCTGAAGCCCTTGGGGAACGGGCGGTTGGTGATGTTGTAGTTTTTGAACTCGTCATCGCCGTCTGCCGCCCTGCAAATGGAATTTGTGATGGATGGGTTCGGTTTACAAGCTGGTACTTACACTAAGGCTGCGAGAGAACAGGTTAGTAGCAAGCTGGGGAACCTCATAACTTATTGGTGAATCTAATAATGGTTGTGTTATGGGTAAATTGCCCTTTAAATAACTTTGTTTTTAATCATTTAATCATTTCGAGTGGTTGTATCAGATTATATTTTGATTTGATTTGAATATTTATTAGAAATTATATCATATTGCGTAGTAAAAGTTACTTATTCGTAGCTAAAAGAATGTTAAGAAGCTCGTTGAATTTACAAAATTGTATTATTTTCGGAAATATTTGAGATCTAAATTTGATGTTTAATTAATTGGAATTTTTGTCTGGTCCTATTTTTATCATTTTAAATTTATGTAGTAAGCATGATTAATCTTTCTCAATCTTATCATAATCTGAGTGCACTCAATTTTTTTACGTATGTATAATAATGGAGTATAAGTAGCAGTCGATTATACATGAATAAATCGAGCAAAATAGGTAGGCAATGTCTGTGAATATTTTATGTCTTAAAATATTTTAAATGTTTAAAATTTTAAAGCACTTTTAAAGGACTCGTAGTTACATGGAATTTTTTAATTTATCTGCTGAAGTTAATTACTTTTATTACGCTAAATTAAATCGCAATCGAAAATTTGAATGCATTTGCAATAAAAGTTTTTAAATTAGTTTTCTATGATTACTAGGTTCTTATAATTAATACTTCTAAACCGATTAATATTTTTATTTAAAAGTTTATTGTTGATTCTTAAAATTTGATTTAGTTTGCCAATGCAAAACGATGCGTTATCTCACAGTTAGGTAATCCTGATAATGAAACTAATGCAATATTCGTTTCATTTAAAATCCGATAAATAAAAATTTATGTAATTCAAACATCAATAATATACATATTTCGACTAATAATAATATCCTGATATTTTGTTACTATGTTACAATAACGGACTTCGGATTCAATTTATTCAATAAATTTAAAATCGTTATTAACACATAGAGAAATTATTTATAGTTTATTCATCTTATTGATCTTTAATCCAAGAATCGCGTATTAAAATTTTACAAGTGTTTTATTTGTACAAATTATCATAAACAGCCAGCGATAAGAAATCGCACATTTTTTCGATTCGAGTGGAAGATTGGCAAGTCCGCCAATCTGTAAATTTCACGTACATGATTAATTTTTTAAATGCATTATGCAACAAAACAAACCGCTGGAAGCCACCATAGAGAAAGAAAGATGCTTTTATGCAGCTCCACAAAAGTTAAGGTAGTTAACAAATATTGAGATTAATTTAATTAAAATTTTCTAGCCAACTTTAGTATGAGTTGTAGAGGTAGGGGCAAAAAAATCCACTCAGGTATGAGAGAAAACATTTAATTTCGCATATTCGAAAATTTGCTGATCAAAAAGTCAGTAACTTTTAAAATAATCGCAAAATTTCCAAATTTCCTTAACTTTTGTGGAACAGTTTATTTTGTCTATGGAAGCCACCTTCAAAAGAACCCCAGCTTCAAGGTGACTCGTTTCCATTAAATCCTCAAACATCGCCCGGACTAAACCTAAAACCAACGCTCCGCCAGTTGACCTAAATCGAAGGGCTTCGACTCTGCGTACTCGCTCGCCGGGACGTTGTTAAAAACGCCTCGAACTGCACTCGACAAACTCTCAGTTTAGTTTAGTAATAGTCAGTTTATCGCCGGTCCACCCGCAAGCCTACCGCCCGACCCGCTACATGTAAATCGAAATCCTCCGCGTGTGCGAAGAAGAGAGGGGCTATGCACGCACCGAAAACGCATCGAATCGCTGCATGCAAAACACAAATTACAAACACACACACTCGTTGAAACGGGAATGAGCAGACCGGTCGGGTACAGCGGACGAGCACATTTCCGCGCTTCGCCGTGTTTTTCGAATTAATTTATTCCAGTGAGAAAAGCGATCGCGGATCGCGAGGTGCTCGATGGCGATGGAGATGCAATCGAGGGACAGTTCGTTGCGCTGCCTGCCGAAAAGGCCGGCCGTCGACATCGAATTCCACGACGTCACTTACACGGTGCCCCAAGGGAGGAAAGGTCAGAGCTCCATTTCACTAACTCGATTAGCAATTTTATGAGGCCCATTGTTTCATATATTTTTTTTGTGTGTACGGAGATTCGTTTCGTATTGTATTGTATTATGTCGTATTGTCTTGGCAAGGTTTGTTTTAATTTTTGGGATTTTTTCGGAATGTTTTGTTCGTTGATACACGAAAATTCACTTTCACGGTTTGGACATATATTTTTACAGCAGAATGTGGACATACTGTATAATAATTAAACATCGATTAAAATATAACGCATGTTTCATTGACAATTATTTTTTATACTAATTGTTAATTTTTCAGAGCTCCATTTCACTAACTCGATTAGCAATTTTATGAGGCCCATTGTTTCATATATTTTTTTTGTTGTGTGTACTGAGATTCGTTTCGTTCGCTCGGCTGTTTATGCATTGGGTCGTATTGTATTGTATTATGTCGTATTGTCTTGGCAAGGTTTGTTTTAATTTTTGGGATTTTTTCGGAATGTTTTGTTCGTTGATACACGAAAATTCACTTTCACGGTTTGGACATATATTTTTACGGCAGAATGTGGACATCCTGTATAATAATTAAACATCGATTAAAATATAACGCATGTTTCATTGAGAATTATTTTTTATACTAATTGTTAATTTTTCAGAGCTCCATTTCACTAACTCGATTAGCAATTTTATGAGGCCCATTGTTTCATATATTTTTTGTTGTGTGTACTGAGATTCGTTTCGTTCGTTCGGCTGTTTATGCATTGGGTCGTATTGTATTGTATTATGTCGCATTGTCTTGGCAAGGTTTGTTTTAATTTTTGGGATTTTTTCGGAATGTTTCGTTCGTTGATACACGAAAATTCACTTTCACGGTTTAAAATATATTTTCACAGCAGAATGTGGACATACTGTATAATAATTAAACATCGATTAAAATATAACGCATGTTTCATTGACAATTATTTTTTATACTAATTGTTAATTTTTCCAATTAAAAAAACCAGCAGTGTAACATGAAAAATAATATTAATGGACATTAAATCATCATTATCAATTTCCTAAACCTAATCTTTTATAAACGAACCTTCAAAATATAGCGTACTTAAAAATTTCTAAATAAATTTCATGCTATTTTTAAGAATTCTTTATTAATTAATTTACATCCGTAATTCGATCGTAATAAATTTCACGATATACGAATATTACTCGGCAACAATTGGAATAATTATTTTATTGAAGCTTATTACACTTACCCTTGACTGGTATTAAACGTTTGAGACGCATAGTTAAGGAAATTAACTATTTGATAACAATGTACTGTATGTATAACAGGCTAAAGTACATTATTAACAATAATATATTGGTTTTTGTAAAATTTAATACATGCCTAAATAAATTCTTGTAAGTGCACAAAACAATTTTATTGTAAAAATTACATTTTTTCATGTAGGTAATTGTAACTTATTACATGTGTAATGTTTTTGTTTTTAATTGATATCAGTACATAAACTACATGAAATAATAGCAATGTATCTTATATAAATAATTGGACTAAACGTACTTGTTATATTACAGGGTGTCCTTTATTGAACATGTTTCACTTGTATAATAAAATTGTTTCTTATTTAGGATTTCAATTTTGTTTCTAATTTTAATCAAATTAAAATATAAATGTGGAGAATTGCTTAATCCACTCGTGTAGTTTTCCATGTTCCAGAACACCCTGTATACATTAGAACAATTAAAAAATAAATTAATAATGACCTCGAATCCTCGCATAAAATTTTTAAACTTTTGCACTTTAAACATTTTAGAGATAATGCATTTTCTGAGTCATATTCTCCATTCGGGGAGTCATTGTTATAAAATTTTTAATGAAATTATAATGATTAGTTAGAAAGAAATGTGCAAATGGAAAAATAATTAATTAATTGCAGGACGAAATTAACTTATACAGGTAAGTGCAAATTTGTATACGCAATGGACAATTTTCATTATAAACTAATTTGCACTTATGCATTATGTTCCGGAGTGTTCGTTAGGTTCTCGGATTTCTTATCATTTTCGACGTTTGCACGCCAACACTCCGATAAATGGTAAATAATGAATAGCAAAGCGGATGATTTGATTCCATTTGCGTATTTGTGTTTGTTTTCTTATCAAATCGACTCCCCGAATTGTCACACATGTTTATTCAATTTCTAACTAAACAATAACAAGAACATAAAGTTTAAAAATACGCAAATACACTTAAAATATAAAACGCAAAAATTGTAATTTGCTCAGTAAGATTTGTTATTATTATTCCACGATTTTCATTATTGCACTTTAAAGTGTTACAATACACTTTTTATTGAGTATCGAAAATTGAAAATTAAAATAAACAAATTATAATAATTAATGGTTTATTTAAAGTAACTTTAAAATTCGATTTTTTTTTAGAATTGGCTATAATGCCAAAAAAATGCGAAATAAACATTCAAAAACGCAGATTTATGCGGATTACGTTTAATTTTTCGCCTTCGAGTTGATAATTTTAGCTATCGAGGTCGCCTTGCTTGCGTTAATGTCCTGTACATGCGGGTTTTAGGAACGGAAAACCAGTGAAAAATAAAATAAAATCGGTAATTAGTAATTAACTTAACTAGAACGATTTCGGTCCATTGAGCACCGAATTAATGCAGCCGATCATTCCAAATTATTGAATTCTACATACAATCTAACACAATCTATTTTAATGCATATACATAAATAATTGTAGGTACGGATCTGCGAGTTGCAGTAGGTAATTGGCACGCACAAACCTGAACTTTAGCGGCAAAAACTGATATTTTCCATATTATAACCGTTAAACATAAAGAAATCGAGTTGATTAATCCTCGTATAATCGCTCAAATCCTGATAGTTTTATAGTAATTTAACAGTAGATTAAATACGAATTGTTTAGCCGCTACTACAAGTCATTCTGTGCAATTACAATAGTGTAAAATATTTTACAGATTTATATACAGGGCGTTCTATTTAATAATCAATACAGAACACAATAAAAAATATAGCACCAAATTATTCTTATCTCTGACTTATGAATTGCCATTTAAGCATTTAATTTGGCGCTACCTATTAAATTTCAAGGAAATTTGCGACCGAAAAAAAATTGTTTATAATAATTGCAAATTTTACGATCTGTTTAAATCGGATTGGATCGAAAAAAAAACTCGAGCTAATCGTTTCAGGTACGAGGAAGTTGTAAAATAATCGCGTTTGTAAGCCTTGGCAAACTGGAATTAAATTTCGGATATTTAAAATATACTGTTTTTTTATCGGACGGTCGACGAACTTTTTTTATAAACTAGGTAAAATATAGAAGTTGTCTGATAATAGATTTTCCATGCAAAGGAGCGCTACAACCTGTCCAATTAAGGAAATTTTAGCAATTAAATAAGAACTATTTGTAATTTAGATGATAATTAAATAGTTTGATTTGTTTTCGTCGTTATTTAAATTTGCAATAATATTTTGAGCGTAACCACGCACTCTATTTTTATGTTAGTTTTGTATAAAACTGTTTTTATTAATCATCGGTTAATTTTTCCTTCATAACTCTCGTCTCTTCTTCCTGTCGCAAGTACCACATGCTCCATAATCAACGCGAAGATTTCAACACCGGAAACCTTGACTGCAAAATTATCTCCTTCCTACGGCGAATTTCCCCCTTTGTTTCGTGCGATATTACACATCCGATTGAACCCGCGGTAATTACGCCTCGTATCGCAACCTCAACAGAAAACGGCTAAAAGTAATCGAAAGTAATTTCGCGCAATTCCAAATCGATTCGCTCATAATCATCTGTAACGAGAGCGAAGGTTACCGCTGCAAAATGCAACGCGCGCTGACCCAGTACAGTTGATTTCTAACGCTTTTCAGCGGCTGAGCTATGGGAAATTCCATTAATTTGATCTAATATCACATTAATAATCGCGTCATGTGAATAGTGCATTGTCAATGGAATTTTATATAAACTATCAACTGTCTTTTTAGACAAATAACTGTAGTATCTGAGGCGTCGAATGGAATAGAAGAATAGGACCAATTTGGATATTTAGGGTTTTTTTTAATATTGTTTATTATAGAGGAATTTGAGTTACGCCACTGGCGGTTTGCTTATGGGTTTCATTTATTGAGCAATATCTATAAAATATCTTTAAAGGTATGGACGCTTTGGAAATCAGTTTCGAAGAAGAAAGCCGCTTTGGCCGATTTTGGTCGAAAACGGAATTTTGTAATTAATAATAAAGCATCAAAATCGGCGGTTTTTTCGCAATGGATTTTCGCAATTTGGTCGTTTTTCCGGACGTTTTTTATCGCTTACCTACAGTTCGTCATGAATAGCTAAATACCATCCGCATCTCTTGCTATACCACTCGATCTGTACCCAACTTTAAAACGCTTTACCACAAACAATTAGTAAAAACCTCGTGATAACAAATTCATTTTTTGCAAATAAATAACGATAATTACACGCATGTAACGATATAACATTGTAGTTTACAGCATTGAACTTTGTGACAATTAAATAAATAGCTTCGAACGATATTCCTTAAGATACAATTTTCAATTGTAATTTTTTAGTGCGACTAAAACTAGCTGAATATCTAATGTGTGTAATTATTTGTAAATTACTTGTAGTTTAATATTAACTGTCGTGCAATAAAACTCCTTAAATTGATGGAAGACATAATGAGAAAAGCATATCTACTTAAAAATACCTAATTATATCTGTTTATGTAGTAATTAAATATAAAGGATAAAACGATAATTTAATTTAAAGATGTAATTAAAAACTCATTTATGATTTTTAACTAATACACTATGAATTAATGAAAATTTGAAAGTGCTAAAAATATTCCATTTTCCAATTCCTAACATAAAATTCGAATTAAAATGGCTTTTCTAAAAAGCTAATTAATAGTACTACAGCGTACAAACAGCTATAAAATTAAAACAAGTACCTGTAAATTCAAATGAAACCTATGTATTTCTCTTTCCCCAGCCAATACTTACCAGCATATTTAATTTTATTTTATCTTTGTTACCGCGGACTTAATTAACTTTTTAATAAGATGAATGCATTCCCTGCATCTGCATTCTAATACTCATCATCATCAATCTCGAGTTTTATAGTCATTTCGTCAGTTGAAAAAATATGTAACTAATACATAACAATTATTTACCTTTCTAATAAAGATTTCTAAAAATTTGATAGGTAGGTACTTCGAATTTTTTGCACAATTTCACTTTGTATGCAAAATTTAATTACCAATATTAATTTACTCGCGTTCGTGAAGTAACTAATAAATAATGTAAAATTCCTTGACATTTTCAATAATGTTTTTGTAAATAATTTACAAAACAAAACTGACCTAACGCACAACTATTTCCTTAAAAAAATTTCCTGTACAAGTACAAAACGTGAGAATTGCAAATAAAAAAAAACCGTTTATAAACGGAAATACACAAGCGATTTGATAACGTTTAATATCCAATTAATTATAAACAGGTAATTGGGATGCAAAGTAATTTATTGTTTATCGTACGTCTTTAAATTTTATTGCATTTTGTTTTGCTCGATTAAGCCCCATAGAAAGTCTCGAAAGCTCGAAGATGAACTTTGATTTCCCAACAAACGCCCATAACACGTCGAAAATGGATGTATTTATTGCGATCTGCGAGTGATAGATTCGAGCTGGAGGTTGGGAGAATAAAGATTACATCTTAATTGGCGGTTCTAACAGAAATCTGGAAACTTGAAAAAAAAACAACGCTCGCCGCACAACTAGCGCGTCGCCTTGATAAAAGTAATCGACCTGGATGTTTCTAGGAAAACCACTGGTTCGTAATTTATTCACGCACATTTCGAATTAACTTTGTGTCATCAATGAAAAATTCGTTCTTGAGGGAATTGCTTTTATCTACGAATAATCTAGTTACCGTCCTATCACAAGGATTGTTTTGTTATTCCTACGGTCGCATCAAGGTGCTGTGAAAAAATTGACAATTTTGACAGGTAACGTCAATACAAAAAGTGTCAATCACGGCCCTATATTTCTAAAGTCTGGAATCTCCCTGAGCTTATGCATTAGAGAATGTGTCCCGTTATTTGAGGACTTTTTGAGCTTCACTTTTGTGCCGCACCGTGGCGAACGATCGGAGGACCAACTTATCTCAGCCAATCAGCGTCGCGCTACATATAAATCGCGGTTGTGAGACGACAGTTCAAGCTGTCAAAACTTCAAAAATTATGTTTTGACATTTCGAGCAGAAAATGGAGAAATACATTAACCGAAGATACGTGAGGCATTATGTTAACAACAAAATCATCGCTGATTTAAGTATATTTTTATATTTTTTATCGGTTTTTAGTTTGAATATAACCTTTCTTAATGATAATTCTACATAATTCGTACAAAAAAACCGGGGTCCTTTACAACATCGCCTCCTAGCGGCCGTTTTAGGTACCCTGTTTTATCCTCAAATACCGGGACATTTTTTCGGCCTATGTTTTCAGACTTTACAAATATAAAACCGTGGTCAATACACTTCCGAATATTTAATATACCTATAAAAAACGTATCATGTTGGAAAGTGAAAGTACCGAGAGAGGAGTACTCGCGGTACTTCCTTTAAAAGTTATTCAACACGTACCGTTTAGCCGCAGGAAAACCGGAAGGTCGAAGACCTTGTTCACGTAATTTAATCATACATACACGCAAAATAAATATTTTTTTTATTCGGATAAAAAAAAAAGACAGTACTCGAATTGTTCGTTTAATTGAACTAACGAGAGAACTTATGTAGGTTGTAAATTTCGTATTAATTATGACTCATTGGTTTTTTTCCGGCTGTTAAAGAGTATATCAATTGACATTGGGCGATTGGAATCGTGTCCCATTGGAATATAAAAAAATTCAATACATATTACACGTTTATTCGGAACAATGTAGAATGGTTCAAAAGTCAATTTTCGAATTACCGTTGGCACGAAAATACGTTTTTATTACCCCATTATTTACTTATAAATCTGCTTATTAACACTCCAATATTCGTTTCACTTTGGTTTCCACGAAATTAACGCCGTTGAATTTACGATTCGCGCAGTTGCACTCGAGTATCGAAAATTACTTAATTTTATAATACATAATTGCACTGGAGGATAATATCTACTCGTAATTTCAACAATAAAACCACTATTGGAAATTCAACACGTGTATCTACATCTACGTCTTCAATTAGTCGTTTAATTGGACATTTAAGTAATCTCTATAAAATTGTTTACATTGAAGAGTTAAGGGGCAAATCAAATTTATGCAGCGTAAAAATATGTAATTAAATCGATCTACCTAACGATTTTACGTCACACTATTAATTGTACATAAAAAATAGAAATTTATATTAAATGCATCATCAACATATTAGCATGAATATATCATACGTACTTTTATGTAAAATAGTAAAGTTTACTTGGAATTAATTGCTTGTATAAATATGCAATGCCGTGTCTTTAAATTTATTTACAAATGCATTTCGTGTCCAAATATTTAATAATTACTGCGAATAGATCGCATTAAAAACCTGTATTAGCAATGTTTGATGGTTTTAAGGACTATTTTATATTTTTTATTTATTTCGTAATCATCAAACGAATGAATTTTGGAAATAAAACCCTTAAAACAGCAATATTGAATTGAATTTATTTTATTTTTAGGCTCGAAGGTTATTTTAAGGAGCATCAATGGACAGTTTCGATCGGGACAGTTAACAGCCATATTGGGACCATCGGGAGCAGGAAAAAGTACCCTGCTCAATATCATCGCAGGATACAAGTACGTTTCCAAAGTTCTAGATTTAAAAAATATCAATTCAGTTTCATCATCTCTTCTAATGCTCTGCTATTAATAACAAACGATTCCTATAATTAGCCGGAACAAATATAACATTAAAAACAAATTTAGGAAGTATTGTATAATACTGGGCGTTTTAAAAATATTTTTTAATTACCGCCAATTAAATACATCCGTAAATGATTATCGTTAACAATCGATTTTCGTGTAGATGTCAAGGGGCCACAGGGCAAATTATAGTCAACGGGGAGTCCAGGAATTTGAAACAGTTCAGGAAAATGTCCAGGTACATCATGCAAAACGACCTCGTGCAACCGATGCTCTCCGTCGAGGAGGCCATGATGGTTGCCGCCGATTTGAAATTGGGAATAAACGTTCCGAAATCGGATAAAAAGAAAGCGGTAAGATACAGATGACAATTGACAGTTGACGTATGACATGTGACATTTGACAGATGACTTGCGACAATGCTGACATCTGACTTTATCTGCATGTTTTTTCATTCGTTTCGTGACAAAAACAAGCCTATAATAATCTATTAATAACATTTAATAAGTAACTAATTGTCCGATAAAAATAATAAATAGCGACTCCTTGACCGAGTTTTCTAGCATAAAAGGGAATTCGCTTTGAAACGACGTTGATATTGTGTATAAACTTGACATTGATTTTTTTTATATGTGTATAGGTATTTTTGTCAAATTCCATTTATATTGAACCTATCGTTAGTATCGTAATATATGCATGCACTTAATTCGAACAATTATAAATTGTTTCCATTTTTTTTATCGAGATGTTTGTTTAAAGGACAAGGAAAACCCATCACTTAACTATTTATTAAATAAAGTTGGTATCGAATAAATCTTCAAGGCTTTTTTTCTACCATATTGTGTTCCAGTATTAATTGTAGAAAATATAAGTGGCGTAGTCTATTTTAATTTATGTATCGTGAGTAATTAAATTATAAGTAATTTCGCATATAAAACAATTTAAGTTGTAGTTGTACACCTCTGCTTGATATTACAATTTCCTAATTAATTCGCATAATTTTATTGTATAGTCGATAATTAATTTCGAAACCAATTATGTGGAAACGCCGATGTTTCCCGCATCGCCGCTTGTAATTATATTTAATAAGAGCCGATCGATTTTTAGTTAAAAAAAAGCGATATTAATTGAGAAATTTTTGCAATCAACTATCCTATTTATTACTTTAGGCAGCAATTAATTACTTAGTATTTTCGATTTATGAAAATTGTAAACTGAGCGTTATGTAACAATAATGCAGTGTTTGAGGAAGTTTAGCATTGCACGAAATAATTGCATGAAAAAATTGTTTTTTTTTAGATCGACGAAATTTTGAAATTATTGCGATTGGAGAAAGCGAGCACAACGAGCACGAATAAACTGTCAGGCGGCGAAAGAAAACGGCTTTCCGTCGCCTTGGAATTGCTGAATAACCCGCCCGTTTTGCTTTTGGACGAACCCACCACGTGAGTTTCCAAAACAATCATTTTCCCTGCTCATCACCCTAATTAAATTACCATAATTCCAATACGATGCGGCATCGACAATGTTCATTACTCACGCTAATTACCCGACGCATTAAAAAAAACCACAAAGTTCCGCCCGTTTTCAACGACAATTAATTATTTTTCAAACCATAATTTATTCTAAAACATTTGAATTATCTTGACCCTGATAATGAAACATCCTATTTTTCTAATACCAAGTGATTAACATCTCGGAATTATTATATTCTACGCACGTGACAATTGATGATTTATCTATAAAATTGCTCATCTATTAGGAAATTGTCAATAGCCACTTGTGAATCATTTGTCACTTGTCACTTGTCATTTGTCATTTGTCAATTTTTTTTGTTTCAGGGGTTTGGACGACATGTCCTGTTCCCAGTGCATATCCCTGTTGAAAACGATCGCCGAAGAAGGTCGAACCGTGATATGTTCCATACACACGCCGAGCGCCAAATTGTTCTCGATGTTCGATAGCGTGTACATTATATCGGAGGGCCAATGCGTGTACCAAGGTTACGGGCCCGAGGTGGTCGGTTATTTGTCGGATTTGGACATCGAATGCCCGAGGCATTACAACCCGGCCGATTTCAGTAAGCCTCGATTCTCCCGATCCTTTAACAATCTTCAGTACGATCTCCGTGTCTTCCAGTAATCGAGGTGTGCTGCAAGGAGTACGGGGATTACCACGATCGCATGGTTTCGGCGATAGATAACGGCAGGAACTGCTACAGCAGTAATGCGGCGGCGTTAACGATGGAACCGCCGATCGTGCCCGTCGATCTGAAGGGCAGCATATCCTCCATAAAGGAGGAGGTCTACGCCGATTTGAGCTCGTCCAGTTTCGAGCACGAGTCGAATTGGACCACGCAATTTTGGATACTCATCTCGAGGATGTGGCTCCAAATGTGGAGAGATAGAGTAAGCGTAGATTACTTCGCGACGAGTAAATAATAATTTTTTTTTGTGTTCGTAGAGTTACCTTTTGCTGAGGGTGGTTCTGCACGTTATCATCGGAGTTATAATAGGAACGTTGTACTTCGGCATGGGGCAAGACGGGTCCAGGACCTTGTTCAATTTCGGCTTCTATTTCTGCTGTTTGATCTTCTTCATGTACATACCGATGATGCCGGTTCTCCTGCAATGTAACTATTTGTAGTTGTGGCTAAAAAGATTGTAATTCTCTCATTCCAGTTCCAACAGAAGTGCAGTTGGTGAAACGGGAGCACTTCAACAAATGGTATAGACTCAGCGCGTATTTCACAGCATTATCCTTCTCCACTATACCGGTGCAAATAGTTCTCGGTTCCATCTACGTACTATTCGTGTATTTCCTCACGAACCAACCGCTCGAACTCGACCGCCTCTTCATGTTCTTCCTCATCTGCATCCTAACAGCGATCATATCCGAGAGCCTCGGGCTGTTGGTCGCCGCCCAACTCACAGTAGTCGTAAGTACAAAACTCTCGCCGGCCTCTTCACCATTTAAAAATACAATCATTTTCAGAACGCCATGTTCATCGGGCCGGTGATATCGGTCCCGTTCATGCTGCTGGCCGTCTACGGCTTCGGCTCCGGCTACGACACCATTCCGCCGCTGATCAAGATCGCCATGTACTTCAGCTACCTGCGGTACTCGCTGGAGGGGCTGATCCACGCCATGCTCACCGATCGCCAGAAGCTGGACTGTCCGGAGACGGAGGAGTACTGCATCTACACGGACCTGAATTTCTTCGTGAAGGAGATGGGCATGGAGCACACCAAGTTCTGGATGGACGTGGCGGTGTTGTGCTTCATCATCGTGCTGTTCAAAGGCGGGAGTTACTACTTGCTGAGGCAGCGGTTGAGGCCCAATAAGACGTTCATTGCGTTGCAGTATATCGGTAGATTGGTGAAGTCGCATCTGGGGTTGGCTCGGTGATGATGGGGATGTCGGGAGCGATTTTCGAGCGGAGTAAACTGGTTAAAGTTGTATAAGTTTTATTGGATAATGTAGGTTCTGTACTATTTATTTATATCAATTATCATCATTTTTTTTATTTAAGGCATCGGTTTACTCTTTAAAGATAGGTAGATACTTGTATTGAAATACGCTCGGTAACATTTCGGGATTTGTGATATAAAAACGTGATTTATTAGGTGCATATGATTAGTTGTAATATTCATGTATAATTTTTGATATTAGTAATTTAGTTAATTTTCTAGGGTATTATTTACCAAAGTAGTCTCGTTTCCGGATATTGACAAAAGTATTTATTAAAGGAATAACATCACGATATTATTTTATGAAAAAAAAATGTTCGTTTCGTTTCTACTAAAATAAAAGCTTATTTTTAATATGTACATTTAAATTTTTCCTCTTCCGTAAAAAATGAGCAGATTTAATCTAATTAACATATCTGATTCAGTAGAAATTGATAAATAATGATAAGATAAATCCTAAATATCGTTTTAAAAACCTTTTAAACTTTAATTGATTGATTCCTTATAATATTCTTAGTTCTATTCCATATAGTTCGATTTTATTCATAATGGAAAATTCGCACCTATTATGTGTAATTGGATTAATTTTCTGTGGGGTCTCTTTGTCATCCCAAGTAAGTACCTGTCTTAAACCACTAGAAAATCCTATCTAATAATTCATTGTATTAATATTTTTAGGCTAATATCCCTAGTCTAGTAAGACCAACAGGGTAAGTGAGTTTCTCATATTTCTTAATCTTTTAATTTTTCTATCATTATATCATTTCTATACTCATAGTATGAGTGAAAGTTTACCAAAAACTTCACACATCTGCTTATCACATTTATATCGGTTTTTTACTAAGTTACTCGGATAAAAAATAATCCCATCATCCACGGAAATAAACCACGTATCTTAAAAATATCTATTTACATACAAAAGATACACGAATAGAATTCATAAAAATAACCGCACTTTAGAGATAACAAATTTTCAGGTACCATCAAGAATTAGAAGTTGAAACAAGGCTGGATTGGGTTAGCGAACTCAACATCACGCAAATAACCAGCGATAACGATCCCGATACGAAATTAATCTTACACTTCAACGCTGACCAACTGTTCAGCCTACCCGGCCTAAAAGATCACAGATTACAATTACAAAGCACCAGGAATTTGAGCGCTTTCGGAACCGCCAGCGAAACCTTCCGCAGCCAAGTAACCGGCAACTGGTCAGGCCCAATTGGCGTCAGCTCCGCCTTTCTATGTAAGCCCCTGCGACTACAATCCACACTCACAATTCATTTCGAAACATTTCTCCAGTCGCCGAAGAAACCATCCAGCGATCCATCAACTTCAGCGACTACACCAAGAGGTCCAAGGTGAAGTACAGCGTGGCGTTCATCACCGAAATCAACATCACTTTAGCCGAAGGAGCCGCCGAGCAGCTCGAATTCATCGAGCAACCCGACTTGAGGCTACCCCAAGACGGCGTAGTCGGCTTGCTCCCGTTGGTGAACTCCACGGGAGTCGATTACACGACTTGCTACGACACCTTGTGCAGCTCCACCACCACTAATTCCTACGACGTTGTCAAGTACTACCCCTTCGGGAACGTCATCGTGCTGGCCAGCAGACAAGTTGGACAAAACGTTGTTGCTTTCAGGACGGAAAACGAGCAGGGCAACCAGGTTTACTCGAGGATATCCTCCATCAAGCTGGACTACTACGTTATGATTGGACAGCACACTTGTTGAAGATTTATACAATTCATCCAATGTAGAAGATAAAGTACAAATACACGATACATACATAACAAATTTGTTTTAATGAGCATAAGTAAATGTAACGTTCGTTAGAGTTTTACAACTACGCATTTTTATTTTCGTTTGCGATCAAATCGAGTCCAGTAGAGGATTCTTCCCGTTCTGCTCCTTCAACGCGTCGGTTTTGGTCTGCTTCAACGGGCCCCAGTAGCACAAGTGGCTCTTGGTGGCCTCGTCCAGGGCCGGAATGTACGATCTCGGTATCAGGAACGTCGATAGATTGAACAAATCCACGAACACCTTGTATCTATCGCTAAAAATTTCATGCAATGTTAATTATAAATAGAGTCTGTAGATTTATTCTATCGTACCTTAGCGTGGATCTTAAATATTGGTAGCCCGAAGACCCGCCGGTTCCCAACTGAGACGAACCAATCATTCGTTGTACCATAAGCATGTGGTTATCTGCAAACAGAGTAAATTAACGTCGATTAAAATCGATGCGGATGGGATTCGAGCTCACATCTCCATTTGGTGATCAACGAATCGATGTCCATCAGCAAGGTGAGGATTTGGTGAGGTTGACTGAACCTCGGCTCGTCCCTGTAGAGGGTGATCATGATGGCGCCTTGGAGGGCTCTGTGGGAGAATCTCCTGTCGCCTCTGGAGACCAGAGCCTCGTGCACTTCGGGCCTGAAGATGGACTCGTAGACTTCCTTGCGGTGCTCGAGTTCGGCCAGTTTGTGGCGCTTGAGGGACTCGTTTTTCTCTTTCTGCGGATTATTAATAACTCTTTACTATGCGACATGTTTTAGTATCTTTTAGTTTGCTTGTATAAGTAAGATTACAGATGTGTTGTAATTAGTAGGAGCATTTAAATTGCTATTAAATGTGGTAGTAAATTAGTAAAAGACAATTTGGGTTTTTCTTATCTTTATCTGTGTTTTTTTTAAGAAAATGTTTTAAATATTTAGGTAATTTTTCACGAGTGATATATCTCCATGGTAACAACTCTAAAACCGGTTATTTATCTAATTTTTAATACAAATTTCGATTGATCCCATTGTGTTTGAGGCCACGTTGATTATTTTAAAAGGACTCTACAATGAGCACTTGAGTTTTTTTATTTATCAGATTCGGTAGAGTATAAAAGAAAACCAGAAACATCAGAAAATTCAATTCAATTTTTTACACGAATTGATCAAGATGTTCAACTTATACCTTCTGTCTGTCATTGGATTAGTTTGCCTCGGGGTAATATATTATTTTTTATTTTTTATTTACTTATAATTCAAAATAATTTTTTTATAATTAAAAATAAAATTTTTGTTCTTCAGGCAAACGTCCACTCATCAAAACTCGCAGGGTAAGTGAACCTCTAAATTCTTATATTACGATTACTAACAGGAAATATTTAGATATGGCGATTCAATCGAGACCGAGACAACAACCGTTTGGGACAACCAACTGAACATTAGCCAAATAACCACCGACAACGACCCCAAAACCCACTTCATACTATCCTACGACGTCCAGCAAGACATCACCCTACCCGGATTAGAGAAAACTTTGAACATCAACAAACTGAGGAACGTAGACGCTTTCGACAAAGACAACAAAACCTTCACCAACGAAGTCAGCGGCAGCTGGACGCACACCGGAGGCCGCAGCAACGTCACATTAAGTAAGTCCCATCCCCAAAACCCCATCTCCCCCAACTAACAATTCCAATCGCCTTATCAGAGGTCGAAGAAAAGCTGGAACCCAAAACCGTCGACTTCAGCAACCCCCACAAACGGTCCGTGTTCCACTACGGCGTCGTCATCCGCACGGACATCAGCTCCGTCTACGACAAGGAAGCCATCAACGTGGAGACCGTCCGCGCCGAACTGCCGACGTTGAAGGCATTCCCGGGAGCCGGCGAGGGCCCCATCGCCCTGTCGAACTCGACCGGAATCGACGCGACGACGTGCGTCGGCACGCTCTGCGCCTCCACCACCGTGAAGGACAGCGACGTGAAGAGGTACGAGCCCTTCGGCAACGTCGTCGTCTACGCCACCAGGTACCTGGACTCCACCGTCGAGGCCCGCGAGAGCAAGGACGAGAACGGCAACACCGTGTACACGCGCGTCTCCACCATCAACTTGGATTACTACATCTTGATCGGTTTCAACAACCCGAAGTAGAGCGAATATCGTGACGGCAGTCATGACTTTTTACGTTATTAATAAATTTACGTACGTTTACTTTTTCTTGTTCTTCTTTTAATATCTCATTGACGGCTTTGTGGTATTTTCCCCAGAAATCGAATCCCTCGATTTCCAAGCCGGGAGTTCTCTCCAGCCAGTTTTGGACCAGGTCTTTCAGGGACGGTTCCGCCTCGGATTCCTCTATTTTCCTAATAGCTTCCTGAAATGTAACTTTGATAACGAACGATTATAACCTCCTTGAATTAAATACTTCGTCGTTGCCGAAAACCTTGGCGTAATTCCTGTTGTACTTGACCCTGTTGTCTTGCTTAACGCCCAATTTGTTCTCGAGCAATCGGAATTGTAGGCTTTGAAAACCCGACGCCGGTCTCAGGTAGTTCCTGAACTCCATGAAGTCCAGAGGCGTCATCGTTTCCAGTATCATTACTTGATCTACAAGGACCTGGAATATTACAACGCATGGTATACGATGATAATTTAAGGGTTGTTGGTTTACCTTCAGTATCAACACCACCCTGTTTAGCCTCTTCAAAATCTCCAGGGTTTGGGATTCTTCTAAAACCGATTTGAAAACGCCCCGGACCGAGTCCAGTTCCCATATGATTTGCTTGAACCACAATTCGTAAGCTGGAAATTAGCCATACAAATGATATGTATTAGAGAATCATCCGCACATACCTTGATGTGTAACTATAAATAAATGTTCATCGTGCACGGGGGCTTTGTGAACCTCGCCCAGAGGCCTTTGAGCCTCTAAAACCTTGTCTAACATCAGGTATTCTCCATAGAGCATGCCGCACTCATCGTCCAATTGTTCACCCTCTTGTGCTCGATCGCTAGAAAAAAATTCGGTAATTTCTCAACAACTGACTGATTGAAATATCATTATATTGTGTATAATTGGATACGAATTTCGCAACGGAATAAATTCGTTGTGAATGTTAGTAATAGGATATCATTGCATGTTGCATTTATCGAATAAAATCGATATCCATATTACACTGACCTATTAGAAATCAATCGACTCGTCTAGTATTTTCTATTCGATCTGCCTACAGGTAATGGTGAAATTGAAATATCCCCTTACGCCAGGTCAACAATCTGAAGCCGTAAAATCCAGGCGGAATAAATGCCATTCAATGAAGTAAAATAATAATTCTTGTTTGCTGTTTTTTTTTCCATTTTATATGAGATTAAAATACTAATTTATAAACGAACTTGTCTAATTATTTTTGTTTGAATAAATCCATAACACTCATGTTTACGAGGTTTGTTAGTAACAGAAACGAATCATTTGTTTGTTAATAGAAAAATTGAAGCATTGCAATGATAAAATTAATCTTATTTTTGGAAAATTAATTGATTTAAACTATTGAGTAAGCGATTATATTCGTTTTAATATTATAAAACGACGTTTATTTTCGATTATAGATAACGTTCAATGTCATAAATATATTTAAGTGCGATTTCCTGAACACAAGTACAATAATTTGATTAATTTTTCTACTTATAGTACCTAGAATTAATCGTTGAATTAAAAATCACTAATCTATAAAAGTAAATATCAAGATTTCCATTACGATTCAACTCGCTTACATCAGTCATTACTGCCTAAAATGTCCACGAAAATAACTCGAAAATTCAATAAATTTTCAACGTGGGTGCAATAAAAAATGTAATTTAATAGAGATATAATAGAGAATTAAATGAATTGACTTACTATGGCGAAGCGGGACAACTCATTTGTGTGATCAATTGCTGTTGCTAATTAAACTTAACTCTCTTGACAAGCTAAACTGATAGTGAATGGATCGGTTTCTCTTCGCTAACGCGTTGCTGCAAAATGTACTACGTAACGCAACGAAGAGAGAATTTTCCATTTTACTTCTTTTATTTTAAGTATCGAATATCGCGGAAATGCGATTATCCCCCTTGCAGGATCGAAATGAAATATATCTAAATTAAAAGATAGCAATTGCGGCCCACTTGTTTGTATTTCTAAACGTTAAACGGGCCAGTAATTTTACACAAAAAAATGAAATAATTTCCTTGTGGTTGAGCTGTATTCATTAGTAAAATAGGTGTACAAATTCGCAAAATTTGTAGATTTTTTATAATTCTGTAATCGTTTAAATTGTAAATCGATCATTCGAAAAATTTAGCATGTTGTTTTCCAGGTTCATATGGCAAGGACAAGTGGAAAGAATCGATAAGTAAGGAATAATCCGTCAACAAATAAAAAAACACAGTACAGTACTGGCCCAAGCGCAAAGAATAAGTAGAAAAGTGCTACAATTATACATCTACAACAAACTAAATTCTGTACTCTTTACTGTGGCGACCTCGGTAGGCATATGGTAATTAAAAATTGATTAATAAAACTCAAAGTATAGACAACAATTTAGATCCACTACTGTTATTTTATACAATACCTCATTAAATCAGTGAACTTTTGCTGCTCCATAAACAATACCCCATTATGCCCAACAGTGATGAGTAAATGGAACTTACTACACACATACTAGTAGATGCATTGAACAAACAAACTTCAAACTAAAGAAAAATGTCCCAACCTCAAGTGGTAAGAATATCCATACATTCTACTAAACAACGCATATTTAAGAGATCCTTCCAGGTACCTCTCGATACAGCCGATTCGGCCTCGATACTATCCAGCCCGATACTGCTGACGCTCCTCGGGATAATCTCGCTGCTCACCATATACCACTACTGGTTCAAAAACCAAAGGTATGTGAAATTGGGGAACCAAATGCCCGGCCCTCCGGCCGTTCCGATCATCGGCAACGCTCACTGGGCCCTCGGCCTATCAGCTGCAGGTAAAACCACAATTACACGCGCCGATTGTTACCGAATAACAGCAATTTTCCAGGCGTCTTCGAACTATCGATCAAAACGCACCGGGAACTCAAATGCGACGTGGCCAGAGTGTGGCTGGGTCCCAGACTCATCGTGGGAATAATGAATGCAGAAGACGCCGAAGTATTTACTTACCATCGTTACTTGAAACTATAATTGAATAACGTATGCATTCCAGATCATCTTGAACAGTAACGTGCACTTGGAGAAATCCTCCGACTACAGCCTCTTCAAGCCTTGGCTGGGCGACGGGCTTCTAATCAGCAAAGGCAAGTCGAAACATCCACATGAACCTCTATTCTATTAAGCGTTGTTCGGTTTAGGCGAGAAATGGCGGTCGCACAGGAAGATGATAGCGCCCACGTTCCACTCGAGCATCCTGAAATCCTTCATGCCGGTGTTCAACAAGCAGGCGAGGAATTTGGTGGCGCAGTTCCGCAAGGAGCAGTCCAACGAGTTCGATTGCCACGACTACATGAGCAGCGCCACCGTCGACACGCTGCTGGAGACTGCGATGGGGGTCAGCAAGACCAGCGACGAGAACACCGGGTTCGAATACGCCATGGCGGTGATGCGGTAAATCCACCATTTTCTTCTAATACCCTTAACTTCATCGTTTATAAATCTTCCAGCATGTGCAACATCCTCCATTTGAGGACCGTCAAGCTTTGGTTGAGACCCGACGTGCTGTTCAACCTGACGAAGTTCAGTACGCTGCAGGTGTCGCTGTTGAACATCATCCACGATTTGACCAAGAGGGTCATCAAGAAGAAGAAGGAAAATTACTTCGAGCGCGTGGTGAGAGGAGAAACTAGTTTGTACACGGAGGCGGTTAAGACAACATTCGACGAGACAAAGGGGCACATCGTGGAAAATGCCAGCATCATGTCCAATTACGCCAAAGACGATTTGGACGAGAACGATAACGATGTCGGTGAGTGAAATTCTAGCCCAAATACATTGTATTAGTTTCCACCGGAACAAAGCAAGGTCATTTAATTTCTATTCAATTCATATCGAGGTTAAGCGATTTTAATTTTGACTAACAGATTCGTTTTGCAGGCGAGAAAAAACGTCTGGCGTTCCTCGACTTCTTGGTGGAGGCGAGCCAAACTAAAGGAAACGTCCTCAGCGATGAAGAAGTCAGCGAGGAAGTTAACACAATCATGTTCGAGGTATTTACAACGCCATTGAGCACTCACTGAATACTAAACCAAATATTTCCAGGGCCACGACACCACAGCCGCAGCTTCCAGCTTCACCCTTTGCTTGCTGGGCATCCACAAAGACATCCAGAAGAAGGTCTACGACGAACTCAAAGAAATATTCCAGGACAACATGGACAGACCCATCACATTCAACGACACCTTGCAGATGAAGTACCTCGAAAGAGTTATTCTAGAAACGTTGAGGATGTACCCGCCGGTGCCTATCATTGCTAGAAAAGTTAACGAAGATGTTAAATTAGGTAATATAATTTTTTTAAAATTTTTGTAAGTAGTTAGTAATTGTTTTGTTGCTAGTGTCTGGAAATTACACGATTCCCAAAGGCACTACTGTAGTTGTGGCGCAGTATTTGATCCATCGCAACGAGAAATACTACAAAAATCCGATGGTGTTCGATCCGGATAATTTCCTGCCGGAAAAGTGCCAGGAGAGATCCTTCTACGCGTATGTACCCTTCAGCGCGGGCCCGCGAAGTTGCGTTGGTAAGTAATTGATAATTTTCCGGTAAAGTGTCGAAAATTTTACCGGGAAAATCTCTTTGGCAGGAAGGAAATACGCCATGCTGAAGTTGAAAGTCCTGCTCGCAGGCGTGCTGAGGAAATTCGAGGTAATATCTTTGGACAAGGAAAAGGATTTCAAGCTACAAGCTGACATCATACTGAAGAGGGAAGAAGGATTCAAAATTAAAGTGGTCGAAAGGGTCAAGTAATTCGCTATTTTTATTCATCGTTCTCCATTAGTAATAAGCACATAATTTAACTTGTAATACATTAATTAAACATGAAGTAAAGGGTTACCTGATTGTAAAAATTTTATGATAATAAATTTATTTATGTTAGTCGATGTGCTAAATTTATTCACAATTGTGAATGTGAATGGTAACATTTTAATCGAATAATATTAACTTTATCTACTAGTATATCCATAAAAATTAACTTCTCTCTATCATATTCTTCCCTGAGCAATCTCTCTAATTTTTATATACCCTCAGGCAAAATTATGTGATCCAAGCCAAATGAGCCTTGGATCCCTGATCAGCGTGGGCGACGGTGGCCGTCATGGTGGCCGCAATCTGCCGGCCAATTTGCTTGTCCCTACCCCTCTTCTTCGGTATCAACCGCTTGGCCACGTTGATGCCGAATTTCCTGTTAGCCGTGATGTCCCGAAGGATCTTCGACAGTCTGTAGCGCTTCTTGCTGGCCAAATTCTTCACTCTGTCCAGATGCTTGTGGTGCTCCGGATTCATGCCGGCCGTGTTCAACTCGTCGATGTCGTTCGTATCGAACACCGGCCGAAAGGCGGACACCGCTCTCGAAACGCCCACCTGCAAAACGTCCGTCGTTCGCTAATTCATCGATTAGACCACTAATTGAGGCGTTGTTCTGATCGAATCTACTGGCACTAACAATATTTACATTCCCGTGTTTGACCAAATGCTCGGTGATGTCGGCTCCCATGAGCTCCATGTGGAGGTCCATTCTGATGGTAACGAAGAGGTTGATGAACCACAGCAGCAGGAACGTGGTGAGCAGGCCCCAGATTAGCAAGCAGACGGCTGTTAGAGTTTGGACGCCGAGCAAGTACCAGCCTCCTCCTAAAAAATACTCGTACGAAGTAAATGGATGGATTTATTCGGTTTGTTTTAGTACCTTTTATCAGCCCCGTTCGGCCACTGGTGGTGTCCAGGGGGTAAGGGTTGTCAGCGAATATCCCAACAGCAATTACTCCTAAATATTACAATGGGTTGTTTATTCTAGTAGGTTTTAGTATTGATTGGTATTACCCCATATACCTCCTATGCCGTGGACAGAGCTCGCTCCTACGGGGTCATCTATACCAGCCTGCGTTAAATACAAATGATTGTATTTAAATTTATTAGATTGGTAAGAGTTTAAAGAAACTCACCATGTCGAATAGAGGCATCGAACAACAAACCAACAGAGCTCCGATTATCCCAACGAGAAGTGCCTCCCAACCTAGTAATGTAGCTAGTTACAAATATAATTCATAGTACCCAGGTACTCACCGCAAAACAAAAAACATCCAGCCGTTATCGAGACCAACGAGCCCAAAATTCCATTTATGATATCGATAGTGTCGATTTTCCCTTTCAATTTTATCATAGTAAACAATATGCTGACGGTACCACCTCCGAACGTCGATATCATTGTCATTACGGCTGCTCTTGCAGCGTATTCCCATTTAGCACCGCTCAACTTCAATATATATATTTTTATTAACATCTCTTTGCAAAGAAAATTATATGGTACAATACCCCGTAGGTGCTTCCTGAATTGAACGCCAACCAGCCCCACCACAACACGAACAATCCCATCACCGCGTTAACGGGATTCCCCAATGGTAAGGGGCCTATCCCGTTGTCGTAGCGCCCCAAGCGAGGCCCCAGCATTACAGCGCTGGCGAATGCAGCGCTACCTCCTGCATTTAAAGTGCATCGATTAAAGTTTCAGTGTATATACGTGGATGTTAGTACCAATAAGATGGACGGCTCCGGAGCCCGCAATATCGACGGCGCCCAGTTTATTCAAGAAGCCGTGCTCGCCCCAAACCCAGCCGGCTGGTATGCAGTAGATGGCCGTGTTGAGGAAGCTGAATATGCAATAGGCTTTGAAATTGCACTTTTCTGCCATGGCGCCGCTGACGATGGTGGTGGCGGTGGTGGCGAACGACAGCTGGAATATGAAGGCGGTGTACTTGGCGCCCTTTTTGGGGTCCGACAGCGAGGGATCGATGAAGAAGTCTCCGAGGGCGATGAAACCGTTGTTGAGGTCGCTTTGGCCGAAGGACAAGGCGTAGCCGAACATCCAGTACGTCAAACCTTGCGGTGGAAATAGGAATTATTTGACCGTGTTTCTGTTGGGGTGTTAGATTTTTTGAGTTACCTCCTAGGACGATGTCTACGACATTTTTCATCATGATATTCACTTCGTTCTTAATCGAAACGCATCCAGATTCGAGCATACCGAAACCTTGAATCGTAATTACGAAGGATTAGCCAAAATTTATGTGCATAAAATTTGGTTTATATGAATAATAAAATCAACAAAAAAAACTAGTTTAATTTTTTATTCCACGTCCTGTAACTGGTCGACTTTTTGTCAAGGACCTTAAAAAGCATGCGCGTACCTTCCTAATTAATAGAAGTACTTTTAAGTACTTACATTTAACTAAAAATACTTATATAATTACAAACAATATATCAACGATAACGAAACAAGGAAATACTTTTTAAAAGAATTAAAGATGCAATTACCTGTTTGCATTGTAAATATCATAAACGAACTGGTAATCACCCAATTAGCATCTTCATAATCTATGTCGTACAACCAAGGCACTGGTGTTGCGCTTTTATTCATATTTGTAAGTTTAATTTCTCAAAGGTTTAACCAAATAGTTCATCTGACGACGCTCGCAAAGTCTCTAGGTCACCATGCCATGACTTTCGAAAGGTAAACAAATTAATATTGCAGAGCACAGCCCAATCGAAAGCAGTTAAAATAATTACAATGAAAAAAAAACTCCTTTTACATGTTGAAAACATACCGTTTAATTATTAACAACCTATCGTTACATCAGTTGGATTTATCCTTCTTCGAATCGGCGCTCGTCTTGACGCCTTTCCGCAGGAGCTGGTTGACTTTCAGCACTTCGGTCAGGGTTCTTTTGATGTACAACATTTGCTCCTCGATGTCCTCCCTGGCGATGGAGAGCGGCTCCTGCTTCGAGGCCGACATGTGGCAGTACATGTTCCAAATGGAGAACTTCACCTCCTCTATTTCGTTCAAATGGATCACCTGCAAATCGCAGTTGTAATGAACAGTACATCGATGAATAGTAGCGGCGATGATAATGTAAATAGTAGGGAGAATAAAGAAATAAATACCGCGTAGTTTTTGATTTGGAGCACCAAATGCTCGCATTCCAACGACTTGATTTTGGCGTTTTCGAATCGAGCTTGGAGAGCGGCGATTTTGTTGTTGAGCCCCATTAGAATGAAGTTTTTCTCTTCCACCAGTTTAGTCTAAAGAATTAATAGACGTGATGTAAGTAGTCAATTGGTGCAATTGGTTCGTACCATATCGCTCTTGGCGTTTTCGAGCGCCCTCAGGTTGTTTTCCTGCAGAAGTCCCAGGTAGTTTTTGGCTCCCAGTAAACTCAGATAACGATTGATCAAATCTTGGATGGTGGCGAATTCTTTGGAGGCCTCCACTACTTTGCTCAAATAATTCTAGAAATTGATAATGTTAAAATGTTTATAATTTAATAATAATTTACTTCGTATTCGTGGTTTCTTTTAATTTTTTGATCCATTTGGTTCTTCACTTCTCTAATTTCCAAATAAAACTGATTGCACTTTTCGATTTCCTGCTTCCTCTGCCCCAACAGTACACTGTCCTCTTTGATCTTCTTCTCGGCTCTTTCCCTCTTATCGTTGTTCTCTTTGATAAACTAAAAATACGCAATATGGAATAGACGTCGGTAAATGTACAGGAATCTAACCAAATCGAAATTTTGGAAATTCGTCCTCAGCTCGTGCTCCTTGGTCTCCAATTCCTTCCACTTCTCGTCTAATTCCTTCCGCAACGCGATCATGTACCGCCTCCTGTCGGCCAGCTGCCTCTCGGTGAAGTGCAGCTTCACTTCGGCCAGGGCCAAGGAGTTCTTCGGATCGTCCATACGAACCACATCGAATTCCGGATAGATTCTAAACCACGGAAAATTCAGTGCTTACGGTTAAACGCTCGAACGCGCCTTACTTGTCCATAGCCATGAAGGCTTTCGACTGGATGTAATCCGAAACGCAGTCATATCGGGGGACATTGGGGAACTCCAGCCGAGGGGAATGAGGAACAGCATCGGTATTCTCCATTATGTTTTATTTGTATAACTATCTACAAGGTTTTTACTACTAGTTTGCGTCAAGTATAAGTGACACTGATTTGAAGTTTATTTAACAAAAGTAACGTTTTTCGTTGGCATTGAAACAGTTTTGATAACATTAGCTACGATATTGTCACTAATAGTTTCGTTTTCTTCTACCGGTAACTCATTCTCGCCTTCCAACACTTCTACCATTCTGTTAATCAATCGCATCTTTCTCAAGTACTTTTTAATCACCTCCAGCTGTTTTCCTGCATTGTTTTTGTGGACGGGTCGCCGGTTTTTGCTGGCGCAGATGTCAGAGTAAATTCGCCAACAGGATTGTTTGGTATACTCGATTTCCTCGACTTTCTTCTGCGCTTCGAGGTAGACTTTCTGGAGGAAATTCTCGGATTTCGAGGCCTCGTTTTGGGCTCGTGTAGAGCGTTCTTGGAGCTCGGTCATCGCGTTTTGCATGCCTTCGATTTCTTCGTATTTATCCACTATCAGTTGGTGCTGGAATAGTCTAGGTGAGGATGCTGTTGGATTGATTCGGGTTTACTTACAGTTTTGTTTCTGATCGTTTCGTATTCTTTTATGTAGTTGTCGCAACGTCTAGTGATGTCTTTTCTGGTGTTTAATAAGGCTGTGTATCTGTTGAATACTCCCTCAACGGTTTCGAAGTTTATTTTGTCCTTTTTGGCGACTTCTGAGAGGAAATTCTGAGAATAATTTGGCGATAATTTTTTTATGTAACTGTATATGAAAGTAGGTGAAATGTACCTCGTAAATAGCGAAGTGTTTGTTTGCTTTGTCTAATAAATCTTTGTGTATTTTCATTTTGTTGTACAACCTTTCGAGGTTTTTTAATTCTTCGGTTTTTTGTTTCATTAGTATCGCAGTATCTGCTAATTTCTTTCTGGACCTCTCTCGTTTGTTTTCGTTCTGTTCCATGAACTAAAATAAAAACCGTTTAAAAAGAATTTAACAATAATTTTAAGTAAATTTACGTTGTTAAATGTTTGAAAAGTATTTCTCAGTTCCTCCTGTCGTTCTTCCAGTTTCTTCCATTCTTCTTTCATCAACAATCTCTGCTCTTGCGCTTCTTCTCTGGCGATTCGCAAATTATTCTCGACTTCAAAATACTCTTTCAGCACCAGATGGTGGTTAGTAGCGGCACTTCTTCTCGACAAGTCTTCAAAACTGAATTTTTTTCTAAAAAATAGACCTCAGTGAAACGTTCAATAAAGGTAGTTAGAAATTACCTCGATAAGCCCTTCGGTATTCCGCTGGTAAATTGCTTGGATCCTAAATATACTCCGCAACTCTCATGGGGTTCCTTGGTAGGAAAATACCTTTCTATAGGTTTCAAGCACTCGATTAATTGCTTAGCTTCTGCTGGTAAACGATCCATTTTATGTACGTTTGTTGGAAATTGAGAAATGGCTAGTATGGTAGATATATCGATCAAGCAATGTGAGAGTTGCCATGGAGTCACTGAAATGATTTGTTTATATGATTTGAAAGAGATGATAATGATTAGGAGTACGAGTATAATACAAAAAAATAATAAGTGTAAAAAACTAAAAAAATAATTACTATGTAGTTACCTACAGTTTTAAGTAATGAGTTTGGAGGTTTGGAACAATTTAAATTTTAGGAGTTAATTGTAGTAATTAGAGCTAATGTTTTGGTTAGATAATTCGTAATATAACTTTAGTTAGCGAAAAAGAAAAACAAGTATTTAGTATACGAATTTTGTAAATGGTTTTGAACTCCAGTGTCGCACAAGCTGGGTGACATACAAAAAGAGATAATAATTTAATGTTATCCTGATTAGCCTTGACATAAATCGGATTGTTAGTAAACTTTCTCAAAATTTTGGCCTAACGTTTTAAAATTATTTATCAAATGTTTGTAATATTTTTGTAAGGCGTCGATTATTATATTTTTCGCCAATTTATTCAAATATTTTAAAACTATTCAGTATTATCTTCTGAATTATTTTAATAAACCCACTACGCACCTGCTTAATTATCATAAATTTTTATATCGATGTATATAAACAAAATACACTCGTTTTCTTAGCAATTAGTAAAATGAACGTCCTAAAAAAATTTGTTATATTCCTGACTCTGGTAAATTATATCGTATGCGATGATAGTGTGAGCGAATTTACAAAGTATGTTGAAGATGAATTGGAGAAAATCAGCAAATTTCAGTTACCTACTGATAACAGAAAATTATTTTCCAATCTCACGTGCCGCTCAAAAGTTAAGAGTAAGTACATTGTACTTTTAGTAGGTGCCTAATTAATTTTATTTAATAATTTTACCACTAAAAAATTGAAGCAAAAATCTAAATTTTACCTTATTTTCATAATAATATTACTAAGGTCGTCTACTATCTTAATGAAAACCAAAAAAAAAACTTATCAAAATCCGGTTTTCAATATTTTTTACGCTTTATTCAATTCGGTTACTAATCTACTAAAATTACAAAAATTGTTCCAGATTACGGCACCTTCGATTTCATAATAATAGGAGCCGGCTCGGCCGGTGCCGTTTTAGCCAACAGACTATCCGAAATATCCCAATGGAAAATCCTCCTGCTCGAAGCCGGAGGAGAATTAACCGATTTCAGCGATGTACCGGCTTTCAACAACTACTTACAACAAACCGACATGAACTGGGGCTACTTGACCTCATCGCAAACCACCTGCTGCCAAGGTAATAAATAAATTTACTACGAATTTTATAACAAACCATAACAAACTCCACCGAAATCCAATAGGTATGAAAAACAACCAATGTCCTTACCCTCGTGGAAAAGTCCTCGGAGGGACCAGCACACTCAACGGCGCCATCTACGCCCGGGGATCCCCCGATGATTACAACGAATGGGCGAATTTAGGCAACCCGGGATGGTCCTTCAAGGAGGTGCTACCTTACTTCAAGAAATCCGAACACGTAGCTTTAAAATCGTACGATAAAGATTATCACGGAACCAACGGTCCTTTATACGTCAACCAAACTTCCCCACCATCGGTAATATCCGAAGCTTTCTTGGCGGCTAACTTAGAAAAAGGCCTCAAAGAAATAGATTACAACGGAAAACACCAAACCGGCGTATCCAGACTGCAATTCAACATCAAAAACAACAAGCACTTGAACAGCGCTCGAGCATTTTTAGACACGATTAAACGCAAGAACCTCGACGTAGCCCTCCGAGCCACCGTCGAAGAGATCCTCATCCAAAACCGCCGAGCCAAAGGCGTGAAATTCGTCCAAAACGGCGTCAGATACCGAGCCAACGCCGCCAAAGAAGTCATAGTATCAGCAGGCGCGATAAACTCGCCGCAATTGCTGATACTCTCCGGCATCGGACCCGCCGAGCACCTCCGAAAATTAGGAATACCAGTCAAAGCGGACCTCCCAGTCGGCGAGAACCTCCAGGACCACCCGCTGTTCGTCAACATGTACTTCAGAACCAACATTTCATCGCCGAACCACACCATGCAGCAAAACATCGAGAGGTACTTCGACGGGCTGACGCCTCTAACCAACGGCGCCGGCTTGGAGCAGCTCGCCTTCCTCGACTTCGCCAACGACCCGTCGTCGCCCAAGGCCGACGTGGAGCTCATCACGTTCGCGCCGCCCTTCAGCGTGCCCGCCAACCCCCAAGGCGCCTACAACCTCAAGGACCGCTTCGCCGAGCCCTACTCCAAATACAACACTCTCACCGACATCAGCGTGATCATCTCGCTGATGAAGCCCAAGTCGCGCGGCCGCGTCACCCTCAAGTCCAACAGCATGCTCGACTTCCCGCAGATCGACATCAACTACTTCTCGGACGAGGCGGGCGAGGATATCGAGATGATGTACCGGGGCGTCCGGTACGTGTTGGGCTTGGAGGAGACGGAGGCGTTCAGGAGGATCGGCGCTCGGTACGTGGCCGAGCAGCCCGGCTGCGAGTCGCTGAAGGCCGACGAGAGGGAGTTCTGGTACTGCGCTATCAGGAACATGGCGGCCACGGAGTACCATCCCTGCTGCACCACCAAAATGGGGCCGTCGCCGGCGGATTCTGTGGTGGATTCCGTCGCTGTGGTGCACGGTTTCGATAATTTGAGGGTCGTCGATGCCGGCGTTATTCCTGTGATTACCAGCGGGCATCTGAACGCTGCTGTCTATATGATTGCTGAAAAGATATCGGATGTCATCAAACAGAAATACAATAAATAATTTACAAGTTGATGAAAGTTAATTTTTTCCTGGTCCAGATTTCCTGGCTCATTTCCAGCTCCTGGTGGTTTGTATATTTAGTACAGTTGATTCAATATGCTCATCATCTAGCCAATTAGATCCTGCGATAATTTCCTGCTGCACGTTTCTATCGACGCAAAAACATGTATGTTATTGAATTTCGAAATTTCGGGCGGGAAATCAGGAGGGTTTCGGTGGCCTTTTACGAACGGAGGCGCTGGCGCGCATCTCGCAGGAATCGCGCAGGACCGCCGCGCCAATGTGACGTCACGATCGATATAAGCGGCTGGTTAAATCCCGTATACTTGGTTCGTTTTTGGTGTTTATTCCTGAAAAAAATATAGATAAAAGTTGTTGGTTCCTTTTCGAATATGTAAGTATTGGTTGTTTTCGATGTGTGCTTTCGCGGAGTTTCTCTCGCAGGAAATTCGCGATGCAGAACGGGCGATGTCGGTGGTGTGTATAGATTTATCCTGCGTTGTGTAGGCGATTCCTGCTAAATTGGTTTTAGAGAAAATAATGCGTTATTTTGTTGAAGTTTTAATCGTGGTATTTACGTTTGTATTTTAACATTCTATTTTTACCTAAGAATATATCAATTTGTAACGACTAGTTTCGCATCAGAAGCTTGTTAATTTTATCGGTAATAGAAAGGAACTATTAATTATTTATACCAAAAAGTGATAACGCAATCTACAACCTTAAGAAACAAGACTATACTGGAGCAATTTTCGCCTAGTTATTGTTATAGATTTCATAATTTTTATTTATTCATAAGAAAATTTATTCGATTCGGGTAGGTGTCGGAAATTGATTTTCGCGTCCAACCCCGCTACGCATGCGCTTTTCTCCGGTGACACGACAATCCGAAAACCCGAAGAACAAGATTTATCGAAGGAGTAATTCTTGGGCTCCTTATTTACGCGACAATTAACGGGCATTTTGGGACCGATAATTCACAATGGAAAACTAAATAATATCCCCGCGTGCGGTTGGAGGCCATTCGCAAGAGAGCAGATAGATTTTTGATTGAATTTTTCGTGACCTACTCCCGTTTCATTCATAAAAGGAACCCTTACGAAATGTAGGTAGGATCTAGATAGTGTGACGTGTGTGTGTGTGTTAATTTAATTAGTTGAATTGAAAGTTTAATTAGTTGAAGTCTTAAAAATATTACTTATCGTATGCTTAGTAATTATTTTTTTTAAATATCGATTTGTTGAGGACTTTTTTTATAAGAAATCTTATTTTTTCATGATAAATTATTAAAGTATCTTTAACAAAAAGTGCATATTCCTAACAATAAGTTACCTAATTCATAACAAATTAATGTATTTTAATGAGATACGTCAAAAGGAAGTTCTAAATATACACCAATTTATTCTACCGTATTCATTAGATAACAATTTCCTTCAAATAACGCAATATCAATATCAATTCCAATATCAAAGTCCACCATAAATTCACTTCGACAGGAACATCGCACATGACATTCGCGTCTCCAGCTATTCCAGTCGATCTGTAGGCCCAATCGAGCACAGCCACCGGCAAAAACTCCATCAATCTCGATTGTAATACCACTTTCGTTGGCTCGCAGGTCGTCGGGGGACTCACTGGCCCCGGGAGCGGGGGCCGCCACCAGCGGCGCCGACGGCGAAATCGTAGGCGGGCCTCGGACCCCCCAGCAGGTCGCCGCCCAGCGGCGGCTCCAGCAGACCCAGGCGCAGGTCGACGAAGTCGTCGACATTATGAAAACTAATGTAGAAAAAGTACTCGAAAGAGATCAGAAATTATCTGAATTAGACGATAGAGCAGGTGATGATCAACATACGTTGTTAATATGATGATTATATGATGATTATATGATGATTATATGATGATTATATGATGATTATATGATGATTATATGATGATTATATGATGATTATATGATGATTATATGATGATTATATGATGATTATATAGTATATTAAAAAATGTGTTTGTTGTAGATGCGTTACAACAGGGCGCTTCGCAATTCGAACAGCAGGCTGGAAAACTAAAACGAAAATTTTGGTTACAAAATTTAAAGGTAAATAATATTTTCGCCCTTTTATAAATATGCTAATTCGTTTCGTTCATTACAGATGATGATAATTATGGGTGTTATCGGTCTTGTAATATTAATAATCATAATCAGTAAGTATTTCATAATATTTCTCTTAATTGTAACAAACATCACACTCATCCCCATTAAACAACAACTCCGAATCGTTATTAACAAAAGGTAAATGGTAAAAGTGCGTTAATTTATTGTGCCATAATAACTTTGCCTCAACTAAAAATTCCCTAAAGTATTCTTATACTAATAATAATTTAGCACATTTATACATTCCGCCATTAGTATTCGACGATACTAAACAATTTACTAATTACTCGGTAACTAACACAAGTTCGAAGGATTTGAGATCTAATTGGTTTTGTTTTTCCTCAGTGAACTTCATGTAACTCATGGGCCATAAATTCGGTAATTCGGAATGAAATTTGTGTTTTTTTTGGTGTAATAAGGCTTTCTGTCTGTCTTTCTGTCGTAGAAATAAACCTATATAACTTCGAATTATGATAATGTCTTCCTCTCATCACATTACTCTGTAAAATGATATTGAAAAAAAATATGTTTTCACGCGCATATTTTAAGTGTTTTTGAAAACCATTAAATTACTTACAATATGCGAATTCGAAAATCAATTGTGCATGTATTTTTTCTTCTTCGATCAGTAGATTTGAATAGAATGCTGTTTTAGTGGTATTTATTTATAATTTATAAGCATATTGTGTGTTTGAATTAATTCTATTTATATTTTCGAACTCCATTCTTTATATGCTTATAGATTTATGGTTTGCATACGATGTTATAAAAGTTCCTGGATCATACAACACAAATTAGTTAAATAGAAACTTTTTTTGGAAAATCCACGAACTTTTTAAGGTGTGCAAAAATGAGTAGATTAGATTAGTATACACTTTTGAAATTGTTTACACCTCTGTTCCTAATTATTTTTGTTCATTTCTTACGTTGTAACTAACACTGTACATTTTTTATAAACATAATTACTGGAAATGTAAATGTATCTCTAATGACAATAATTACTGATAAATTTTTATCAAAATTTATGCTAACTCATATTCTAATGAGAAAATTCGTAATCTACACGGCTTAATTTAGACACCCTCTTCATTCCACTCGAACAACTGATAAAGGTGACGGGATTAATATCTCTAAATTAATTATACAATTTCGTTATTTTTTTTATTTGTTTCTTTTATTTTCAGTTGCTTTATGTAAAATATTCGGTGCTTAAAAGGACTCAATAATTAATAATAATAATTTTATGATTTTACATGACATTTATGATATCCTGGTTCTCCCGAGAAGATGCATGGTAGTTGCACGTTTGTTGCATGCCGGTTTTGAATTAGAAACTATGCAGGTAAGAAGAGACACTAATAAAACGTGTCAAAACCGGAACATGTTCGATTTATCCGAAGGATATCTTCAAGTATCGAGGACAAGTCGAGGAAAATCTCTGTCATAGTGTTTCTCCTTGTCTATTAGGTGTCTCGTAATCGGTGTTATTTAAACATGTCGTTGGTAAATATTATAAAATCGTGTGATTTTTTCCAGTTCGAATTGGCAAAGAAAAGAAATCTCCAATTTATGAATACAATACACCAAAAACAAATCAGTTTATAAAAGTAAATTTACGTCTAGGTTGGATTCAAATAGGCGATTAGGTAAAGCCGGTTGACAAGTTGAGTTTATAATTATCTGTTAAAACGGGCGAGTCGGTAATATTCGGACGCTAGGATTTCGATTTTTCAAAAATATATAGAAAATACTCTTCGGGCTGTATCACTGTTTGCGTCGGAATGCTGGCGTCTCCATATCAAATGTTATAATGCATGTATTTAAACGAAAATATAACCAATACGAATTATTTTTTATTTGTTAATTAATATAAAGTTGTAAGGGCTGTACTTGTTATTCTGTTATGTTCAACAAAAAAGAAAAGAATGGTATTTTCGAAACAAAAAATAAACATCGAAAAATGATAGAAAAGATATCTAAATTCGGTCATTAAATGCTAAATTACATACTAAATATTTTGTAGTTTATTATTGTTATTGTTATTTCTACTACTAATAACGTCTTAAGACTGAAGATTACATATTTATAAGTTGAAATTTTTATTTTTAGACATTTCAACACAGATTCTAATCAGTTATGTTATCTTCCTTTGTTAATAATTATCCCCTACGAGACACCTGCTTATATTTTACTTATAAATTGATCAGAATAAAACAACAAATTTATTGAAGCGATAAAAATACTAATAATTCTTTTCTTTTTTCTGAAGGTTTGTAATGTTAGGCTTCGAAAAAAAAACTAATAAAATGCATTAATACAATAACCTAAGTGGTTGTAATTTATCTAAAATTACACTAATTTTCGAACCCAACATATTAGTATACAACTTTCATCGTAAAATTACAACTGCGTTTCGTAATTGTACTTAATTATAACTACTTAAGAAAAACTTAATTTCTCACAATAAAAACTGCCCAATCAATAATTAGTGAAATTTGAGAATAGGCTTAGCGAGATTTATCAGGGTTAGTTTTTTTCTATAGGTTTTTAAATTTAATTTAAAGCAAACTTTCTCATTTAAAAAAGTTACGGGGTGTTCTAAAAAGAAGCAAATTTCATGTATCATGTGAATGTTACTACGAAAAATTTTTTCAAAATATTTTACAGCACCCCTTTTGCCTATTGACAACACACTGTTAGTAATTAGTAGGTACTAAATACTTTTGATTTAATCAATTATTATATCGGTAAGATTATTTCCTGCGAAAACACATGGATTTATGAGCTCTTAGGTTTTTGTTAACCATAAAATTCAGGTAAAGAATATGCTGTTTGATAATGGTGAATCAATTAAATCGATTAATGATTATCAAATTTAATATTTTTATCAATTTCAGTAATAATGAAATTGATAGAAAGTAGTCGTAATTTAGACGCTGTATATGTAAATAATATAGGAATTAAATTATATTTATCTGGCAAATTGAAAACATGCGCGAAAATGTCACTAGAATTTTATTACATATTTAAAATGTATCTACTATTTAATTATATTACATAAGAACTTAATAAATGGCATTCTTAGCCGTTAAATCACACAGTAAAGGTATTTTTCTGTAATAATTTGAGTGATGAATTCGCGATAATAAAAAATTAAACAATTTACTTCCAAGCTATATTCTATTAGAATTATTTTGTTTTATAGATAAAAATGTTTATAAATGTAAATAGCGTAATTTAAAGCGTTGCTTTGTAACTTACCAGATTTAAAATCCCAGATATTTATGGATAATTGGCTATTTTAGAACGTTTTCATTGTTGTACATTTTTTTTTAATTTAATAAAATTGTGAAAATCTCCAAATTTCAATTAATAAAACACGTGGCACTATTGCATTGATTCATTTCGATAGAAAGCCTAAAATTTATACGAATTCAAAATCCCACCACTGTAATTTTATTATAAACTTTATTTTTCAGTGTAGATTTATAGAATATTTTCAGGTGGAATTTTTACTTAAATGTAATTAATCTTAATTAAGGATCACATGGAGTAAACGAAGCAAAGAGGTACCTATACATTTTCGTTTCTATTACTACAATATACTCGCATTTTAACTTTAATATTTTCAATTGCATGTCGTTAATAATTTTTACATAATATTTATTCATCACACGAAAACTCATCAAAACATCATTCTAAATGATACAGTGAAAGACAGACAGACTAAACACTGTTGTTAAATTTTATAGCAAGTTACTATACGAAGCGGGTTTACGGGGATGTGAAAATTAATCAATTAATTAACAGGGTTGTAAAAGTGGCAAGAAAATAAAATACATTCAAGCGATCGAACCGCGCTCATTCCTCATGATGCTCATCCGAGCGATCCAGTTTCTAACCAGTCCGTTCCCGCAGTGAAATTCATGCCGAACACCCCGGAGGCGGCGCAGCCCCCGGCGCCCGGCATCTACCAGCAGCAGCTGCCGGCGGCGGGCCAGCCGGCGGGGCCGCCGGCGAGCGCGGGCGCCGCCCCCGCCACCGCCGGGGCGGCCCGCTAGAGGAGGCCCCCGGAGAGCCGGTCGAATGGTCTAGGATTAAGCCGGTCCGTTTTCTTCTGCGCGAAGCTTCGTTTTGGCCGGGGCGGGTTCCGTTTTCTAATTAGTTAGAGTATTTAATGAATTTAATTAGTGTAAGTACACCGTGTTGATACAACAAATTGTAATTTGCGGTATTAGGGATTGGGAGCTACGTCAACGTTGAAAAATTTGGTTCACTTGAAAAATCGTTAATTTTGATGTTTGTACATACATGGATAAATTTCTCCGGCACTTTTCAGAACGAAATTTTATACATTATGGAATACTTAAGTGTATGTTTAGCCCAAATAGTGAATTTTCAATCCATATAACGAAAAACAAAGTCAATATATAATTTGTACATAAAAAATGTATTTATCGTTAAGAAGAAAATGGACTCCGCGTTGTTCATAAATGCAATGAAACTCTTGAAAAAAGCATATTATATTGTTAGTTAAAGCTCCATGCATCTTTTTAACAGACCTTAAGTAAATATAAACAGACCTAAAACCTGATTTTTTAATTAAAAACAACTCAAAATGTATGTCTCCTATCGGAATAAAAAAAATTAAATCAAACCCAATTGCAACTCAATTTATTATCATAATTATAATGTAATTATCTTCAATTAAAAAGCAGGTTGATGTAGATAATGTAAGTGGTGACGTAGACTATTTGCTGGGTGGCAACCCTGAATTTTATTGCAAATATGACAGGTGACACTTGACAGGTAGTTTTTAATTTGATTTCACTTTACTTACTTTGTAGTAAAATTCAGTACCAATTATTTTACCATACCTATACCCGCTTACACAGTCTATTAATTTAGAGATAATAAGTTGTTATATTGTGAAAACGTGTAATTAAAAAAAATAGATAAAATATACCTAAATGTACATTGCCAATTTGACAATATAATCTCACATTACTTAAAATATATCAATAAAACGAATTAATTTACTTACAATTAGAAGGGAACAGCAATATTTACCTCAAAGGTTTGTTATAATAGATGTTCTCACAAGTGAATCTAATCGTACGATAAATTTTACGATAAACATTGAACAAACCACGATTTCAATAACGATCAATACAACATCACCACAGTTTGTGAGATTATATCGTAGCTTCAAAAAAATTTTATTTCCACATGTTATATCATAAAAACGAGCGTATCTATTAAACTTTATGTACTGATCATTTCAGAAAATAAAGACGTGTTGTCTCATTCGCCTCATCTCTCCCTCGCCCTACACCAGCTCGTTCCCCCTTCGAATCGAGTACTTGGTCTCGGTGACCTCGTCGTAAACATCCCCGTCGACTTGGCCGGCCTCGCCCGCGGGTCCGGGCCCCTGGGGCAGCCCCGACCCGTCCTCGGGCTTCAGGAACGCCGCCCCGTCCATCCCGAACCGCATGCAATCGAAGTGCAACACCAGCACAGTGGCCTGCTGCACCCTGGTCTCGAAGTCCAAGCACATGTGCAGGTTCTGGCCCGGGGCGTACACGTCGTAGATCCTCGCGCAGGCCTGCACTTGCAGGGGGATGTAGGGAACCGGCAGGGGGATGCACAAAGGTGGAGGGTTCTTAGCTGCAATACATCCGAGTTTTAACGCAAAATCCAGCGGTAATCGCTGATGATAATTTTACCTGAAAACGAGTTGGAGTAGATGTTGTTGTTGTTCATCAGAACGTTCATGTTGATGGCGAATTCGTCCGGATCGTAAGTGAAATTCAAGCAGCCTGCAATCGGATAAATGAGATGTTTGTGGATTGGTCGAGAAGCGAATTTACCTTCTCTGTTGAAATTGAACTGGTTCAAATTGATGCCCAAGCAACAGCCGCAGAGGAAGTTGCTGCAGGAGCAGCCGTTGCTTCGGAATCCGATTCTTCTTACGGTTTTGTATGGGGAATTGTGGGTGTTTTTGGTGGTTTGTTTCACCCCCACGAGCACGTTTTCTACGGAGGTGAGCCGGAGGGATTGCCTCGTAGAGGGGTCGTAATAAGGCGAGGAAAACGGAATGGATTCATCTGAAATTTATCGATTAATCCCTCCACTGTTACAAATCTACCCACAATCGATACATTCAGTTATTTATAATATTCTAATTGTATTGAAATTCATATCCAGTAATACTCTTGTTGAGTGAATGAAAGTGTAGGTAAGTTTAACGGTACATACCTTGCGTGTAGGTCGATTTAATTCCGAAATAAACCAAAAAACAGGCACAAACTCTAATGTAACCCATCGCAATTGCGGCTCGGTTATAAGTCAACAAATGTAGCGAAGAAAGTGTCTTGTCCGAATAACTAACAGCATTTTGAATGTAAAATTTCAATTAATGATATCGTTAATATTAATGGTCCTACGTGCAAAAAGAAACCGGCCAAAGAGAGGTTTCTTATCGAAATAACCGTGTTAACCGTTACTCCATTGCATTTTTTTTATACCGGTTGGACCAATGCGAGATCGCTCGAGCTATCTGTATACACCTACGTATTAGATTTTTAGAAGATTATCTTTGAATTAAGCTACTGTTAAAGAACTACTTTCTGTTATCTTTAATCTTTTGTTATCTTGAACAAATAATTTCCAAAAACAATCTTTAGTTTTCGTTGCAATAATAAAATTGTTTACTAATTTCGCTTACATAGATATAACTGATATCATTTACTATAGATTGTTAATTCATTGAATGTTACTTCAGGATGTGAATATTTGGATGGTTTAAGAAGAAAAGTTTATAAGTCCTAAACCTCTTAGTTTTCGAGCTACAGGGTGTACTTATTAACGTAATCAACACCCTGTAAATCAGCCTTTTGTTAAAAAAATAGTACCCTTGATTCTCATTCTTAAGTCAGGTCAGGTTATTTATCTAACATCTAACTCTATCGACCACAAAATATTTTTTGTATCTACGCTATACTGTTTTTCACCGAGTCATTATGAATGCATGAATTGGCTGAATTCCTCAAAGACTATTCGAAACGTAATGACATTCTGGAATTGTCGATAAGGAAACAACGCAAGTTTCTATAATTATTATAAAACACCAATATTACACGGCACTCTATTATCAATCAATATAGGCTCGATTTTAGAGATTGCAAAACGTGTACACAGATAGTCAAATTATGTTGTAAAGAGATAAAAAGTGCTTGAAAAAAGGTTGCCAGTTTAGTGTAGGAATCAAATGAGCTAAGAAGAAAATAGTTTAGTAATTTTTATGTGAAATATGGTGAGTATCTACATATAATTTAATGTTTAAAATAATGAACTTATAAGACTCGATCTCAAGAGATATTTGAAAAGCAGACCAGCAAAAAATTGAAAAAGAGGGATAATAACAAATAAGGCATTAATTTTATTTAATAAGATACTAAGTTAGCTAATAGTATAAGATTTTAAATTTTAATTTATCCTTTTTGTATCGCAACAAATGCACATCCCCTGGTGATTAGATTATTCAGCTCATTTCCATTCCATTTTTGAGTGATCTTGATGAGATTTTTTTGTAGTATCCTTTTATTTGATTGCATTCCGTAAGAGACACTTTTGTTTAATAAAAATATGAATGAGTACTTCAACCTAGGTGCAAATTGGGTTGCTACATTGAGAAAGATAAAAGAATTTTCAAGTGTTTGCTTCGAAAGTAGGGCATTAAGAAACGACCTTTCTTCTTCATTAATACGTAAGTGTTTTTGAACTTAATAGAGTTACTATTGGATTGATTTATCAGTACAGATAATATTAGTTAATACGAAATGCATTAACTAATTTGCAGGTAATTTAAATGGGTATCTGTGGAAGTGGCGGTTGCATGCTTTTCACTTTTTTCGATAAATTAATCACTTTTGTGCAAAATATTTCAATGCGATAAATTCGTCTGACGAAGTTGTTGTCGTTCATTGTACGATATAAATAAATTTATTCAAAGTGTATTGATTAGCGCGATAGTAAATGACTATTCCTTTTTAACTAATAAAAATTACAATCGTTTTTATAGATTGCAAATTCTCGAAAGTGTGTCCAAAGTTTGTCGCACCAAGTCGAATTTCCATCAGGTATTAAAATCTCCCCGCACTAAAAATGTTATTACATAACCGAATATTTTTCGCATCGGAATTGTTATTGCACAAAATTATTTTTTATCGATGACAACATTTCCCAGCGATTTCTGAAACCGTTCGAGTCAAACGATTCCCGACGTGCCCAACCCGCATGATCTCTCGTTGAATTCCAGGTCGACTATTGAGCGCCGAATAATGGGAATAACCACCAACAACGACAAGAAGAGCTCCCTCAGAGAGGACGAAGACCGACGCGTCGTCGTCGTCGACGACGCCATCGTCATACACGAGAACAACCGCGTCAGAACCAGCAAGCTCTCCACCCCGAAGACCTCGCTGTCGGAGCCGGGCTCGAAGAGGAGCTCCCTGGGCGTGTACAGCATCGGTAAGTGCGAAGGTACCATGAGAATTCACCGAAATGCGGCTGTTTAGGAGGGTTTTCAGTTGAATCTCAAATCAGAAGGGACGCCGCGAGGAAGTCCATCGTTTCCATAAGGAGCGAAAAGCAGAAATTGGACGAGGAAAAATGGTACCAGATCATCACGCAGGTCAGCGTGCCGTTTTTCATCGCCGGAATCGGCACTATAGGCGCTGGGATTGTGCTATCAAAAGTTACAGTAAGTAGGTATTTCATCTAGCAGATAAGATAGGAAATTCGATCAAACAGCTAAATAAACAAACGGAGTTTATTAAATATACGAAGCAGATGGAAAATTTCGCTTTGATCCGTAGGAATTCAAAGTGTTCAAAAAAGTACAAGCTCTTTTGGTACTCATACCAGCCTTGTTGGGCCTGAAAGGGAACTTAGACATGTGCTTGGCCTCCAGACTATCCACGCAAGCCAATTTGGGCAAATTCGAAGATAAAAGAGAACTATTCAAGATAATCTACGGCAACGTATTGCTTGTTCAGGTACCAACCAACCGCCTAATATCCCATAAACTATTAATAATCGCGATATTCCAGATACAAGCGATAGTAGCATCGTGCGTTGTATCGGTATTCGCAGTATCCGCTTCGGCTATGCTAAACGGGCATTTCGAATGGCTCCACACGCTTCTCCTCATAACATCCAGCATCTTAACGGCTACTCTGTCGTGCTTCACGCTGGATTTGGTCCTCGTTAGCATCATCGTGCTGTCGCACAAGATCAAAGTGAACCCAGATAACATAGCCACACCGATGGCAGCGAGCATCGGCGACGTGGTTTCTCTAATAACTCTATCGCTTTGGGCCAGATTATTGTTTTCAATACACGGTAGGTTCGTCAATAGCACTGTAATTAACGCTGTGAGGTTTGGAATTTTCGTAGAAAAACATACATGGGTGATGTTCGCGATTCTGGGCTTCTACATTTTCGGATTGCTTCCGATTTGGGTTCTGATCGTACGACGTAACGCCTACACCAAAACCGTTTTGCTGAACGGTTGGGTTCCGGTTATATCGGCCCTCTTCATCAGCGGGTAAGTGCTTACCTGGATTCTCGAAATAGGAAATTTACTGGGCTACTTCTGGTTGGTTGTAGAATGGGCGGAATCGTCTTGCAAACGGCTGTAGGCAAATTCGCCGGGTACGCCGTATTCCAACCCATCGTGAACGGAATCGGCGGCAACTTGGTGTCCATACAAGCCAGTCGAATATCCACCATGCTCCACAAAACCTCCCTCGAAGGCGTCATACCCTTACACACGAAGCAATGGGCCACGCCGTACGAAGCTTTAATCAGCGGAGGTAACCACCTATTGACACTTTTAAAACATTTTAAACGCCACATTCTGTTCTAGTGCTTCCAGCCAAATCGGCCAGACTCCTGCTGGCGCTCTCCATTCCGGGCCACATCGTGTTCGTTTTCGCTGCGGATCTCATCAACAGCAAGGGCGGGGTGACGGTGAACGTGTTCTTCGTGCTGATTTACATACTGGTGGGGTCCATCCAGCTGGTGATACTGCTTTACGTTTGCCACATCCTGGTGCACACCATGTGGAGGTTCCGCATCGATCCGGACAATTCTTCCATTCCCTATCTGACGGCGCTTGGTGATCTGCTGGGGTCCACGCTGCTGCTGGCCGGTTTCGTTTTCTTGGAGTCCGTCGGGCACGAATATAAGAAAAAACATACTCATGGTCTTTAAGTGGGAATTTACTGTTTTATCTGCTACGCTAGGATATTTATCTACATGTTGGTTATAATTTTAATTAAATATTTATATTGTACTGTACGTATTCTACGCTCGCTATTCGAGCCGCAACGACGTTCTAGTCAAAGCGTTATTTACGCTTTAAATGTGATAGATTCGTTGGAAAACCACGGACAATAATTAGCAATAAATATCGATGTAATTTTCTTTCGACTCGAAGTTAATCCTTTGGTCCTAATCATTTGATTGAATCGCATCGTGACGGTGGGAAATTTCATTTTTCATCGATTCACGAGGCGCAATTGATGACGTGCACAATAAATCACGATGCGAATTTTATAAATTCGAAAAAAAATCGATGCGACTTTCTTTATTAATTCACCAGAACCGGCTTCATAACCTACTGAGAAGGACTAAGAAAGACTGAGAAAGAGCGATAAGGTTCGACAAGGATGGAGAAGGAGGATTGAGGAGGAGCTTTGAGGAGGTTTGAGGACGAGGTGTGAGGAGTAGATTTGAGTAGGAGGTTTGAGGAGGAGGCTTGAGTAGAAGGTTTGAGGAAGAGGTTTAAGGAAGAGGTTTGGGGAAGAGGTATGAGGAGGAGATTTGAGGAGGAGATTTGAGGAGGAGCTTTGAGGAGGAGCTTTGAGGAGGTTTGAGGACGAGGTGTGAGGAGTAGATTTGAGTAGGAGGTTTGAGGAGGAGGCTTGAGTAGAAGGTTTGAGGAAGAGGTTTGAGAAAGAGGTTTGAGGAAGAGGTTTAAGAAAGAGGTTTGAGGAGGAGGTTTCAGGAGTTGAGGAGGAATGAGGAGGATTGAGGAGCAACATTCTCTTCTACCATGATCGTACTAACTTAGATTTTTAATTATCAATTTTATGGAAATAAAAACCAAATACTGAGGAAAGTAGTACAGCTGAATTAGGGATTTGAAAATACCTGCAGCCGGCCCTGGCGATCTTACGTTTTATATTTGTCGTTTGATGTTGAAGGAAGATCGTGTCTTGGTACGGATCAAGCACAAAATATCTGGATGAGACCACGCGAATATAATAACGTGATTCCGGCATGATATATGTCACTGTTCCGCAAACTTTCCGCGGAATTCGAAGCGTCTCGGTTAAACGTTTCAGTCGCTAACCTACTTTGTTCCCGAAGATGGGACGCATTGTATTCTTTCGGTCGTGCCGTTTGTTCTGAAATTCCGACGAGAAAGGTAATCTAGTTAGCTTAGGGGACCGGGTGCCGGGAAATTAATTGAATTTTCCGATTACCAGATGATCGAATTTCGGTCGCGTGCGAACCCGGTTTCGCTCCGAATCGACGACATTGATTTTTTTTTTTCGAATTTATTCTTTCGTTTTACTGCTATTTGCAATTCGAATTGTTTCAAGTCCATTGCTAACCATCTGGAATAATCCAGAATCACTTCACAGAAGATTATTAATAGTTAAACAACTTTTGCTACAGACTCTTAAGTAAATATTGATTAGTAATTGATTAATTTTTTGTTGTAATTAATCGATTGATTTCCTAAACTATCTCAAAAGGATTAGGTTTTTGTGACAATTAATAAGGAAGTCACGTTTCCCATTTATTTGTGGAAATTAGGCAAACAGTGGAAAGGCACGCGATAATCTTGTAATGTCCCTTTTACATGAAAACGAAACTTTAAAAGGGCAAAATGCAGACCTTATTATCGTCTAGTTTGCAAGTTTCTTTCCCAACTTCTGCTTTTTTATATAACACAATCAACTCGCTTCCTTTCTATAACTAAAAATACCGGCGGTGAAATCCAGCAGGCAAATGGATCCACAAGCATCGCAGGTGGACAACAGATTGGATTTCCTCGGCAGTTACGTGCAAAAAACGTTAAAACTAAAACCAGAAAAATGGACTCGCATGATGAACACCGAAGAGCACAAGGCGGTGATCAAGAAATTCCTAGAAAGACCCCAACCAGTATTACTAGTCGTAATACTAACACAAACAGCCCAACTCATCGCCACCAGCGGCTTTCCTTTACCACAATTGAAGAGCAAAGGTACCAACAATCACTACACCAACAACCACTTTCTCTTTAACTCTACCAACCAACTTTCCAGGAGTATATTTCGTTAAAAAATCCCCTATCCCCGTATGCAAACTCACACCTTCAGACACCATCATACCAGGCGACCTATCATCGAAGGTAATCGATCAACTAGCATCTCTAGTAGACGAGGTAAACCAACCGAATCCACCTTCTACGATCTCCTCTAACGCTCGCCTTCCGCCAGATTCTGGTACCCCTGTTGTCCAACCCGCGCAACCACGAGGGATGGCCCGCCGTGATAGCGAAGGACGTGCACCGGCACGTGCACAGCCTCCGGAGCACCGTCTACCAGGTGAAGGGCCAGGTGAACGGGCAGACGGTGCTGCCGATGCCCGTCGGCGTCGACCGCGTCTTCGAGGCCGAGAGGACCGTGGTGGAGAGCGACGGGGAGACGTGCGATTTGTACCTGAAGAGCGCCATCGAGGCGGTGGTGATCAAATGGTCGGCGCAAATCAACGACGTCCTGGCCGACGACTCGTCGGAGAAGGCTCCTGCCATCGTGAATCCAGTACCGGCAATCGGTAGATAAAGTAGTTTCCACTAAATACTTTGTAGAAGTTAATTTTGTAGAATTGGAATTCTGGAACAAGCGCCAGAAGAACCTGCAGTACATCTACGATCAACTGAAAGAGCCGAGAATTAGAAGTATGGCGACGATACTGGAGAAAACCAACAGCGCTTACTTTAACAGCTTCAAAACAACCTTCAAGAACACTGTATTAGGTTTATCCGAAGCGCAGGATATTAATTTCTACTTGACGCCGCTGAAGAAGCACATTAAAGCGTTGGAGGAGACGGATTTCAGCGAGAACATTCCTCTGCTAGCTCCGACCGTGCACGTTATAGTATTGATATGGACGAATTGCATGTCGTTCGATCAGAACAAATTGGTTACGCTATTGAAGCAAATTTGCAACTTGCTGATACAAGAGGCGAAGAAATTTTTGGATCCCACCACACTCTTCCACAGCGACATCGACGAGGCGATGCAAAGGGTGAATTACTGCGTTAAAGCTCTGAGGCAATTCGCCGATATCTTCCAATGGTACAAGAAGAATTTGTCCAGATTCTGCACGGATCCGAGAAAGGAGCCTTGGAATTTCCATCCTAATTTGGTGTTCGAAAGGTTCAACGCCTTTCTGGACAGACTCAATACCATTCAATGGTTTTTCAATACCGTTTTAGAGTTCAACAAGTTGGAAAAAGTGGAAATCGGTGGCATTAAAGGTATAAACTTTTAAACTAGGTAGTTAATAATTTTTATCGAAATAATTTTAGGACGAACTTTAAGCTCGAGAGTCACGGAGATCTATCGAGAATTTCAGCAAAGCTTTTCTGTATTTTCCGGAAAATCTTACGATGTGCTGGATCCGGACGATTCCACTTTTTTGGCGGATTTCGAAGACTTTAAGAAGAAAATACACGAATTGGACATGAAGCTATCGACTGTATTATGCCAGGCATTTGATGATAGTTCAAATTTGGATAGCACATTTAAAGTACATAGAACAAACTAATAGTAAATAAATACTATTACAATTTGTTATGTTTTAGCTGATAAACATTGCCGGTTCCGTTCTGGATAGACCGCTAATTAAAGAAGAATTTACCAGCCAATACGACAAAATATTAGTAATGCTAGAAGCCGAAATCAAAATGGTGGAAGTAAGTAAAATTATCGGCACAAAATCAATTTATCAATCCACCCATTTCAGATCATATTCGACGAACAAATGGAAACAAAGCAGAAGATCGGTCATTTCAACTTAGACAAATACATGCCGCCTGTAGCGGGGATTTTAAGGTGGACCAGAAATTTGTGTACGAGACTTACAGGACCGTTGCAAAACTTCAAAGCCCTCCAACACCCGTAAGCTTTAATGATACCTTTCAGACATTCACTTGAAATTATCACAACTTTCTATTAGAATCGTGGAAAGCCAAACTGGCTGCGACCTAATTGCCAGAGCGGAGAAATTTTTGGACATCGCCAGAAGCTTCACCCGCCAGACATTCGCGTTGTGGGCAGAAGCTGCTCCCGCTCAAATAGAATCCAATTTAAAGAAGAACATTTTGAGGCGAGACCCCCGCACGAAGGAGCTCTTCTTGAATTTCAGTCTAGAGGTAACCAAATAAACGATTCGCAAACGATAACTCACCGAAAACATTGCAGCTCACAGCGATCTTGAGGGAAGTGCACTACTTGAAGCTGATGGAGGAGCCCGACATTCCCGAGGTGGTGCTGAAGCTGGCAGAAAGGAACGAAACCTTCCAGCAGTATACAACCAACGTCAGTTCCACGGTGACCTGGTACAACAAAATCAAAAGAACCTCGAAAGAGGTCGAATTCAATTTGATCGAAAAGGATCTAGTCGAAATCGATAAAATGATAACCGTAGGGGAAGAACAACTAAATTGGGAATCCGAAGGTAATGATGATTTAAAAATTTTAACTAGAACTTATTTCACTTTGTTAATTCCAAGCTCTTTGGGAGTACATGATAAAGCTCCACATGCTGGTGGGTAACCTGCAGGGTCGCCTGCAAAAATGCCAGGTGAACTTGGATGAGATCAAGAATATTCTCGTGCCGTTCGCACGCCAGCCTTTGTTCGAAAGAAAGGAAGGAAGAAAAGAAGCCTGCTTGGCGCTGGACGAACGAACTGAAAAACTGGAGAAGAGAAAGGCCGATATAAAAGTGGCTACTGGTAGAATATTGCAATTGCTTGAAGAGAACATGAACTTGTTCCAAATGACCGATAAGCAAGAGGACGAAAAATGGCTGCATTACATCGATTACACCGATAAAATCGTATCGAACTACCTTTATCAATCAGTCGGTTGCAGGTAAGTTAATCCATACACAAAATATCATAAACTATATATCCAATTTTAGTCTTGGTTACATTAACGAACACATGGAACCCAGCAATAATTTACCACCATTATTCGAATCGCAACTAAAGCTTATGGAGCCCAACATAACATTCATTCCATCATTAGATACTTCAGATCCAGACGGTCTAAAAAGCCTGATAACCGGTCTAATAAACGACATAATCGACACCTCAGCCATAGTAGAAAGATTCTCCAAAACCACCGCCGGTTCATACAAAGAAGAAATCCAAGCCAACGAAGACATCGTCGAGATAATCACCGACATAATGTCCAACATAGACAAAGTAGTGGAAGAAAGTTACGAATTTTGCGACAACTATCAATCCTACGCGTATTTGTGGCTGGACGACAGGGACCAGTACCTCCATCAGTTCCTCAACTACGGCAGGCAATTGACCAACGACGAGCTGGAGTACCTGGGTATGCAGGATCCGATGGCGCCCAAGCCGAACCCGCCGAAAATGGAGCAGTTCCGCGAGCAAATCGACAACTTCGAGAACTTGTCCAACCAAGTCGAGACCATCGGCGAAACGGAAATCTTCCACCGGTGGTTCAAAGTCGACGTGAGACCGTTCAAACAAGCCTTGCTCAACACGATCAGGAAATGGGGCAACATGTTCAAAGATCACCTGGTCACCACGGTCACTTCTAGTCTCTGCGACCTGAGCAACTTCATAAGGTGAATATAATAGCTACCTGTTAACGACAAATTGTAAAAATTATCATTCAGATTAGCCGATGAGGGTCTCCAGCAAACCGTCATCGAGGGCGATTACCAAGCTCTGGTGAACGTAATGGGCTTCCTGTTAAACGTCAAAGAAAGACAAGTAACCACTGACGAAATGTTCGGACCGCAACGAGATATAATCGAGCTGCTCAAATTCTACGACATGGATATACCGGAAGAGGTTAACGTTTATCTGCAGGAGCTACCGGAGCAATGGAACAACACCAAAAAAATAGCCATCACAGGTATTTTAAACTATCACTAACCTCCTTAACATTCATTCCAACGTTATTGTTTAGTGAAGCAGCAAGTAGCTCCTCTTCAAGCTGCCGAGGTGACGTGCATCAGGAAGCGAATAGTCGACTTCGACAACAGAATCATCTACTACAGAGAGGTGTTCAAGAAGTACGAATTCTTCCAGTACAGCTGTGTAGATGCCTACGGTGAAATCGACCACGTGCACAGAGATTTGAGCAAATTCGAGAAGAACATGAAAGACATACAAGCCTCCGGCTCCTTGTTCGAAGTCAACGTACCGGAATTCAAAATACTGAAGCAATGCAGAAGGGATCTGAGATTGCTGAAGGTACGATTAGTACGAAATCGAATTCGTATTAACAATATTATTTGCAGCAATTATGGGATTACGTGAACATAGTGCACACTTGCGTGGACGATTGGAAGACCACTCCGTGGAGGAAAATCGATGTGGAGAACATGGACATCGAATGCAAGAAGTTCGCGAAGGAAGTTAAAATGCTGGACAAGGAAATGCGAGCTTGGGATACATTCGTCGGTCTGGAAGCCACCATTAAAAACACTTTAACGTCTTTGAAAGCCGTAGGGGAATTACAGAATCCTGCGATTCGCGAAAGGCATTGGGACCAACTGATGACAAGTACAAAGGTAACTTTTAGCACGGCTGGTTTTTGCACTGTACATATGTAAATAACTAAAGTAAACGGAAGATATGAAGGATATATATCTTCTTGAATAATTTGTAAGTAAAAAGTCAATAAATTTGTATATACCACAATTTGGTGTTACAGAATCTGGCTGCACTTCCACGAGAATTTACAGTGAGTGTTTGTACATAGCAAATTAGCACCATCAAACTATTGTTGATATATTTAGCACCATTAAAATCATTTCCCTCCATACTTCACACCGAAATTATAATCAATCAAAAATTTATTTTATTCTTTTATCAAGAAAAATAATTATCATCAGTACTATCATTGTTTGACCCATTTTGACTCACCAATAACTTAATTTCAAATCAAGTCTATTAAATACCAATGTTCACTAAATTAGCATGTTCACTAGATTAGCGAAGTTCACTAGCATTGTAATGTTCACAAGATTATCAATGTCCACTGGTTTAGCAATGTTAACTAGATTAGCAACGTTCACAATATCCATTAGATGATCCTTTTGTACCAAAAATGAACTAATATCTTTTAGACCAAGATCGTGATGGACCACAACACGACGTTGGCCGACCTCCTGGAGCTGAACCTGCACGAGTGCGAGGAGGAGGTGAAGAACATCGTCGACAAGGCGGTGAAGGAGATGTCGATGGAGAAGACGCTGCGCGAGCTGAACGTCACGTGGTCGGCGATGGAATTCGAGCAGGAGATCCACGTGAGGACGGGCTGCAAGCTGCTGCGCGCCAGCGAGGAGCTGATAGAGACGCTGGAGGAGAACCAAGTGCAATTGCAGAATTTGATAACGTCGAAGTTCATCGATCACTTCTTGGAGGACGTCTCTTCGTGGCAGAACAAGCTCAGTTTGGCCGATCAAGTGATTACTGTTTGGTAATATCTGTTGATACCAGCGAGATTTTGTGTTTGTAATAATTCCTGCAGGTTCGAGGTGCAAAGGACTTGGACGCACTTGGAGTCGATTTTCATGAGTTCGGAAGACATTCGCAAGCAGCTACCCGAAGACTCGGAACGATTCGATAAAATCGACACGAACTTCAAGAAACTGATGATAGAAATGGCCAAAGTCCCGAACGTCGTGGAGTCGACCAACCGGCCCGGCCTGCTGGAGGTGCTCGAGGAGCACCAGAAGAACTTGACCCTTTGCGAGAAGGCTCTGGCCGTTTACCTCGAAACCAAGCGACTGGCCTTCCCGCGCTTCTACTTCGTCTCCTCCGCCGATTTATTGGACATACTGTCCAACGGCAACCAGCCGGAATTGGTCGCCAAGCATCTGATAAAGCTCTTCGACTCGATAGCCAAGCTCAATTTCGGCAGGAACGACGACGGCAGTCTCGACAAGCAAATTCACGGAATGGTGGCGAAGGATGGAGAAGTTGTGCAATTCAATGCATCGACCACCTGCGACGGTGCTGTAAGTTTTCATCGCTAACAATATTTTCGATTCTAATTTTTTTGGCGAAGGTGGAAGTTTGGTTAAACCGAGTCCAAGCCAGCATGAGAACCACAGTTAGGATATTCACCGGAGACGGTGTTGCTTCTTACGAAGAAAAACCAAGAGACCAATGGTTGTTCGATTTTCCAGCGCAAGTGTCTTTATGCGGCACTCAAATATGGTGGACGACTGAAGTGAACGCGGCCTTCTCCCGATTGGAAGAAGGCTACGACAACGCCATTAGAGATTACTACAAAAAACAAGTCTCCCAACTCAGCACCCTCATAACACTATTACTGGGTAATACCCTTACACTAATACAACTCAAACACCTAAAGTTATTCGCTGTTACACAGGCGATTTAACGCGCCAGGACAGGCAGAAAATCATGACGATTTGCACCATAGACGTCCATTCGAGGGACGTCGTGGGAAAACTCATCCAAACCAAAGTGGAAAGCGCTTTGGCGTTCCAGTGGGTGTCCCAGCTCAGGCACCGTTGGTGCGACAAAGACAAGCAGTGCTACGCCAACATATGCGACGCCCAATTCAAATACAGCTACGAATATTTGGGCAATACCCCGCGGCTCGTTATCACCCCTTTAACCGATCGTTGTTACATCACTTTGACTCAAGTGAGTTACTAGTTTATCCACACGCGCTCTATTTTTAATTTATATTCCTAACTTAGAGCCTTCATTTGATAATGGGCGGTGGTCCAGCTGGTCCTGCTGGTACAGGAAAAACCGAAACCACCAAAGACTTGGGCAGAGCGCTGGGAATTATGGTGTACGTGTTCAACTGCTCTGAACAAATGGATTACAAAGTAACCTTCCTATAGTTAATATATTTTTTTTTGTTGATTGTTATTGTTCCAGTCGTGCGGTAATATTTATAAAGGCTTGGCTCAAACGGGAGCTTGGGGTTGCTTCGATGAATTCAACAGGATATCCGTTGAAGTGCTATCAGTAGTAGCGGTGCAAGTAAAATCCGTTTTAGATGCTATTAAAAACAAGAAAGTCACCTTCGACTTTATGGGCGATCCCATTCAGCTGGTTCCTACTGTCGGCATCTTCATTACCATGAATCCTGGATACGCGGGAAGGACCGAATTACCAGAGAATTTGAAAGCTCTGTTCAGGTATTATTATTTTTCATCGTTAAGATCTCATTCACATCTATTAATAAACAACATTTTTGAAGACCTTGCGCTATGGTTGTACCCGATTTCGAATTGATATGCGAAATTATGCTGGTAGCGGAAGGTTTCCAGGAGGCGAAAATCCTAGCGAGAAAATTCATAACTCTCTACACGCTTTGCAAGGAGCTACTCTCCAAGCAGGATCATTACGATTGGGGATTGAGGGCTATTAAATCAGTATTGGTTGTAGCAGGATCTCTGAAGGTGATAGTTTAGTGTTGTTATGATTTCCCAGTAATTTAAAATGGTTGTACTCCAGAGAGGCGATCCGGGAAGGCCGGAGGAAGAGGTGCTGATGAGAGCTTTGAGGGATTTCAACATACCCAAGATCGTAACAGACGACACGCCAGTTTTCATGGGGCTGATTGGTGATCTGTTCCCGGCGCTGGAGGTCCCCAGAAAAAGAGACGCGGAATTCGAAAAAACCGTCAAGCAGGCAGCCATCGACTTGAAACTGCAACCGGAGGATAATTTCATTCTAAAAGTCATTAAAAATAACACCTAATACTCACTCAATAATCCCACATTTCAATTTGCAGGTGGTTCAATTAGAAGAACTTCTGGAAGTCAGGCATTCCGTCTTCATAGTGGGCAATGCTGGTACAGGTAAAACGGAAGTATGGAAGACTCTCTTCAGAACTTACACCAACATGAAGAGAAAACCGGTCTTCAACGATCTGAACCCCAAAGCTGTTACCAACGATGAATTATTCGGTATAATAAATCCCGCTACAAGAGAATGGAAAGATGGTAACAAACTCATCTAATATTTCATACAAACTTCTTTAATACATTTTAATAGGTTTATTGTCAGTGTTAATGCGCGACCAAGCCAATTTACCCGGTGACAATCCCAAATGGATAGTCCTCGACGGCGACATTGATCCCATGTGGATCGAATCATTGAACACTGTGATGGACGATAACAAAGTCCTAACATTAGCCAGCAATGAACGAATAGCCCTAACGCCTGTGATGAGATTGCTGTTCGAAATATCCAATTTGAGAACCGCCACTCCTGCCACTGTCTCCAGAGCCGGCATCTTGTACATCAACCCTCAAGACTTAGGCTGGAATCCGTAAGTAAATTCATGCTCGTGTAATAATCGATCCAACTTCTCGCGTCGCCATAACCCCGTTTAATCGATACTCGCTTTCACAAACTAAACGGTTGTCGCGGTGTGAACAAATCCAAAATGCCTCCGAAGAAAAAATCCTCCGGGAAAATCATCGATGGAGTCGACACGTCGTCGATGACCAGAGAACAACTCGAGGAGTTCGTGCAACGGATAAAAGAAGAAAATGACAGGGAGCGCGAAGAGCGGAACTTCTTCCAAATGGAGAGGGACAAGATCAAGACGTTTTGGGAGATCGCCAAGGCCGAACTGGAGGAGGCCCAGGCCCAGCTGCGCAACAAGGACAGGCAGCTCGAGGAGGGCGAAGAGAAGAACGAAGAGGACCTGAAACTCTACAAGCAGAAACTCAAGCACGTGCAATACGAGCACGAGAACAACCTAACCGAGGCGCGAGCCGAGTCCTTAGTCGTCCTAAGGCAAGTCCAAGACGACTACGAGAAAAAGGAGCGGGACTTGCAACAAGACAAGCGCGACTTGTCCGAGTTTATTAAAGAGCAGCAATTGAGCTACGAAGCGAAAATGAAAGCCCTGAAGATCGAACACGCCGAAAAACTGAACAAAGCCATCGGCGATTTCGACACCAGAATCAGCGATATCAACAAGGAATACGAAAACAAATACGAAGAGAAGAAATCCTACTTAACGATGAAATACGAAATGGAAATATCCCAAATACATGAACGCAAAAACCAACAAATTAACGAACTCATCAAACACCACGACGAGGCTTTCGACAAAATGAAAATTTATTACAACGACATCGTTTTGAACAACTTGGCACTCATCAGCTCGTTGAAGGACCAAATGGAAGCACTCAGGAAGCAAAACGATAGAACCAACAAACAACTGGCAGATCTATCGCTCGAAAATAAACAGCTCGGTCTTCCTTTGAAGAACGCCCTAGAAGAAGTCAAGGAGTACAAGAGGAAGCTAGAGAACTACGAAAGGGACAAACTAGCATTAACCAACATTAAATCGCAACTAGCAGATAAAACCAAACGACTAAAAGAAGTTGAGTGGTCTCAGGAAGCTCTACAGATGCGCTTCGAAAGCCTGCAAATAGAAAGAGATGAGTTACACAACAGATTCATCCAAGCCGTCATGGAAGTGCAACAAAAAACAGGTAAGTCCAATGAAATTACCATAGAATCAAATCGTTTCCCAACGACACAAAAACCCCTAGATATATAGTTTCCAAGGAAACAGTACCACACTTTTTACCCTTCTCAGTTGTCACTATCACATTATTTTTTATACAATCACCTTCGAATCGCCACCAAAATGGCGCAAAAGAAAGTAATCATCGATGGCGTGGACACCTCCAAGTTCACCAGAGAACAACTGGAAGAGTTCTGTTTCAAGCTGAAGGAAGCGACTGATAGGGAGCGCGAAGAACGTAACTACTTCCAAACGGAAAGGGACAAATTCAGGACCTACTGGGAGATAACGAGGAACGATTTGGAAACCACTCGGGCCGCCTTGAGGAACAAAGAGCGGGCGCTCGAGCAAGCGGACGAGAAGAACGCCGAAGAGCTGCGGTTTTACCGGCAGAAAGTCAAGCACCTGCAATACGAGCAACAGAACACTTTGAACGATGCGCAGATCGGTAACCTGGCCTCCTTGAAGAAGATCCAGGATCAGTACACCCTGCAGGAGAAGGAGCTGCTACAAGACAAAAGGAGGCTGAGAGGTCTGCTGAAGGAACAAGAACTGGGCTCCTTGGACCAACAGAAGGCCATCAAGCTGCAAAGCAACGAGGAAGTGAGCAAGGCCCGACTGGAATTCGAACAGAAAGCCAAAGAAATGGAAACCAAATACGAGAAGAAGTTCTCCGACATCAGAACGCACCTCACTTCTAAATACGAAATGGAAATATCGCAAGTGGAGGAGCGAAAAAACGGCCACATCTCCAACCTCATCAAGCACCACGAGAAGTCGTTCAACGAGATGCGAAACTACTACAACGACATCACTTTGAACAACCTGGCGCTCATCAGCAGCCTGAAAGACGAGGTGAACAACTTGAGACGGGTGAACGAACGAATGGTGAAGCAAGTGTCCGATTTAACGGCGGAAACCAAACGACTGAAAATCCCGTTGTCCAAAGCCGAGGAGCAAATCAACGATCTCAAAAGGCAGCTCAAAAACTACGATAGGGACAAGGTCACTTTAGCCAACACCAAGATGATGTTGAACACCAAAACCAAAGAGTACGAAGAGCTACATTGGGCCTACGACGCCCTCGAGTTGCGCTTCGAGACCTTGCAAAAAGAACGAGACGACCTCCACGCCAGATTCGTCAACGCCGTTTTGGAAGTACAACAAAAAACAGGTAACTCCATTGGAAACGATTTGGTTCTAACTTCCAACCCACAATACAAATACGCGCTGTTAATCCACCGAATCAAATTCGAGGTACGAAGAACATCCTCCTGCAGAAGCGCGTGAAGACGCTGAGCGAGGTGGCCGAGCACCGGGAGGCGATGATCGTGGAGCTGGAGAACGCGGCCACGCAGCCGCCCGTCCGGTCCAACCAGAAGCTCGAAGAGATCCTGGCCAAGAAGAACGCCACCATCAGCGATTTGCAGTACGAGCTGGCTAGGGTGTGCAAGATGCACGACGATCTGCTCGACACCTTCGAGGACAAGCTCATCCAGTTCGGCATACCCAAGTCCGAGCTGGGCTTCGTGCCGCTGCGGGTGGTGCCCGAAGGGCAAGGCGGCTTGTCGATGGCGCCGGCCGGGCTGATTGCCAAAAATCGATAATACAATTTTGTCTGTGTGTTTAAATAAAACGTTTCTATACATCAGCGGTGGTTTATTTTTGGTTGAAGTAGAGCTATCCAGAGGTGTACTGTTTCCAGTTACGTCACCAGCTGGATAGAAACCAGGGAAATCCCGACGGAAAAGTCGAATTTGATCATGCTCTTCGACAAGTACATTCCGGCGTGTTTGGAGAACGTGAGGACGCGCTTCAAGAAGATCATACCGATCGTGGAGACGTCGCATCTCTCGATGCTGTGCCATCTGCTGGACGTGGTGCTTACGCCGCAGAATGTCCCGCTCGATTGCCCGAAGGAGTGGTACGAGTTGTACTTCGTGTTTTGCTGCGTTTGGGCGTTCGGATCGGCGATGTTCCTGGAACAGGTAGATGCGAAAAATTCTCTTGGATTAGTGAGCGTTGCATGGCGAATTTTCAGGCTACCGATTACAGGATTGAGTTTACCAAATGGTGGGTGAATGAGTTTAAGACGGTGAAATTTCCACCTGCTGGGACTATATTCGATTATTACATCGATCATGAAACGAAGCAGTTCGCTCCTTGGACCGAAACTCTTGGAAGGTTCGAATTGGATCCTGATGTTCCTTTACAGGTAATATTATACTTGACTATTTCCCAAACTTTTTACTAAATTGCTATATTTCTAGGCAGTATTGGTGCACACAGCAGAATCGATTAGAGTTCGGTATTTCTTAGACCTCTTGTTGAAGAAACGAACGCCAGTTATGCTAGTGGGTAACGCAGGTTGTGGCAAAACTGTATTAGTAAACGAAAAGCTATCGTCCTTATCGGATAGTTACGCAATTACCAATATCGCTTTTAATTTCTACACCACATCGGAAATGCTCCAAAAGATACTAGAGAAGCCATTGGAGAAGAAAGCGGGTAGAAATTATGGACCTCCCGGTAACAAAACCATGATATACTTCATCGACGACATGAATATGCCTGAAGTTGATACTTACGGAACTGTCCAACCTCACACGCTAATTCGACAACATTTAGATTACAGACATTGGTAAGTACTTCACGCTGGTAAACGATTAACAAGTAATTCGAATTCTGCAAAAAGGTACGATAGAAACAAACTGTCGCTCAAAGAAATCCACAATTGCCAGTACGTTTCCTGCATGAACCCCACGGCGGGAAGCTTCACCATAAACCCCCGGCTGCAGCGCCACTTCTGCGTCTTCGCCATTTGCTTCCCCAGCGGCGACGCTTTGACCACGATCTACAAGAGCATCCTCAGCCAGCACCTCGCCAATCCGGAGTGCAAATTCCCGTCGTACATCGCCAAACTGTGCGATAACGTGGTCGCCGCGACCATCGCCCTCCATCACAAGACCTCCCAAATCTACCTACCCACCGCCGTCAAATTCCACTACATCTTCAATCTGAGAGACATCTCCAACGTGTTCCAGGGCTTGCTGTTCAGCACCAACGATTGCTTGAACCAGCCCACCGACTTCGTCAAATTGTGGCTGCACGAGTGCCAGCGCGTGTACGGCGACAAACTAACCGAGGAGAAAGACATCGACGCCTTCGGCAAGCTCCAACTGGACATATTCAAGAAGAACTTCGAGGAAATCGACGAGTCCATCGTGTTCGAGAAACCCAACATTTACTGCCACTTCGCCGGCGGCATCGGCGAGCCCAAGTACATGCCGGTGAAGAAGTGGACCAGCCTGTCGAAGCTGCTCAACGAGGCCATGGCGAGTTACAACGACCTGGTGGCCGCCATGAACCTGGTGCTCTTCGAGGACGCCATGATGCACATCTGCCGGATCAACAGGATCTTGGAGTCTCCGAGAGGCAGCTCGCTGCTGGTGGGCGTCGGCGGCAGCGGCAAGCAATCGCTGTCCAGGCTGGCGGCGTTCATATCCTCCTTGGAGGTGGCGCAGATCCAGCTGAAGAAAGGCTACGGTGTGCTGGATTTAAGGAAGGAGCTGTCTTCGTTGTATATGAAGAGCGGCATGAAGAACGTCGGGATAATGTTCCTGATGACCGACGCTCAAGTGCACAACGAGCAGTTTCTCGTTTTGATCAACGACATGCTGGCGTCTGGAGAGATTCCGGATATGTTTCCAGACGATGAGATAGAGAATATAATAGCGGGCGTGCGCAACGAAGTCAAAGGCGCCGGAATTTTAGACACCAGGGAAAATTGTTGGAAATTCTTCATCGATCGCGTCAGGAGGCAGTTGAAAGTAGTCCTTTGCTTCTCGCCAGTGGGCTCTACACTTAGAGTAAGAGCCAGGAAATTCCCATCGTTAATCAACTGTACACAAGTGAATTGGTTCCACGAGTGGCCGCAAGAAGCTTTAGTATCAGTAGCGTTAAGATTCCTTCAAGAATTAACCGTCTTACCGGTAATATGATAATATTTAAGCGACCAACAGTATAATGATTTTTATTTCGACAGGGCGACTTGCACGAATCCTCAGCTCGCTTCATGGCCTACGCTCACACATCGGTCAATCAAATATCCAAAGTGTACTTGCAAAACGAGCGGCGATACAACTACACCACGCCCAAATCCTATCTAGAACAAATCAACCTGTACTCGAAACTCCTCCGGCAGAAGTCCGAGGAGCTCCTGTCGAAGGTGAAGCGCTTGGAAAACGGCTTGGACAAACTGCGCAGCACCTCCGTCCAAGTCGACGAGCTGAAGAAGAAGCTCGCCGTGCAGGAGATCGAATTGAAGGAGAAGAACGAGGCGGCCGATCGGCTCATCGAAATCGTCGGCGTGGAAACCGAGAAGGTCTCCATCGAGAAGAACCTCGCCGACGAGGAGGAGGAACGAGTGGCCGTCATCGCCGAGGAGGTCAGCAAGAAGCAGAAAGACTGCGAGGAGGATTTACTCAAAGCCGAACCGGCCCTACTCGCCGCGCAAGAGGCGCTTAACACCTTGAACAAGGCGAATTTAACCGAGCTCAAGTCTTTTGGATCACCTCCGGGTATACACAACAATCCTTTAAATTATTAAGGGTATTGTATGTTTGATATTTTAGGGGCCGTTACGAACGTAACCGCAGCCGTGATGGTCCTTCTGTCGCCGGCTGGTAAGATACCGAAGGACCGAAGCTGGAAGTCGGCGAAGCTGATGATGGCCAAGGTCGACGCGTTCCTCGACTCGCTCATCAACTACGACAAGGAGAACATCCATCCGGAGGTGACCAAGGCGATAGAGCCGTACTTGAAGGACGCGGAATTCGAGCCGGAGTTCGTGCGGTCGAAGTCCGCCGCGGCGGCGGGCCTGTGCGCCTGGGTCATCAACATCATCAAGTTCTTCGAGGTGTTCTGCGACGTGGAGCCGAAGAGGAAGGCGCTGGCCGCCGCCAATTTGGAGCTGGCCGCGGCGCAGGAGAAGCTCAACTCGATCAAAAGAAAAGTCGCTGTAAGTTTGCGAATGTTTAATATAGTATACGATTTATACTCAGCTGCGTTTGGGCGTAGTCTTTGGAAGAACAACTCGCGAAGCTTACGGCCGATTTCGAAACGGCCACCAAGGAGAAGCTGTTGTGTCAACAGGAAGCTGATGCTACTAATGCTACTATACAGCTGGCCAATCGTTTGGTTGGCGGATTGGCTAGTGAAAACGTCCGATGGGCTGAAGCTGTTAACCGGTAATTCTCCATAAACTGTTAACCCAAAATATTTTTTTTTCCTTTCAAAGTTTTATAGAAAGCGGGAAAATGATGCCTGGAGATATTTTGTTAACTACAGCGTTCATTTCATACGTTGGTTGTTTCACCAAGCAATTCAGGTTGGACCTCTTGCACAAAATGTGGTTACCATTTTTAATAAACTTGGATGTAAGTAGTTTCTTCCACACTTTATAGCATTGAATTTACTATAATTTCGTAGCCCAAAGTTCCGCTCACAGAAAATTTGGATCCTCTGTGCCTGCTTACAGACGATACAATCATAGCGAAATGGCAAAACGAAGGCTTGCCCAGCGATCGAATGTCTATAGAAAACGCTACAATTTTATCAAATTCTGAACGATGGCCTCTTATGATAGATCCGCAAGTAAGTGTATTAGCAATGCAAAATTAATCTCCATTTTACAAATTTCTAGTTACAAGGAATAAAATGGATCAAGCAACGATACGGAGACGATCTCAAAGTGATCCGACTAGGTCAAAAGAGCTACCTGGACGTCATCGAACGATCCATAACCGAAGGAGTAACGGTGCTTCTGGAGAACATCGAAGAGAATTTGGATCCGGTCCTGGACACGCTTCTCGGAAGGTATCTAATCAAGAAGGGGAAGTAAGTTAACAGAAACCTCCTCAAACGCGCTCCTTTCGAGTGTTCCGTTTCCAGAGCGATAAAAATCGGCGACAAGGAAATCGAATACAACCCGAACTTCCATCTGATCCTCCACACGAAACTGGCGAATCCCCACTACAAACCCGAAATGCAAGCCCAAGCCACCCTCATCAATTTCACGGTAACCAGAGACGGCCTCGAAGACCAGCTCCTGGCTGAAGTCGTGAAAGCCGAACGACCCGACCTGGAGGAGCTGAAGGTGACGATTTCCTGCGGCGAAACTTGCGCGATTAAAGTTCGAATTTTAGGCGGATTTGACGAAGCAACAGAACGACTTCAAGATCATACTGAAATCGCTGGAGGACGATTTGCTATCCAGGCTTTCGTCCGCCGGCGGTAATTTACTGGGCGACACGACTCTGGTGGAGAATCTGGAAACCACCAAACGCACCGCCGCCGAAATCGAGGAGAAAGTCGCGGAGGCCAAGATCACCTCCGCTCAAATCGATCAAGCTAGAGAGCATTATCGGCCCGCTGCGGCTCGAGCTAGTTTGCTCTATTTCATTTTAAACGAATTGAACACCATCAATCCGATCTACCAGTTCTCTTTAAAAGTACGTTCGCGCCGTAATAAAGTAATTTTATATGTTTTGATTGTTGTTTTAGGCATTCAGCGTCGTTTTCCAAAAAGCCATATCCAGAGCAGATCCCGCTGAAACCGTCAACGCCAGAGTCAACAACCTGATATCCTGCATAACTTTTTCAGTTTTCCAGTACACCACCAGAGGCCTCTTCGAATGCGACAAGTTGATTTTCGCCTCTCAGATGACATTCCAGGTAAACAACCAACAACTCAATCGTAATTCCTCGATAAACCGATTCTATCCCATTGCAGATTCTGCTGATGAGCGAAGAAATCCTGGCCACCGATCTGGATTTCCTTCTGCGGTTTCCGCTCAAGCCGCACGTGACCAGCCCGGTGGAGTTCCTCTCGAACTCCAGCTGGGGAGGCATCTGCAGCCTGGCGACCAAGGACGAATTCCGCAACCTCGACAGGGACATCGAGAACTCGCCGAAGCGCTGGAAGAAGCTGGTGGAGTGCGAGTGCCCCGAGCGCGAGAAGTTCCCGCAGGAGTGGAAGAGCAAGACGGCCTTGCAGCGATTGTGCATGATGAGAGCGCTGAGGCCCGACAGGATGATCTACGCTATGATGTGAGATTAACAGCGATTGTAATTAGATGGTAATTAGTGCGTTTGCAGGGCTTTCATCGAAGAGAAACTCGGCGCGAAATACGTGGAAAACAAGACGGTGGAGTTCGATAAGTCTTTCGAGGAGACCAGCCCTTCCACGCCGATTTTCTTCATTCTCTCTCCGGGCGTGAATCCGCTGAAAGACGTGGAGAATCTCGGAGAGAAGTTAGGATTCACGGCCGATAAGCAAAATTTCCACAACGTTAGTTTAGGTGAATTTTTCAATTGAAGATACATCCTACAAAATTGAGTTGCGTTTATTTCTTTAGGCCAAGGGCAAGAAATAATCGCCGAAAACGCCATGGAAGTGGGAGCGAAAAACGGCCATTGGGTGGTTCTACAAAACATCCACTTAGTCAAGAAATGGTTGCCTTCGTTGGAGAAAAAGCTGGAGCAATATGCAGAAGGATCGCATCCAGATTACAGGGTGTTCATGAGCGCCGAACCAGCAGCAAGCGCCAGCGCTCACATCATCCCCCAGGTTACACCACCCTTTACTACATTTAATCAAATCACTAATCAACAATTTTAGGGTATTCTCGAATCATCCATCAAAATAACCAACGAGCCGCCTACCGGCATGCAGGCCAACCTGCACAAGGCTTTGACCAATTTCAACCAAGAAACGCTCGAGCAATGCGGCAAAGAAGCGGAATTCAAAGTCATACTATTCTCTTTGTGCTACTTCCACGCCGTCGTCGCGGAGAGGAGGAAATTCGGCCCGCAAGGCTGGAACAAAATCTACCCCTTCAACGTCGGCGATCTCACCATCAGCGTCTTCGTGCTCTTCAACTACCTGGAGGCCAATTCCAAAGTCCCGTGGGAGGATCTGCGGTACCTCTTCGGGGAAATCATGTACGGCGGGCACATCACCGACGATTGGGACAGGCGATTGTGCATCACCTATTTGGAAGAGCTGATGCAACCTGACTTGGTAAACGATTACTTCAAAAAATTATCAGTTCGTTTAGGAAAGTGTCTAATAGGTTGACGGAGAGTTGCAGTTAGCCCCGGGGTTTTCGGCGCCGCCTAACACCGACTACGCCGGCTACCACCAATACATCGACGACATGATGCCGCCCGAATCTCCCTACTTGTACGGGCTCCATCCCAACACGGAAATCGGATTTCTAACCACCACGGCCGAGAATCTCTTCAAGACGGTGTTCGAGATGCAGCCGAGAGACGGAGGAGCCACCGGCGGCGCCACCGTCACGCGAGAGGACAAGGTGAAGCAAATGGTCGACGAGATGCTCGAGAAACTGCCGGAGGATTTCAATATGGTGGAGATAATGGGGAAAGTCGAGGAACGCACCCCCTACGTGATCGTGGCTTTCCAGGAGTGCGAACGCATGAACTATCTGACGACGGAAATCAAGCGGTCGCTGAAGGAATTGGAGCTGGGCATTAAAGGGGAATTGACCATCACGTCGGATATGGAGGATTTGGAGAACGCCCTGTTTCTCGATCAAGTACCGCCCGTTTGGGCCCAAAGGGCTTACCCCTCGCTGCTGGGCTTGAGCCCCTGGTTCGTAGACCTGCTGTTGAGGATAAGAGAACTGGAAACTTGGTCTACCGATTTCGTGGTATGTTAATACAAGACCATTGCGTTTCAAAATAACATTATCGATTGTAGCTACCCGCATCCGTTTGGCTCGGAGGCTTCTTCAATCCCCAGTCCCTTCTCACCGCCATAATGCAAAGCACTGCAAGAAGAAACGAACTACCTTTAGACAAAATGTGCCTGCAGTGCGATGTTACTAAAAAACAAAAAGAAGAATTCACGTAAGTTATCCACGAAGGTCCAGTTTCCCATTAATTCCGAGCTTTTTAATCAGGAGCGCCCCGAGGGAAGGAGCCTACATCCACGGGCTGCACATGGAAGGGGCGCGCTGGGACGTCCAGACGGGCGTCATCATGGATTCCCGCTTGAAGGAGCTCTACCCCGCGATGCCGGTGATCAACGTGAGAGCCATCACGCAGGACAAGCAGGACCTGCGCAACATGTACGAGTGTCCGGTGTACAAGACCCGCACGAGGGGCCCGACGTACGTGTGGACGTTCAATCTGAAGATCAAGGACAAACCGGCCAAGTGGACTTTGGCCGGTGTTGCACTTTTATTGCAGATATAAAGTAAATTAAATGCGTTATTGAGGGTTTTTTATTTTTCTAGACTACCTACTACATTTTTATGAAGTTGTCTACTAGAAAGGTAACTTTGTTATGGAATTGAACTTGATTAATCTGTTTGATTTCGAGGTGGTTTCAACGTGAGTAAATCTGGATCAATAGAAATATCACTATCAGTCGATAATAGCGTTAAATTTTCTTCCACGCGGTCTTCCAAACCGGTGCCGAGTAGAATGTTGTCCTCGATCATATTCGCTTGAATCGAGTTCGTTATTCTATCTGAAGAAGATAAGTTTTTATACACGATGAATTGAAATTTTCGAAAAAAAATACCTGCAATCAACATGGTTTCGTTTAACTGATTCTCCAACGAGCAATTCCGATCGCCCGCCATGGTTTGATCGACGTTGCTGGTTAAATTTATCGAATTGGTGAAGGTCAGAGGCCATTCGAGGCCCAAAAAAACGTTCGACTGTTGCTCTTGTCCGGTGAAATTGAGCAAAGGGCTCTCCAGAGGCGTGGAGCAGGCTGTAAAATACTTGCGAAGTTTACAACACTAATCGAAATTCTATCGTTTACCGGGAAGATTTAGATTAATGTTTTGCATGTCCTGCGTCTTATTCAAGGTTTTCTCCTGTTTTCTCCATTTTGCTCGCCTGTTTTGGAACCAAACCTGCACCCGGGCTTCGGTCAAGTCGATTCTTAAGGCTAGTTCTTCACGAAAAAACACGTCTGGATAATGCGTCTTGTGGAAAGCCCGTTCTAATTCTTCCAATTGATAATTCGTAAACGTTGTTCTTATATAAAAAAAACGTTTTAAATATATTTCCTACGAATACACAGCTTTACCTGTATCTTCTCTGTTTCCGTTTGCCGCAAGAAATCCCCGATACAGCGTCGTCTTCGTTCGAATTGTAATTTTGAAGCGAATCAGCGTAATCTAAAATCAGTTTTTTTTAAATATATTTTTCATTGAACATCCTGGATAAGCTCGAACGAGTTCAACGACATCGTAATCCTTCTAACCGGGATAGGAGAATTGTATTAATGCAATTTGAAAGTTGCCGCACGGAAAATTTAATTACGTGTTGAGGAATCCTTTAATTTAATAGATGAGCATACGAAAGGGGGACGTAATTCGATTTATGCTTGATAATTGAATTTTGAATATTTTCAGTCTATTAAGAACTTGCCAGCGGTCTAACGAACGCGTTGATAAGTGTTGAGTGAGTAGGGAAATGTAGTAAATGAATTATTTCCTGGTTTTTACCGTATTTTTCCTGCTCTTCTTCCTCGCTTTGCATATTTCCAAACGTGTTAATTAAACCGCCGATAGTGTAAGAATTCTCCCCAGTTAATGAGTTCATTGTTTCGTTTATTTCATCTTGAATGTTGTGAGTTTTTGCAGGATTTGTATCCATTCTAAAATACCCTACTATAGTATTTAAATTGTATATGCATTTAAATATTACTTACTTCTGTACTATATCACTATTTTTTTTTGAGTCACTAATTGCCTGATTATAGGATTTAATTGGGCCAACTTTAAATGCGTATTTGATTATTTGCCTAGAACCAGATTCATTGCGTACTAGTATTATTTTTTTATTTTTATTTAGCAGTGCTAGAAAAAGGCGCATAAGCTTAATATCTATGAAGCCAAAAGAACGCAGGGAATTTAGAAGTTATCGCGTAAGGTTTCCCTATACAAACGGCAATATTTAAGTAGAAACATTTAAACCTGCATTCGAAAAAAATACACCTATTTTTAAATATGTATACGGGTAAGTGCAAATTTGCTTGCGATGTCAATTCTATGAGTTGAACAAAAAAAGATTATTAAATAATAGTGGTTTAGAGTGAGAAAGTTGCAATCCCACAATATCACTTTCTTTTTCCTTAATATGAGTCTAATGGAAGTTGTTTTTGTTGCACTCAAAGACTACATTGCGTACAAATTTGCACTCATCTGTATATTTATAATTTAATTCGTAATTAGAAGATGTAATTATTGTTTTGCATAAAATACGTTTACGATTATGATTCATTTCATTCCTACAAATCATTCATTCAAGTTCATTCCTACAAATTCCATACTTTTTTTATCCAAATATGCCTCCAAATATGCATGTCTTCTTCTTTCACATAAAAGTGGCTACTGTAATCATATATCGAAGTCACATCTGTCACAATTTACTTCTTACAAAGAAGACAATTCTAACCTCACTAATTGGCATTGGAAGTGACATGTTACCATGCCGAAAAAGTAGTTTTATTCCAATAACTTTAAGTTAAATAAACATTTAATACGTGATCGGACTCGAAAAGATATTAAAATGAAGATTCATCTTACTCCCGAAAACGTCAAGTTTTCGCTGTTTACAGCGGAAGACATTAAAAAAATGAGTGTTTGTAAAATTGTCACGCCAATGCTGTTGGATCCCTTGGGGTATCCTCTAACCGGAGGACTATACGATAGTAAATTAGGTAGTTTAGTATTTAAATATAATTGGAATAAACTGTACTGTACGCTTAATAATTTTTTCCAGGCCCTTATTCGGATCAAGGGGAATTATGCGGAACCTGCAACAACACGTTCACCAAGTGTCCCGGCCATTTCGGACACATAGAACTGCCGTTGCCCGTCGTAAATCCGTTATTTCACAAGTTTATAGGAATGATTTTGAAAATGTCGTGCTTGAATTGTTTCCACATTCAATTGCCGAGTAAGATTCGCCTCGTATGAACCCATTTAATCTATTAAATCCACCTTTTTTACAGCCCATATGAAGAAAGTGTTGTGCATTCAGATGAAATTGTTGAACTGCGGAATGGTCACCGAGGCGTTGTTAATCGAAAATCAAGTAGCCGAATTGGTAGTGAAATACACGGAATTTAAAAATATTCCTCCTAAGGAATTGGAGAATATTTTACAGTACGAAGTAACTAATTTAATAGGTACGTATGAAAGTATTTGTATAAACACGTTTTATAACAATATATTTATTTTTAGAAGATACAGAAGAACAAAAACATGTATTGAATCAAAACACTGAAACTCTTAGAAACAAATTCATCAACGATTTTCTAAAAGAAGTTAAAACTACACATGTATGTATGTTCTGCAAAGGCAGAATTAATCGACTTCAAACTTTGAAGAATAAAATCATTTTGATATCGAGAAAAACGGAAACGTGAGTATTAAGTTAATTCACGAAGTATTATTACAACTCTATTTTTAAAGGAACGAACCTGATAGTACCGAAATAGGCCAGAAAGTCACAGGACTGGAAATGAAATGCGTGTACCCCGACGAATCCAGAGAATATATGAGGCGCATATGGAAGGAAGAAAGAGAATTAATAGAACAGCTCATTTCAGTTCTTACCGATATAAACATCGAGAATCCCACGGATGCTTTCTATTACGAAGTGTTACCCGTTCCTCCTCCTAATATCAGACCTGTAAGTACAATACGAACAGCTCAAAATCGATACAAAACATCTCGTTTTGCAGGTAAACTTCGTCAACGGCAGAGTTTTAGAAAACAAGCAATCGACCGGCTACAAAAACGTCATACAAAACTCGATTTTGTTGAGGACAATCATACAAGTTATCCAAAAAAACGACGATGCTACCACTCTAGCGACCGCAGAGGCGAAGGTAGTAACACTTTCTCGTTTAAAATCACCTCTATGCTTCGATTAAAATTATTCCAGGCAGCTTACAGTTTCGCCAGAGGCAATACGCCCGTAGAAAAACTAAACTATTGCTGGGAGGAACTCCAAAACGACGTTAATTGTTTATTCGACAGAGACAGTAGCAACAATAGGGAAGGCAGAGAAGGCGAAGGGTTGAAACAGGTAAACACCAGCCACTCCTAATCGGTCGATTTTTTTACCAATTGCTATTAGATTATAGAGAAAAAGGAAGGCATAATCCGCATGTGCATGATGGGAAAACGAGTCAACTACTCGGCCCGGTCCGTCATCACGCCCGATCCCAACCTAAACATCGACGAAATCGGCATACCCGAAGCCTTCGCCAAGAAGCTCACCTACCCCGTCGCCGTCACCCCTTGGAACGTGGAAGAACTCAGGAAAATGATCTTGAACGGCCCCAACGTCCATCCCGGGTAAAAACCCTTCGATATACAGTAAATACGCCGATGTCCTCACGCTCGTTACATTTACAGAGCCGTAATGGTGGAATACAACGGCAACGTGAAGCGCATCAACCCCGACAGCAAGCAACAGCAACAGAGCATACTGAAAACCCTGCTCACGCCCGACGACAACGCCGGCGTCACCGACGGCGTGAAGATCGTGCACCGGCACCTCTGCAACGGCGACATATTGCTCTTGAACAGGCAACCCACGTTGCACAAGCCGAGTATCATGGCGCACACGGCGCGCATCCTCAAAGGCGAGAAAACGCTCAGGCTGCACTACGCCAATTGCAAGGCGTACAACGCCGATTTCGACGGGGACGAGATGAACGCGCACTTTCCCCAAAACGAGCTCGCCCGCAGCGAAGGATACAACATCGGTAATTTCGAAACCGCTCTCCACGAACGCCTCTAATATACAATTCGTTTGCAGTGAACGCTTCGAATCAATACCTGGTACCCAAAGACGGGACGCCATTGAACGGCCTCATACAAGATCACATGATATCCGGCGTGCGTTTGTCGCTGAGAGGTAGATTTTTCACGAGGTAACTCCCAACTCTAAATTACCCTACAAGTAGCCTAAATAACGATTTTTCCAGAATGGATTACCACCAGCTGGTGTTCCAAGCGTTGTCATTCAAAATGGGCGAGATCGTTCTGCTGCCTCCGTCCATCTTGAAACCACAAACCCTGTGGTCGGGCAAACAGATTCTATCGACTGTCATAATCAACGTGATACCGGAGGGGCGGAAGTTGCTCAACTTGACTTCGAGCTCGAAAATCCCCTCTAAAGTACGAATCGATTTACATTCTCGCGACTTTATAATTTATAAGCTACTTACAGGCGTGGCAATGCAGACCGAACAGGCGCTGGAAGGCCGGCGGTACTCAATTCTTCGACGACAAAACCATGAGCGAAGCCGAGGTTATTATCCGAGGCGGTGAACTGCTCGTGGGGATATTGGACAAGACCCATTACGGAGCCACCCCGTACGGTCTAGTACACTGCATCTACGAGGTTACTTACTAACTCACCGCCATTTACAAACTAATATATCGATACGATTTCAGTTATACGGAGGTACTTACGCCACGCGGTTGCTTTCGTCGTTCGCAAAGTTATTCATGAGATTCCTCCAACAAGAAGGGTTCACTTTGGGCGTGCACGACATCCTAACGGTGAAAAAAGCCGATCGGAAACGCAAAGATATCGTATCGGAATGCCGAAGAATAGGCAAAGAAACTATAACCAAGGCGTTGGATTTACCCATCGAAACCGCCGATGAAGATATCGTCGAGAAAATCGACGAGCTGATCGCTTCGGATCCCAAAATACGAACGGTAATCGACAGACAATACAAATCTAATTTGGACATTTACACCAACGAGATAAACAGGTAACGCGTCAACTAATTTCCAACTGTACAAGTCGTAATGTTTATCGTGTTAAAAGGACGTGTCTGCCGATGGGTTTGGTGTGCAAATTCCCCCAGAACAACCTCCAATTGATGGTGCAATCGGGCGCCAAAGGTTCCACCGTGAATACCATGCAGATCTCCTGCCTGCTGGGCCAGATCGAATTGGAGGGGAAACGACCGCCGGTGATGATATCCGGCAAATCGTTGCCCAGCTTTCCGGCGTTCGAATTTTCGCCGAGAGCGGGCGGTTTCATCGACGGGCGCTTCATGACGGGCATCCAACCGCAGGAGTTTTTCTTCCATTGCATGGCGGGACGAGAGGTAAACTAATTGGATGATCTTAGCCTTAACTGCTTGGTGAATTTATTAATTTCCAAACTGGATGGATTGTTTCTGCAGGGTCTGATCGATACGGCAGTGAAAACCAGTCGCAGTGGATACTTACAAAGGTGTTTGATCAAGCATTTGGAGGGCCTGCGAGTGGGCTACGATATGACGGTTAGAAACAGCGATCAAAGCGTCATTCAGGTAATTAATCGATGAGTATTAGAAGAATTTGGCGTACAATTAGTATCGATTGTAGTTTATGTACGGCGAGGACGGAATGGACATTTCCAAGGCACAATTTCTCAACGGGAAACAACTGAATTTCCTCGCCGAAAACGTGGAAGTTTTGGCACAACCAGAAGTTTTGGCGCAAGTGAAAGACGACGAGAATCAAGCTGTGCTAAAGGAGCACCAAAAAGAGGTAATTTCGTTTGCGATTTCGTGTGTCCTTTAACGTAACATTTAATTTAGTTGTCCGATTGGATAAAAAAACACGGCAACCCCTTGGAGCACAAAAGAAAAAGCGCCTTCTCGATGTTCGCCCAATACGTGAACTCCAAAGTAGGCGAAAGGAAACAGTTGAGCACGAAAAATCTGTCGGAACTTTGGTACGAACTCGAACCGGAAATCAAAGACAGGTGAACCGCTCCGCTTGCGGTCGATCTCGATCACTAATCTCGATTATTCTGCCAGTTTTATCGCCAAATGCCAACGATGCCCCGATCCAGTCGACGCCGTATTCCAACCGGACGCCAATTTCGGCGCGATCAACGAGAGAATCGAAAAACTGCTCAAGGATTTCAAAGGTTTCGCGAAGAAAAAGGCCAAAAAGGAGTTCCAAAACGTCATCAAACTCAAAACGATGCAATCCATGTGCAGCGCAGGCGAACCAGTTGGACTATTAGCCGCTCAAGTAACTCGTTTCCTCCGGCGTTTTTATTCGATTTCACAATCAACTATTTCAGTCGATCGGCGAGCCTTCCACGCAGATGACATTGAACACCTTCCATTTCGCCGGCAGAGGCGAAATGAACGTCACCCTGGGTATCCCCAGGTTGCGGGAGATCCTGATGATGGCCTCCAAGAACATCAAGACCCCTTCGATGGAGATACCGTTCCTCAACGTGCCCGATTTGGAGCGGCAGGCCGACGATTTGCGCAAGAATTTAACGCGAGTTGTCGTGTCCGATGTGCTCGAAACCATCGACGTCACCACGGAGCTGCAACTCAAACCCCAGAGGCGAGTTCGATGTCAACACCACCGATATATCGCTAACCGTGAGGTGAATTTCAGATCGAACGTCTACCAGGTGAGGTTCAACTTCCTGCCGAAGAAGTACTACAGCATGGACTACCGCGTGAAGCCGAAGGAGATACTGAACCACATGAAGAAGAAGTTCTTTACGGAAATGTTCGCCGCTATTCGGAAAGTGAGCAAGTTGAATTCTAACGTGTAAGTACTCATAAACCCTTTCGAATATACATCTTATACATACGACCTATCGATAGAGTAATGATGGAGGAGGAGAAGCAGAAGAGGAGCGCCAAATCGAACGAGGACGAGGAGAGCGAGGAGCAAAATGAGAAGACTCAAGCGCCCGCGGACGATAACAGCTCTGATGAGGAAGTGGAAGACCGCGAGGACGCCAAACAGACGCACAAATATGAAGAAACCAGGAACGATTTGGAGCCCGAAGAGGAAGAGAAGGTTCCTTCCGATGATGATTCGGATGATGAGAACGAAACGAAACCTCCAGGAGAGGAAACTTCTGGTTCGCAAAGCGACAACGAAGTCGTGGAGGCTTTTCAGTTTGCTCAAAGCTACACCGAGGATACGCACAAGCATTTATGGTGTGAAATAGTATTGAGGGTAATGAACAATACTCGTCTTTATCCGATGGTAAAATTAATCGAAAACTTATTTTTTTAGCTGCCGTTGAAATTCAAGAAGTTAGATTTATCTGCCATTTTGAAGGACGTCGCCCACAAGTCGGTTTTGTGGGAAACTGCTCTGATTAAACGGGCGATTACTTACATCAAAGATGACACGTTAATGCTGAGAACTGATGGTATCAACATTATTGTAAGTAGCTATACGAAAAGAGGTTATTTTGCTAATTTGACACTGAAGATGAAAGCTTCTTGAAGTCGAAACGTCGATTTTACGGATCGGGTGTGTTCGTTTACGTTCGAAAAAGGCGACATTTGACGTCACTTCCCTCTCTAACAACGTTCGGGCATCCACCCGGTTACTTATTTTTCCTATAACTTGGAAAATGCAATTTTTAAGGAAGTGCGGTTTTCGGCACGTAATTAGTAATAAATTGAAGAATATTTCAGGAAGTTTTCAAAAAAATCGTTCGAGTATTTTCCGAGAAAATCCGGAGAAACACCAAAATCGGCGCAAAAAATCCGGTTTTTCACCCAGAATAAAACTTCTACATCTTTTAAATTCTAGGAAATGTTCAAATACAACACTCTGCTGGATTTGCCGAAATTATATTGTAACGACATCCATAAAATAGCCGAAACGTACGGCATCGAAGCCGCTTCGAAAGCCATAGTCAGGGTAAGTTTAGTAATTACACAATTACACTTTCATTAACATTGTTGTTTTAGGAAGTAAAAGATGTATTTAACGTGTACGGCATCAAAGTAGACCCGAGGCATTTGTCGTTAGTAGCCGATTACATGACGTTCAACGGGAGTTTCGAGCCTCTCAGTAGAAGGGGAATGGAAAGCAGCGCTTCGCCTTTACAACAAATGTCGTTCGAATCATCGATAGGATTTCTACGAAACGCCGTGATAAGAGGTAAAATTTATTAAAATATAATCGAACGTTAACTAACAATTCGATTGTTAATAGGTAAACAAGATTTCCTGGACAATCCTTCCAGTTGTCTGATGTTGGGGAAACCGTGTACGACAGGAACGGGGGCTTTCACGTTGCTCCACAAGACTTTCGATTTAAGCTGAACGAATTTTATGTTTTATTAATTAATTAAGTGCCTTAGAGTTGTTGATTTTCTTAATTTAGTGTTTCTTTTCCTGTTTTTCCTTCACCAATTTCACCGCTTCCGAGAAATACTGATTGGGATGGTTGATGCTGCTGGCCGGAGCCTGGCCGTAGTTGCCTTCGAAACATTTGGTGCAGGCCACTTGGTAGTGACCGCCGCTCGCCGATTCCACTATCGAAGTAACGGCTAGAATAAAATCGCATAAGTCGCGCTCTGTGAAGGAATTATCGCCGTATATTACCTTGAGATCCCAGCCCGAGTTCGGTCAGCTTTTGCTTCAAGTACACCGGGTCCCAGGTTTTGAACGGGCAACCGTGGTATTCCCCTTGACCCACGTTAGACATGATAATTTTCAAGCAACTGTGCGGGGAGTAGCTCACTCTAGCCCCGGCCTGTCCGAACGAGTGCCTGACTAGATAAGCGTACTGCTTTTCGAACGTGTTCGAATCGATTTTCGGGTTTTTCGTGAACTCGTTCCGCCACAACTCCATCGTGTTCTCGAGAGATAAACCTGCAATTAATCGTTAGGGATTTCGAGCGTTAACAATCGCGTTATCCTACCTATTCCTTTCAAGAAGAGCAGTAGGCTCAACCGCCCGAAGTGCTTGAGATGGTGCTGGGTTTTCAAGACGTTGAACAACGTGCTCATGCAAAGCGGGAAGAACTGCTTGGCGTACGAATCGAGATTCGCTGGATTCAGCGCGTCCTGCGTGTCCTCGTAGCTCACATCGCCCGTGTGGATGTAGTGGAGGTTCTCCAGTAGATTGCCGATTCGATCGTCGTCCAAGCGCGGCAAATACGAGTTGAATTTCTGCAATGCGGAGTCAACGTGAAATGAAAACATTGCTTCGAAAGTGCGTGTAAACGTACAAGCAAAGACTCGTTGAGACTAGCCCTAAACTGCGACAGGATGCACACTATCAAATCGCTGGTCGGTATGTAAGCGTATCCTTGCTTCAAAAATACTTTCCTGCCTTTCACCAGCGGCAGGACCTCCGTGAAAGGCACTTTGAAAAAATCGGTCGTGTTGAATTCTCTGTCGGGTATGGCTGAAATTATCAAAAGATAATTTTTATTAGGCTCATTATTTTTTAACAAGTAAATTATCGATATATTTGCAAGGTGGGGTATCTATTATAGTACAATTAAAAAACCGAAAAGCGCGTGCAAAGTTCAAGCCTTCGCGCGACGTCGAGAGGTACATATATGATGATCAGGAAAGTTTTCTCCGCGTATTTCAACCGGGCGATTTTCGGGAAAATGAGGAACACGGTGAATTTCGATGAGATAAAAGCCATGGCGAACGATCCCAGCGTTTGGATAGTCGACGTCCGGAACCCGGACGAAGTGTTCTCGACGGGAGGAATCGGAAATTGCATCAACATTCCAGGTACAAATTATCTACTATCAAATCAGTTTGTCATCCTACGATTCGGCTAGTCATTCTCCTAATGATTCTTTCGACAAAAAATAAACCAAGGACGGTTAATTGAAGATATTATTATGCTCGAACGTCATGCTAATTGCAATACACTATAAAAGTATTAACTGCAAAGTTATAGCATACTTTACAACAGTAAATAAATAATTTTACGGCTTTTCCAGCGACTAACGTTTCGGAGGCTTTGAAGGACCACGAATCATTTAAGGACAAATTCGGTCGAGCGGTCCCCACGCACGAAGACACTGTAATATTTTACTGCAGAAGCGGGAAAAGAGCGCAGAAAGCCTGGGAGGACGCCAACGCGTTGGGATTCCAAAAGTATACAATCTAATTCCACGCGAAACTTTTCTATAACAAATTTAATTTCAGCGCCAAATATTACCCCGGCAGCTATCTGGAATGGTCGAGTAAACAATCAGAAAATTGACGAATGCTATTACTTTGTAAATTAGTTAAGAACTTATCGTGAGATTATTTATAATATATATTTTAAAGTATCTAATTTGAACCAATATTCCCTCCAAAAACTCCAGGTATAGTAGAAGCGATAATTACACTAAAACCGGTTCGCGCATGGCGTTTCGATATTAAAATTCGTTGCTAACAACAAACAGCGCAAAGTTCAAGTGTTGCCACGTCCGCGTGCGGCATTTCGAAGGCGTTATTGGTGTGAATCGCGGATCGGTTATTTTGAATTTCGAATTCGAGCGAACATGAGCGGCACAGTGAATTACGAGGAGGTTAAGGCGGCCGTAAGCGACCCCACGGTGCTGATAATAGACGTCAGAGGCCCCGAGGAGGTCCAGTCGACTGGAAAAATCGGGAATAGCATTAACATTCCAGGTAAAAATCGCCCTTAGAAGCGCCTTTAACGCGAACTTGAATGAGGGAATATAAATTGTAAAACAAATAGATGAGATAATCGCCACGTCATTATTCGAGTACTCGGAAATGTATTGATTATTTTTCGTGAATTGTGCTAGTCATCTAATGGTTTTTATACATAGATATCTATTAATAATTGTTTTGTTTACAGTGCTGTTAGTCAATAAACGTTTAACCTTGTTTTAGTGGCTGATGTAGCTGAAGCTTTGAAAGACGGGGAGTCTTTTAGAGAGAAATACGGAAGGGCGATACCCTCGCATGAGGATGCCATTATTTTCCACTGTTTAAAGGGCGGAAGGGCTCAAAAGGCCAGCGATGCTGCGCTAGCATTGGGATTTAAAAAGTTTGTAATCGTAACCGATTTAAATCCATTAATAATTATACCTCTTTTAGCTCTAAATATTACCCAGGAAGCTATTCCGAATGGTCCAGCAAAAATTGAAGAGAAAACCATTTACACACCCCCACTTTATTAGTATTATATTAGAATATGCAGCAACGGTGATGACTCTACTATACACAATTCTTTACAAGTACAAACATTCAAACATCTATACTTAAAAATGCACTATTTTAGATCTACCTCAATTAAATAATGAAACATTTGTGCAGTTAACATTCTTAAATAAAGAAACATTCTTACCTGTACTCGTATACAAGTCGTGGTTTAGTTTTTCTTTCACCTCGGGTCGAATAGGGGTGTAAGTAAAATCGTTCAATTGCAAGAACTTCATGAATCCTTGGTGACTTTGAGCTAAAAACTTGAGTTTGAACCATTCTAATTCCCTGTTTACGAACCATCTGCGTAACGTCTCGGATCGACAGTAGGCCACTCGTAGAATATAATGCGAGATGTAATCGGCTTTTCTGGCTTGAAAATCGAGTTCTGTTTGACTGAAATTATAAAAATTTACTTAAAAACTAAGCGAAATAAACTCCGTTTTACCTGCAATAACCGCTCGCTAATCTTAAAAATTTTTTCAAACCCTCTTTGGCAAGTTCTTCTTTGATGTAGGATTTCCAATCTTCGGAGTACACTCGATGACCTTTTGCCGAGGACTCTTCTAATATTCGTAATAATTGGAGTCTTTCTACCGCTAATTCTTCGAATTCCTCCAGGTAAATCGAGTTCGAAGGGGGCACTTTGTACATACTTACATCGTGCTGATACTCAGAACCGGCATCTGTGTAGTAAATATTACGATGCACTTTTCTTCTTCCAACCGAAGTATCCATTAAAATGTATTAGTTTAAATAATATGCCTGTAATTAAAAATCGGCTTTAGTAGGCCAAAAGAACAACGTTGTTTGTATTATTTCCCGCCTAATTTAATGTCAGTGTCAAATTTGACAAACGTCATAATTCTTCTTTTTTCTGAATCAATTTAGACACAATTATTACGGAGCTAAAATAAAAAAAACTCTGTAGTTTACATTAAACTGTAATATTGATGCAAATATTTGGCTAATAAAAGTAAATTATATAAAAAATTATCCAACAATTCAATTAGCTGCAAACTCCATATGTTACAGACCACCATATGATTTTGACAGTGACAGAAACTTAACCTTAACATTCATCATTGAAAAATATGTAAACACAATAGTAGTTTTTTTATATACCGATGTGACAATGCGAATTTAAAAATAAAATTTCTGTGATGATGGTAGAGCACGCACGTTATAATACGAGCGTTTCAGTAAATTTGGAAATATTTCAGCCTCCATTTATCCGGGTAAGATTTTGTTTGATTATTATCACGCTAGAATCAATTTTGCGAAGGTACCTATTCGGTGTCTTGTAGTTGTTTTTAGCAGAAATAACGTTTTTATTTGCCTATTGTTCACATTCATTTTTAAACTACATATTTAGATTTTATATTTTAGTTGCCAAATAAATTCTGTATGATTTTTATTTGAGCTGTCTTTCAAAAATATTAATAAACATAAATAAATACGCACATTATCTATCCATAATTAATTTGTTATATAACATATTATGATTCTTAATAGTAGGCGATCTTATATCGACGTGCCCTCTTAATTCCCAGAAATCTGGTATTAAATCTCATCTATTGTTTTATCAGTTTCATATAGATAATGAATATTATCTTAAGAATACTTTATAATTGTAGGTAGGCACATTTTCACACTCCAAAGATAAAGTGCTTAAACAATTTAATAATCAGTAAGCTTTGAAATACAAAGCAATCTGTATATTAAATTAAGCAATACAATTCGAATACTCTTAAAAATTGTAAATACATTGTCAAGATAAATTAGAGTGGTATTGTTTCGGATTTGCATCGAATAAATTAATATTCACTCAAATTCTAAAGTAATTAGTTACAGGTACCTGAATCTCAAATTTCTATTACATAATTGTACAATTTAAATACTTTATAGGGAAAATTTATAAGTAATTCGTTATTTAATAAAATAATAATAAATAAATGCTTTGTCCTTGACTATATATTTCGCGATTTAATATATTCCGTTTTTTACGCAAATTATCCTAGTTGTACTAAAAATACTTAACTCATTAAATAAATTTACAGTATACACATTTTAAGAGCGCATTTTCAGTCACCACAACCCTAATTTATAGTGCATTGACATCAATTTAAATTCAACTCTTATCAAGTTATTCAAGTTCTGCATTGATTTCAAGGAATCGCTTTTTTCAATCCTCGAATGGCCTTCTTAGCGTAAAAAAAACTGTGGAAGTTACGTGTGCTGGTAAATCCCATTTCTAGATAAAATCGCTTTTGTTTGCTACTGTTCAATGGACGTAAGTACTAAGTAACTTACGTACATTGAAATTGTTTAATGATAGGAGGCCAATAATTATCGATAAAGTTCTAAATAAGTTGAAAAAGTCTATTATACATACATACAGTTCGTATTAGTGGTGTGATAGGGATCTCGGAATAATCAGGTAAGATAAGTTTTTCTGCATTGTTAACAACCATATTGTGGAGTTACTTAATTTACAAATGCGTCAATTTAATTAACCTTTGATTAAAAGTTGGAATGTGAATTTACTCTATATACTCTATTTATTTTTGTTTTATACGAATAATACTAGGTCTATTGGTTCTTGTTATTACATATCCTTGAATAATGATTTATTATTTTTTTTGTATACTGTAGATTAGCTAATTAAGACAAATAATAGGGGTATATTTAATTAAATAACATATTTGCGTTAATTTAATTAGTTAAACTAGGATAAATTTTGACTTATTGTTTGATTTATTATCCCAATTCAACAAATATAGTTTTATTTTAATTGTTGACAATAAACCTGTTACTTTTTCCTACAATTTAACATAGTGTTAATAAATAACCATAAAATAACCGAAAACCCAGCACTCGGTTATTTGTTTGAAAAAAATATTTTTCGAGCAAATACCACGAATATGGTGGTAATTTATTTTGTTTGTCACACATTTCTTAGAAACTCATCATGTGCATGTTCACACGCATTAGGATCGCAATCGAAATAAATAAAACGATCTGAAAAATCATTCTAGCACAAGGCCTTTCAAATATTTGCTATCATTTGATAAAGCTTGTTTTCGAATCAGGGCTCCTCCCGAGGGTCACTGTTCCGCCTCGTATCGAAAGATTCGTACTAATTATAATAATTTCAGATGTACTAATTCGTGTGGACCTCTTCAAATATTTAACCAAACATTAACAGAATCGAAAATCAAGTTTTAATGCGACAATAAATTATTCGAGCGCACCGAGAAAAACGCGCAATTCGTACAATATTTTACAATCATTCGCGTTATCATTAATCTGTGCGAGAGTATTTATTGATCAGATAAAATAGAATTTGTCGTTGTCGGTCGCGCACAAGTTTGACGAACAGTTAGCACTCGCTAGCTAAAGGTGGAATGATTAGCGGACCAACAAAATAGACGTTGTTGTGCCGATGCAAGTTCATAGAACATACAGGGTGAGTTACTTTAAATTGCGCTAATCGGTTCGTAATAAATTCGTAATAATACGGCTCGTTAAGGGTGTTTAGTGTTTAAGAGATTTGAGATTAACAGGTCATTTTTACTTTACTAGTTACTTTGTGGTGCGATAATATTTTTGGAATTGTAGATTTTTCAGTTTTATCCTTGTTGACTAATACTTTGATATATTTTTTTACAGTTAATTTATGTAACTGTTGAAATAGATAAGATATATTTGGTATAAATTAGGTTTTTGAACAAATAATTGGAAAGTTGGAAACTATTTTATTATAATACTACGAAAAAGTACTTATATATTATATTTACACAATCTATTATTGCAATTCACACTATTAATTACGTGGATTTCATTCACATGATTACCTCTCTCACATTTCATCTATCAGTAAATAACAGGTATTTTTCTTAATTTTTTTAGGAAAATCCTAAGTTCGAAAACTCAGACTGGTCTCACCTAGCGAGAGAAGAACCATTTCGCAGCGAGTGGTCTCGTATAATAAACAGATAATAATAATTCCGTAATTTCATACATTAAGGTCAGTCGAATATTGTAACATTTATTGAAACGTTCGATCCTCGTTTCGCGGAAAACAATCTTCGAATTTGCGAATTCGTTATCGGGGATTATTTAAGACATTGACATTGCAAAAGTTCGACTGAAGATGGGACTGAAGGAGAAAAACATGGACTTGGCGTTTACGGGCACTAACGAGTAAGTCACAATCGATATATTTTTGAATTCGCGGTTTTGCTTAACGCATTTCATTGAAAATACATTGAAAATGAATAAGTATTCGTGAATAATTTAATAATTTCGTGGACGAATCGATCGCTCGTCTCGTCCGAAAGTCATGACGCTTATTAACTATTTAATTTATCTTTTTGTGATGTCATCGCAATTGATTTCATTTGGTGCCATCCTTGTGGTAGGTTTCTTTGTTGCTTCATACAGGGTGTTTAGGGAGAAACAGCAATTGTAGATATTTCGGTACGTACAAATACAAAGTGCATTTATGTACTATAAATACCGAAATATAATCGCTTAATGATAGGTAATATGTAATTTGTATTAATATAATAATATGCATTTAGGTATATTTTTTTCTATTGTCTTTGGCATATTTGTTTTAGCCATTGTTTCTATTGTAAATTAATTTTTTTTTATCTACAACTAAGTACTTTTTGAGGCATTTCAAGGTTTCATTTAAATAAAAAATTTTCAGTTATTTGTACTTTTCTATTTTCATTCGTAAATTTTACGAAATATAAACAATTCAACAGAAATTAAGTAATTTAAACAAAGAAAATAACGGTATTTTTAGAATACATACGTTTTTCCGTACGATTTACGTAAATAATAGTCAGATTAATTTCGTTAATCAACAAATTCGTGATTAAGGTCAGCTGCGTATGTGTCAGATACTTGATCAATAACATTATTAACTTATTTTCATTGTTTGGTTTAGTTTGGATTTTAGCGAAAAGTATATCATCAAGTCTTTATTAACTTCTCTATCATTAATTACATTTGTGATTCGATTGTTTTAATAATAAAATATTTTTGTTGCATACTTTGTGATTTTATTCATATTTTCCTTCGCATATTACAACAGCTGTGCAGTGTGTGACTTTGTTCTTTTGCAATGCTTTAGTTTGTTCAACTTGTAATCTTATACTGCAATTTTTTTCTGGAATTTTCCAAATTCAACAACCTTTGGCAACCATAAATTTTATCATCGCTCGAGATTGCTTCCGCCATTTAATTGAATTTTAAAAGCCTACCATTTGTAGAGAGATATTCAGGAATAAATAAGGTGCCTAATTACCATTACTAGATCAATAAAACCCATTAAGGAATCGATTGACCGTAGAGAACATTTGAAGCGCATCGATTGAAAGGTTATCTTCGACAAAAAAATCCATTTATAACTTGCCGGATTAACCGGAGGATGAATTTCGCGACCTCGGAAGTGAATTTACTGAAATTCAATCGGATTATTGTTTGCCAATTGATCGATTTTCCCATCATTTACGCGCTCGGATGAGGCCGAAAACAATATTAAAATTTCCTCTATTTATATTCCTATTAGGCCCAATAGAAATGCAATCGATAATGTACTTTAATTGCCTATTTAATAGTTGTTGTGATGGCTGGTATTTCTCTAAATAAAATCCAAACGCTTTATCGTTGTAACGAGCGTTCGGTGTTTTTATTTTCGGAGCTGCTTCTTATCGGACGTTAATTCGAAATGAAGAAAAACAGGATTATCTTTATATTGTATACGTCTGTCAGTCAGTGTAGACTTGTAATGAAATAAGGTCGTTCCTACGTCTTCGAAAGATGGTAAAAATAGGTGAAAGCAGTGAGAAGAAACCGCTCTTGTTGAGGAAAACGTTCGGGTTTCCTCGCTATGGGTACGGAAAATTTTTGAGTTATAATCAACGCGGTTTGGCAACGGAATTTGTTGCACTCGAGCACCTATCGGTTTAAAATTTATATCGCTTAGATAGGAGAAGACCTTTCGTTCTGACCCAATGAATTTTAATCTCGTCGTTCGTGACTAATTTATGTCACAATAAACGCGCTCGATGTTTGTTTAAGTGCAGTTGTTCTTTCACCAAGAGACCAAGAACCTCTGGATTCTTAATAAATTTATTTGATAACATTGCGGATTTTTTGCTGATTATTTATTGTTCATAATAATATGCATACCTATACAATTACATAATCGCCACAAGTGTTTTGGTTTATTATAATAATCGTTTATAGATGATTGTTAGATAAATTTCTTAAGTATTTATCTAAACAATATTGTTACAGTATTATGAAAAATGATGAAAAACAATCTGGATTGTCGGTAGAAAGGCCGGTATATCAGATAGAAGAATTAAACAGAGATTACGAATATCAGAAACCCTACCACACACGTGAGTTACCACCTACAGCACGCGATGTATTTTTTAACATCACTTTAAACTCGTTAATTTAGTCAAAGCTCGATGCAAGAAGGCCTGTCAATCTATCAAACCCGGTACTTGGCTCAGAGAAACCGTACCGGTGCTGAAATGGTTACCCGAATACAACTGGAAGAAGAACTTTTCCGGCGATATCATCAGCGGAGTGACCGTCGCCGTGATGCACATACCTCAAGTAAGCCCAATTCCACGCGATTATTCCTTAAAATTTTCCTGCCAATTTTCCAGGGTATGGCTTACGGATTGCTGGGCAACGTTCCGCCCGTCGTAGGAATGTACATGGCGTTTTTTCCAGTTTTAGTATACTTCATTTTCGGTACTTCTAAGCACGTTTCAATGGGTTAGTATAAGCAATGATTTCTAGAGGGAATACTAAAAAGTTGTATGTTAGGTACATTCGCTGTGGTTTGTTTGATGACCGGTAAAATCGTGAGCCAGTACACCACCGTGGAAATAATGCAAGACGGTACCAGAAGGTTAATAGAACCCGAAGGCGGCATCGCCCACGGCCCTGACATACCTCAATACACCAACGTTCAAGTAGCTTTAACAGTATGCTTCACTGTCGCTATAATACAGGTAAATATTCCAATTGATTGTGTAACATCACAAGATTGTTGTGTGCAAATTTGAAACAAATCGGAGCAAAACTAACGAAGATAACGATAGGACAAATGGACAAAAAAAAACTTTGATTCCAGCTATGCATGTACGTCCTGAGGCTGGGTTTAGTGTCCCAATTGCTATCAGAAACGTTGGTGAGCGGGTTCACGTGCGCCTCGGCCTTCCAAGTAGTCACCTCGCAACTCAAGGATCTCCTAGGATTAGACATCAGGAAACGCAGAGGGAATTTCGCCGTTCCGAAGGTACGATTACCGCTAAAAGCGTCGATTAGAATTGGTGTTTAAAACGTTTCTTTCAGACGGTATTCGATTCGATAATGGCGATTCCCCAAGCGAACGTTAGCGCAATGCTGGTTTCGTTGATCACTTGTACGGCTATTATACTTAACAATGAGTTATTGAAGGTAAGCGATGCGATTTGCGATTGAAGCTTTGAGATTTATGGCGTCGTTTTGTGGATTCTAGCCTTGGCTGGCCAAGAAAACGATGATACCGTTTCCAATAGAACTAGTCGCAGTGGTGGTCGGAACGTCGGCGAGTTACGCCATGGATTTCAAAAATACCTACAATATCACCATAGTGGGATATATCCCAACAGGGTAACTAATTAATGATTTATGAAGTAGTGGCGATGAGTAAATCGTTTCATTGTTAGGTTTCCCAAATTGGCTCTTCCCGCGTTCGAGCTGATTCCCGACATATTCATGGAATCCTTCACCATCACCATGGTGTCCTACACGATAACGATGTCCATGGCGCTGATCTTCGCCAGGAAGCTGATGTACGAGGTGGACTCGAACCAGGAACTCCTCGCTTTGGTAAAACACCCGATCGTAGCGCTCGATCGCAGCGATTAATTCGATTTATATATTCCAGGGCGCCAGCAACGTCGTGGGATCCTTCTTCTCCTGCATGCCCATAACCGCCTCGCTTTCCAGATCGCTCATCCAGCAAACTGTCGGTGGCGTCACCCAATTGGCTTCGATCGTTTCCTGCAGTATTATGTTGGTCGTTTTGTTGTGGGTTGGACCTGTTTTTCAAACTTTACCTAAGGTAAATTTAACTAAATTTATTCTCTTATCCAACTAGCCTCTTCACACACTGTCCTGGAATGGAATTGGTTCAAAATTAGTTGACCAATTATCCCCTTGTCCAACTATTCTCTCCACAAGTTGCCCTGTAATGGAATTGGTACACAATTAGTGGAAGAATTATCCTTTTGTCCAACTATCTCCTTAGCTAATTGCTCTGGAATTGGTACTGTTAGTGGACCAATCGCACCCACAAGTACCCACAGGAATTGAGAGGTCCCCAGACCAATTTTCGTTGATTTTTCAGTGCGTTTTGGCCAGTATAATAGTGATAGCGTTGCAAGGTATGCTGAAGCAGGTGACCGCCATATTGAAGTACTGGCGCTTGAGCCGTTGGGACGCCATCGTGTGGATCGTGACGTTCTGTTCGACGTTGTTCGTGCAAATCAGCTACGGCCTGGCGGCCGGCGTGGCCATCTCCCTGCTGAGCATCTTCATCCAGGGTTGCAAGCCGTACACCTGCCTGCTGGGCATCGTGCCCAACACGGACCTGTACCTGGACACCAAGAGATACAAAGGGGTAAGGAGTTGTGTGTTGTTTGGTTGCTTCGATTGAAACGCGTTTCGTTCAGGCCAAAGAAATCGACGGAGTGAAGATCTTCCACTACTCGGGCGGGCTGAGCTTCGCGTCGCGGTCGAGCTTCAAGGATTTGCTAGTCAAGAAAACGGAAATCGACGCGGCGGCGGTGCTGAGGCGGCGGGCGAAGCTGTTGGAGAAGGACATCCAGGAGGACGAGCAGTTCCTCGTCAAGTGTATCATTCTCGATTTTTCTAGTCTGACGTTCGTCGATCCGTCCGGGGTGGATACCTTGAGAGGGCTGCAGGCCGATTACAAGCAGTTGAACATTCTGATGTTGATATCAGGGTGCTCCGGTGAGTTTTGTCGCGCTGGGAACACAAAATGTTTTGTGATGAAAAAGGTTGTTTGCAGGTCCGGTGTTCGAGGTGATGCAGAAGTGCGATGAAGTGGAGAAGAACGAGCAGAAGTTCCTCATATTTCCCACTGTACACGATGCAGTATTGTACGCCCAGGTCAACGTGTCGCCTAAAGATAAATGAAACGGTTCTAAATGCTCGATAGGAATAATTTCTTTAGAAAAGAGTTAGTATTAAACACGAGAAATTGTGATAGGGAAGCAAATAATTGTTATTTTTTATTGCTGCGATTGGGCGGCCGTCTGTTGTGATATTTTTGTATAACGAGAATTTCCTTTATACAAAATTATTCATGTTGTTGCAATTAAATGGTAAGAGAGAAAACGGTTTTTCGTTGTTAAATTGGTTTTATTAATAGTTTTTGTTGTTGCAATGGAGCGTGAATGTTGATGATGATGAAGTTACTAATCAAAACGATAAAACCAAAAAGTAATATTAAATTTGTTGATGTTTTAAAGCCTTTAAGTAAATAAATTTTGTGATATTACGTCAACAAGACGAATTTTTATTAATGGATTAAACTTAATATCGTGCAATTGAACAAATTTTACTATTTTATTTAGTTTTTGAAGATTTTAGTGTGTAAGTACTTAAAAGATATCGATATTTTAATAACGTACATATGTATTTTTTTCGTTGTTATTTGTATATTGTGATCTTTTAGATTTTATAAACATTTATACTTAAGCCAACAGAAATTGTAAATAGTTATATATTACTGTTAAATATTGAGTAATTGATGTTAATAAAAATTATTTTTTACTGAAAATAGAATTTTTTTTTGAGCAATTTTAAGGTTGAAGTTTACGTTTTACAAAGTTACGTCAAATTTGTCGAATGAACGTAGATGTTGAATTCTTTAATGAAGAAAAAATAGTAATAAAAAACCGGTTTTTATCGTACCCACGAAAAATTATATTCACTTTTTTAGTACTGTTAGAAATAATACCGGAAAAGTCACTGAGAAGATCATCGAAAGAAAACTCTACGACATGAAAACCCTAAACGAGCTGTATGAGTATGAAAAACCCTCCCTTTCTCGTAAGTTTCTATTCTAGTGTAAACTAAGTTTCAAAACTTGCCCTTTTAGCAAAAGAAAAATGTAGAAAACTATGCCACAAACTGCTACCTGCCGCATCTTTAAAACGATTTCTCCCAATAATCGATTGGTTGTACAATTACAATTTCAAAACCATGTTAGCAGTAGATTTATTAGGTGGAATAAACATTGCAATGTTGCAATTACCCCAGGTAATTACCCCAATTCAACACACCATTCATTCTATAACAACAATTCCAGACCATGGCCTGCGCTCTAATAGCAGATATCCCTGCTGTTAACGGCATCTACACAGCAATATTCCCCGCCGTTATTTACGCAATATTCGGAACATCCAAGCAAATTGCAGCAGGTACTCGACTAAAAATTTACATTCGAAATTAATAACACAATTTTTAACCAGGAGCATTCATGGCTGCCTCTCTAATGACCGGATTCGTAGTAAACGAGCACGCGACAGTTCGTACAATCAAAAATATCAAACGAGTCTCCGAGCAATTCACCGAAGTGGAAGTGGCGCAAACGGTCTCTTTCGCTGTCGCTTTGATAGAAGTAAGTTTTGTTGCTTATTGATTATCGACACCAATAATTCACACCAAATTTACCTCTTCAGTGTACGTAAAGTTTACTACAAATATTTCCAGTAGCTGTGTATGTATATTTTGAAGCTGGGCGTCGTATCGCAAATGCTGCCTCCGCCGTTCCTCGGCGCTTTCACCTGCTCCATCGCCTATCACATAGTCGTTTCTCAATTCAGGGACCTGCTGGGGTTGCCTACGGAGAAGCGCAGAGGAGTTTTCTCCCTACCTTTGGTAGGCGAAATTTCAAAATCACCTTCTTTGTAGATAAAGTTCCTCGTTTACAGACCGTGTATGATTTGGTAACGCACGGAAACCAAGCAAACGTAGTCACATTGGGAATATCAATCGCATCTTGTACAGTCCTGTTGGCTAATCGGTATGTACTTAAACCGTGGTTATCGAAGAAGACTGTAGTACCGTTCCCTGCTGCGATGGTTTTGGTTTCTATTGTAACAACCTTCAGCGAGCTCTTGGATTTCAACAGAAAATACGACGTCGCCGTAATTGGGATTATCCCGACCGGGTGAGATGCACGAAAACACCACCTTCGAAGATCCGCGTTATTATGTTTTTCCTTTACTCAAAGATTCCCGGAGATGGTTTGTCCGAAATTCCATTTACTACCAGATATCCTGCTGGATTCTTTGGCTATTGTTATCGTGGGTTACGTCGTGACGGTGTCCCTAGCGCTGGTTTTCGCCAGGAAATGGTTGTACGAAATCGACGCGAATCAAGAACTACTGGCCTTGGTGGGTAGATAAATTCCATCAAACCTACTCGACTACTAGCGAATATCTTTCGTAGGGCGCTAGTAGCCTGTTCGGTTCGTTTACCGGGTGCCTTCCCATGTTTGCAGCAGTACCAGTATCTATACTCAAAGCGCAAATCGGTTGCAAAACTCAGTTATCAGCGTTTGTTACCAGCGGAGTTTTGCTGATTGTAGTACTCTGGATCGGCCCCTTGTTCCGAGCTTTACCGAAGGTAATCTAATTCATTTTTAACTCTCTTTACTGGCGCTATTGATGCGTTTTTCAGTGCATATTGGCCAGCTTGATTATCGTCGCTTTGATGGACCTTCTGTTGGAGGTGCGTTATTTCGTGAAATGCTGGCGATTGAGCCCTTGGGACGGCGTAATATGGACCACAACATTTCTAACAACCTTCATATTTAACATCAGTTACGGTTTAATAGCCGGTCTCAGCGTATCGCTGTTAATAATTTACCTCCAAGGGTACCTGTCGCCCGGAGTTGTTTTAGGAGTCGTTCCCAACACTGATCTCTACTTGGACCTGGAGAAATTCAAAGCGGTTAGTGAGCTACCCGAAATTATTAATAGCTTCTAAGAGAATAACATCTGTTAAGGCGGACGAAATCAAAGGCGTGAAGATCTTTCGCGGCTCGGGCGGCTTGAACTTCGTCGTAACGCAACGATTTAGGTTGCTGCTGATGAGGAAAACGGCGCTCGATCCGAGCAAAGTGTACCAGACGATGATGAAACGAGGCGGGGAGCTTCTAAGCGATGAAATCAACAAGACGAATTGCGTGGTATTGGACTTTTCCAACGTCACCTTCATCGATAAATCTGGCGTGGATTCGCTCAACGGTTTGTTGGAGGATTATCGGCGTATCGGAGTCGAGTTTGTTGTTGGAGGATGCTCAGGTATATAATTATTGAAGAAATCGTTTATTTGTGTATTTAGATTCGTAATGTAGTATCGTATTATAGATGCTGTGTACGAAGTAATTACTCGATATTACCGAGTGAATAAAAAAGAAAATAAATTGCTCACATTCCCGACCCTTCACGATGCCGTGTTGTTTGCTCAAATAAATGCATCGTCAAAAAGCAAATAATCTTGTAAACGTGTGTATTAGGTTTATTAAGTAATTATTAATTTTTGTATTAAATGCTATTTATTTGATTGATGTGTCTTCTTCAATAAGAAGTTGTTAAAAATGCCAAATAAATAACGTCAAATTTAATAATAAACGTCAATAAATATTAGATAGGCATTCCCGAGGAACTGATATGAATGTGGAAAGAAAAGTATACGACATGGAAGAATTATATGATGTGTATAAATACGAAAAATCTCAGCTTTCTTGTGAGTACTCTAACAACCCAGATGCTTTGTACAAGAACCTCCTTTACAGGTAAAGAAAGGCTCCAAATATTGTTGCTCTTCCTCAAACCGAGTTGGTTGAGCAAACTACTCCCTATTATCCACTGGCTTCGCAAATACGAGTGGAAAAAATTGTTAGCAGGAGACATTATCGGCGGCATGACTGTCGCAGTTCTACAACTCCCCCAAGTAACTATAACTATTTTACTCCCTGTAAAAATGTAATATAGTTTGGAAATTCATACCATAGGCGATGGCTTGCGCTATCCTGGCCGATATTCCGGCCGTAAACGGCATATACACTTCGATTTTCCCGGTGGTCGTTTACGTTGTATTCGGCACTTCCAAGCACAATTCCGTTGGAACATTCGCCGCGGTTTCTCTAATGACCGGATCCATCGTCAGCGAGCATACGACTGTATATGCTGGTAACAGCTATAATCAGTCGCTTCCTGAGCAATACACCAACGTAGAGGTGGCCCAAGCCATTTCGTTCACCGTCGCTGTAATCCAAGTAAGTTGAAAATTACAGTACTATCGGAAATATTGGTGGTAGTTGGGCATGTTCGTTTTGAGACTAGGAGCGGCGTCGCAGTTGCTGTCCGAGACTTTTCTGGACGCTTTTACCAGCTCGGTGGCCTACCACATATTGAATTCCCAAGTTAGAGACCTGCTGGGGTTGCCCACCGAGAAGCGCAGAGGGAGCTTCGCCATACCTTTGGTTTGTTTAATTATGAAATTTTTGGAAAGTTCCTCGAATCCTGTTTTACAGACTGCGTATGACTTGCTGACTTACGGGAACCAGGCCAACGCGGTCGCCGTGGCGATATCTTTCGTTGCTTGTTCGGCGCTGCTGGCGAATAATTTTTTGTTAAAGGTTTGTTAATATTGCGCATTTCTTGCGTTGTACCTGCAATTCGTTTTTAAGCCATGGTTGTCGAAATTTACCCTTGTGCCTTTTCCCGCGGAGCTCATCATCGTCGCCATTATAACAGCCTGCAGTTATCTCATGGATTTGAATACTAATTATAATGTTACAATAATCGGTGAAATTCCAACTGGGTACAGTACAAGCTTGAATCGATCCACAATTGTGTTAATAAAACTTTAGTTTTCCGGAGATGTCATTCCCGAAATTCCAACTAATTCCCGCGATTTTCCTGGATTCCCTGGCGATCGTGATAGTCGCCTACGCAGTAACCATATCTCTCGCGTTGATCTTCGCCCGAAAGTGCTTCTACGAAGTCGATTCGAACCAGGAACTGTTGGCTTTGGTAAGTCCGATTCTCGTACATTACCTGCTCGAATCACCGCGAATTTTTGCAGGGCTTGAGCAACGGTTTCGGTTCCGTTACGCAATGCATGCCCATCTCTGCGTCTTTATCCAGGACCCTGCTCAGGTACAATGCAGGCGGTAAAACCCAATTAGCCGCCGTCGTTTCGAGTTCTCTTCTATTAATCGTGATTGTATGGATAGCGCCGCTGTTCGAAGCTTTGCCGAGGGTATTATGAGCTTATTTACGGTTTAATTGAACTTTTTATTGGTGTTTATTAGTGTATTTTAGCTAGCATAATAGTCGTGGCGCTTACGGAAATGTTGCTTAAAGTGCGATTAGTTAAAAAATATTGGTTGTTGAGCCGATGGGAGGGAATAATATGGAGTGTAACGTTTTTGGTGACGTTTATATTTCATATAAGCGGTGGATTGATAGCGGGAGTTTTAACGTCTTTGTTAGTAATGGGATTGCAATGTTACACGCCGAATAATGCTATTTTAGGAGTTATTCCGAGTACAGATCTTTATCTGGACATAGATAAATATAAAACGGTATAATATGCTACAGAAATAATAGATATTCGTGCTTGAGTTTTATAATTTAAGGCTCGAGAATTGGCCGGGATAAAAATCTTCCGAAGTTCCGGCGTTTTGAATTTTTCTGTAATACAAAGCTACAAAAAGGCGCTGTTTAAGAAAACCGGGCTGGATCCGCATCGCGAGTTCATTAGAATGGTCAGGGAACATCGAGATTTGCAAGAGGATTTCCTTCAATTAAATTTCGTTGTGCTCGATTTTTCCAATATAACTTTCATCGATAGAAACGCTGTGGAATTTCTCGCTACCTTATCGCGCGATTACAGCCGGGTTAATATCGAATTGGTCATTGGCGGATGTTCAGGTAAAATTTTAGATTTCTTTTTTTTAAGGAGTATATTTCATGATGTTTTTAGAACCAATATATAGCACAATCGCTAGAGTTTACAGAGTAGAAAAAAGAGAAAACGACCTCATAATATTCCCCACGTTGCACGACGCCGTTCTGTACGCTGAAACGAGCTCCAATAAAAATAAATAATTAACCACCACGTCGTTTCCGTTTGGAAAATTTTGTTCTGTTAAATTCCTTCCAATTCGGTCCTGCTTACCCGGCCAATTCCGGCGAATTAGCGGCGGTCAAGATCTCCTCGACGGCATCGAAAAGGCTGCAATTCAAGATGAACCGCTGGCAAGGTCAGGTGGCCGTCGTCACCGGCGCTAGTGCAGGTATCGGTGCATCCATCGCGGAGAAATTGGTCAAAGAAGGACTCAAGGTAATCCTGTATATATTTTTTAACTAATATTCTAAGCATCTCAAATAAGACAACATCGATTAGGTTGGTAAAATAAGGGTGGTTTTTTTTCATAAGGAAACTTGTTCAGTGGAACATTGTTATTTTCATAGTTAATATTTTTTATACAATTTGAGTTGTTTTGTTCACAATTTATTGCAAATGTCGAATTAATTAGGAATTCTAATAAATTATGTTGTTTTTACCTAAAAATAACGTATCCGATAAACGAATATTTTTAATGGAGTTCAAACCGATTAACCTGTTTATCTTAAAATAGCAGACACAATACAATTGGCTGCCTATTAAATATCTTAAACGAAACATAATAAAGTCGTTAAGGCAATAAAATAATATAAGCCTTGTGTGGAAAATTTCGATGAATCTTTCAGGTCGTAGGCATCGCGAGGAGAAAAGAACGAGTCGAAGAGCTGTGCTCTAAACTCGCCAATGAACCGGGAAAACTCTACCCAGTCCGAGCCGATCTAACAAAGAAAGAGGACATCCTCGAGGCCTTCGAATGGATAGAAAACAACGTCGGACCCGTCAGCATTCTGATCAACAACGCCGGTATCGGCAGAAAAACCAACCTCATAGACGGTAATAACACTCCTCAATTTCCATCCACCAACGCTAACCCCTTTTTGAGCAGGTAACATAGAGGACTGGTCCTTGGTGCTGGACACCAACGTGCTCGGACTAGCCATAGCCTCGCGCCAGGCGATCCAGAGCATGCGCAAACACGCCGTCGACGGGCACATCGTCAACATCAACAGCACCGCCGGCCACCACGTGCCCTCCGTGCCCTACAACAACGTGTACCCGGCCTCCAAGTTCGCCGTGACCGGCATGACGGAGACGCTGCGCAAGGAGCTCATCGCCTTGGGCAGCAAGATCAAAGTTTCGGTAGGTACGGCGGATAAATTGGTGGATTAGTTGGCTGGAATTGTTTGCGTTTAGAGCGTCAGTCCGGGATGCGTGATGACCGAAATCTACGAGGCCGGCGGGTTCACTCAGGACGAAGAGGTGAATAAGTTGCTGAAAATCGTGCCGTCTTTGGATGCTGAGGATGTGGCCAATGCTGTTTTGTACGTCTTGGGTACTCCGCCTAATGTGCAGGTAATTTTGTTATTGTTGGGTTATTTTCGATGATGATATGGAACATTTTTTTCAGGTAACCGAGCTTATTGTTAAACCATTGGGGGAATTTGTTTGATTTCGTTAAATCGATGACCCAATGTGATTTGAAGGAAATAAAATTGATATACAAATTGAGTTTTGATTTTTTTGTCCTCCATACTATAATAATCGTGCTTAATATAGTGTCAAAACAAATTATACAATATTTTTATTTAGTATTTTATTGTATAGATTTTTTTATCCTTCGAAGATAGTCTCCAACGAGGGCACAACGGTGACCTACTCGATGCGCAGGGCACCCTGCGCGCTAACATATCAATACGAGGGTCATTCGCGTTGCAACGCTACATCTTTAGGCGTAGTTGCAGGTTTTATATTTCATTTTACTTGTCCCCCGTAGCATTCACAGAGTGTTGGGCAGCCTTCGAATCGTCCCCGCTCTAGCGAAATTTTTAGGCAGGGCTTCGACGCGCCGGGCAGTTGCGCGAGTAGCGAAGCGACGAGGGTTTTATTTTTATTCGAAAGTTTGAAGTTTCCCTACTGTATTATTGTGTGGTCAAGATCTCGACGGAATCGCAAAGGCTTGTTATTCAAGATGAACCGCTGGCAAGGTCAGGTGGCCGTCGTCACCGGCGCTAGTGCAGGTATCGGTGCATCCATTGCGGAGAAATTGGTCAAAGAAGGACTCAAGGTAATCCTGTAGATTTTTTTAACTAATATTCTAAGCATCTCAAATGAGACAACATCGAAGGGGTTGGTAAAATACGGGTGGTTTTGTCATAAGGAAACTTGTTCAGTAGAACATTGTGTATTCTCGTAAGTTAATATATTTTTAATACAATTTGAGCTGTATTGTTTACAATTTATTGCGAAGGTCGAATTAATTTGAAACAAATTAATTATGCATGCTAATAAATTATGTTGTTTTTACCTATAAATAACGCATCCGATAAACGAATATTTTTAAAGCAGTTCAAAACGATATTAACCTGTTTATTTATGCAGCGTCCACATTAAATAACATGTCGTATAACTTTGCTATTTAACATGTTACTTGTTAAATTTGTACTCAATTACTTGCTAGTTATATCAGCTGAGAAATTTGCGAAAAATGATTTGAAATGATGTTGTTTAGGTATAGCTTTGCTATATTGCAGTGTTATCTAGCAAGTGTGCTTTTAAAATAGCAGACACAATACAATTGGTTGCCTATTGTTGAAAGTTTCGATGAACGTTTCAGGTCGTGGGCATCGCTAGGAGAAAAGAACGAGTCGAGGAACTTGGCTCGAAACTCGCCAATGAACCGGGAAAACTCTACGCGGTCCGAGCCGATCTAACGAAGAAAGAGGACATCCTCGAGGCCTTCGAATGGATAGAAAACAACGTCGGACCCGTCAGCATTCTGATCAACAACGCCGGTATCGGCAGAAAAACCAACCTCATAGACGGTAATAAAACTCCCCAATCTCCATCCACCAACGCTAACCCCTTTTTGAGCAGGTAACATAGAGGACTGGTCCTTGGTGCTGGACACCAACGTGCTCGGACTGGCCATAGCCTCGCGCCAGGCGATCCAGAGCATGCGCAAACACGCCGTCGACGGGCACATCGTCAACATCAACAGCACCGCCGGCTACTACGTGCCCTCCGTGCCCCACATCAACGTTTACCCGGCCTCCAAGTTCGCCGTGACCGGCATGACGCAGACGCTGCGCAAGGAGCTCATCGCTTTGGGCAGCAAGATCAAAGTTTCGGTAGGTACGGCGGATGAGTTGATTGAGTAGTTAGCAAGAATTGTTGGCCTGTAGAGCGTCAGTCCCGGATTCGTGGAGACCGAAATATTCCAAGCCGGCGGGTACACTCAGGACGAAGAGATGAATAAGTTGCTGGGAACCCTGCCGTCTTTGAAAGCTGAGGATGTGGCCAATGCTGTTTTGTACGTCTTGGGTACTCCGCCTAATGTGCAGGTAATATTGTAATTGTTGAGTTGTTTTCGATGATGAAATGGAATATTTTTTCAGGTTACCGATCTTCTTGTTACACCGTTGGGGGAATTTGTTTGATTTCGTTAATTCGATATCTTAATGGGTTTTGAAGGTAATAAAATTGAAATACAAATTGAGTTTTGATTTTTTTAGTGCTTCATACTATAATCATTGTGCTTAATATTATAGTGAGTACATATATTCGAGTTAATCTAAATAATACTACATCTAAAATATAAAATTAAAGCTTCAAACTATCACTTTGTTACTAAGAAAATTATTAACATAAGTGAGCTTTATGATTTAATACTTACTACTACTATAATCTAATCAGTGCCCCACCAATTCCCCGTTAATAGATATACTGTGGTGATTAAAAAAATAATACTTCAAAAAATTAAAACACGCCATAACATTGATCACACAACAACAAAACCGCTCTTCTTCCTATTGGCCTCCTTGGGTCAAACAAGAGTCCCCATAGGTCTTATAATGAGCTCTTGAATCTAAAAAAATCAAAAACTAATCGTAATCAAATCATTTTTAATACGAACGAAGAGCCTTACGTGAACGTGCGGAGCGGTACCCAGAACATACAAAATCGATCCAGCCACATCCTCCGGTCTCAACGCTTTCATCTGATTCACCGCCTCTTTAGTACCGTCGTTGGGAAGATTCTCCATGAACTCGGTGGTAACCACCCCGGGACTGATGCTCTGAAACATTAACAATCGACAATATTTGTAGAAACCACCGATCGAAGATATTACCGTGACTTTAATGGGAGAATCGAGGTGGATGAGCTCCTGCCGCAGGGTCTCCGTCAGAGCGGTAACGGCGTGCTTGGAGGCCGGATAGACGTTGAAAGCGGGCTTGGGCAAAACGGGCACCGTGTGCCCCACCACGCTGTTGATGTGCACGATGTGGCCGGCCACTTTTTTCTGGCGCATCACTTTGACGGCCTCCCTGGTGCAAATGCACAGCGCCATGACGTTGACGTCGAAGATCTTGCGCCAGTCCTCCGTGCAACCGTCTGTGAACCGCCGATTTGTATTGCATTTCGCGAGTTTAGGTGTATATTTACCGGTTAAATTGGTGGGTCGGATGAGTCCGGCGTTGTTAATGAGAATGTGGATGGGGCCCACGTTTTCGGTTATCCATCGGAAGGACCTCAGGATGTCCTCTTCCTTGGCTACATCGCATCTTAGAGCGAACAATTTGCCCGGTTGGTCCGCGAGGGTCCTGGAGAGGTCTTCGATTTTATCGATGCGCCTGGCGATACCGACAACCTTGAACAGATTATGAATTGTTTGATGGAAAAACGACTTGAAGGTTACCTTACGAGTAGTCCGTTTTCCACGAGAGCTTTCGCTATTGCAGCTCCGATTCCTGAACTCGCTCCGGTTACTAGGGCGACTTTTCCTACCCAACGGTCCATATCTGTAGCAAAAATGTCTTCGTTGATGAGAAATTTGTTCTTGCACAAATCTTCACTTATTTACAACAATAGAATGCAATACTCAAGCCTGCATCCAACTGCATAAAAATGTCTATACACGCCTACCGGAGACCGTTCTATTATTCGAACCTTGATTATAATTCAACGTTGTTAACAAGGTAATTATGTATTTACAATCTACCAATTAATATACACGTTTTTTTTCGAACAAAACTAACTGGAAAATCGATTTAAAAAGTTGAAATTATTGTAGAGGAGACACGGGAGTGTATACCGCCTGTCACCGGGACCGCAAATAACTGGTATTTCAGCTATCGAAAAATCAAAATTGATTTTCTCGTTCTGGGATGTTCCAGTTAATTTTGCATTTCTACCGGAGTTTATTAAGAACATTCATTTCATTCGTTTTCATACATTTTTACCTAATTCTAGTCCACTTTATTCAGTTATTGTAAAACGTATTAATTATTTTTAATGCAATATTTGTTGGTTTTTTAATAAGTACCTAAAAATAACTTAAAGCTTATCAAAGACTTGACAATTAAAACTCAACTGAGCTCTTTATTAACCAAACAAACTCTTAAAGTATACTCCAACTAAGTACAAGAAGAATTACCCAATGTAACCAAAACTATTTATTATAGGATGAGATATTGCTGTACTCACCGTGATAAGAATTTCGTTAATTTCAAATTGCACAACGTTACACAAGCTTAAAATATTGTTTGTTTTATAATTATTACACCTAATTAAGAATTAATAAACTTACAAGAGTGCTGGCATTAAATACAAAAAAAAAATGGGGAGGTCAACATATTTGCATGTCGATAAGAAAATATAAAATATGCGATAAGTAAATGCGGCGTTTAATAAATAAAAATGCTAGTATATAAAACTACAAAATCATCAATTAACTATACTCCATTCAAAATGTTTCATCCGAAGTAAGTACCGTTTAATTTGTGCTTTATACTATTTACGTTTCAAAAAAGTTTATAAATTCTTTAATTTCAGCTGCAACTTTGCGCTCTTCGCTTGCGTTTTCGCATCTCTATCAATCCACCGGGTAACTCCCAGTTGCAATTTCCAAATGAACCGATCGGTGTACTACAGCAGTTGGGTTTGCAACAACACCACTTTATCCACAAACAGCCCGGACTTCAGCGCCTCCAACTTAACAACAGTGACTTTGATAGGAGTAAACGGCGAATTCTCCCCGCACACCATGCAGAACTTCACCAATCTCAGAAAAGTCCTGATATCAGACAGCGACTTCGACGAGTTCGAGCTAAAATTAGACAAGCTGAACTCGCTGATGTTGTACAGAACTCGAGTGCCCGAGGGTTCATCTTTAACCAACTGCTGCCTCAGTTTAGAAAAACTCTTCATAAAAAGAACCAGAGGTATCCAAACGGAGTTCAGCGGATTGCAGAGATTAAAAACACTGAACATCAAATACCAAAATATCCCTCAAATAACACACCGCACGTTCGAAGGCTTGCGCAGACTAAAACGCCTCTCTCTCATCGGCAACTCCATACGAACCATCCGAGCGGACGCCTTCAAAGACCTCACCAATCTCAAAGAACTCTACATCGAAGACAAGTCGAAGAAGACATCGTCGAGCTCACCTCGCTCACCATCTACGGCTGCAACCTGGACGCCCTGCCCTTGTGGATGTTCAACAACCAGAGGAAGCTGAAGGAGATCGGCCTGCCGTTCAAGACCTGGCTGGACGTCGACATCGAGCTCATACCCGGCATGTTTCCCCAGCTCAGCTTCTTCTCCTTCAAGGGCGACGAGAGCTCCGCCAACGAGGAGACCGAGTACGTCAGGCGCAGGCACTCCAGGCTGCTCAGGCTGCTCAACAATGGCGACGTTTGAGGCGATTTCGGCGATGGGTGAGCGGGACACGAGATGCATTGGGAGTTCTATTGGGGAGAATTCGAAATTGTGATATGTTGTAGTTTTTAACGCGTTTATTTATTAATTGTAGCTGTTGGTTTGATAACATTTGTCGCTACGGGTCAATGGAATATTGAATAAATAGGAAAATAAAATATTATGCTGAATCTATTTTGATTTAGGTCACTTTTCGGCTGCTCGTAAACGCTGCTAGAGGCTGGGAATTAGCTAATCGGTCGATTAAAAGTGTTGCCTACACGACGAGTCGTTGTATCTAATAAAAGCGTTGGATCTGATCGCTTCTTTCGGGTTTATGAGTGGAATCGGAATTTCGTTTTGAACCGCCGCCAATGCTCGAGCGATTGAATGAACCGAGCAGAAGGGGCGCCGTTCCGTTCTCGTTCAAGGTTTCTTTCTATCACAAAAATGTTGGGACTGATAGAATTAAAATGTTGATTCTCTTTTCACCCGCCCGATTCGCCGTTACATAATTTTTGTTTAATTACCTAAATGGTGGGAATTTCTCAGTCGATTCGGTGATAGTGTGTTTATTCGTAGATAATTTAGGTCGGGTGTTGTTTTCAGCGCGAATTCCGTTGTAGACGGTTTTGTTGTGGGTAAGGATTCAATTTAACTTGGCTTGTTTGCGAGACTTTCGCACGCTTATTACAATGCATGTCGGTGCAATTTGACTAATTATCGCCCAATTTACGCGTGTAATATTCAAGGACGTACCGTCTTCTAAACGCGTTTGATAATAATAAAATAATTACATTAAAATGGTATTGGTTTTCGTACGTACATGTGTACACACAAGGTCAAAGATCGGCGGTAAGGCGGTTCCAAAACGCACGCAGATACAACAACTCATAGGCGGCGCCATCGATTAAAACAATTCGTAATACAATTAATACAATCGTTAATCATATTCTTACAGATTAATCCTCTTATCTTAGCGCTCGATTTAACACGATAAATCAACTTATTAATCACCTAATTTTTATCGCTACTTTCGTGTCATTTACCGTTCGAAAGTGTATCAAATTTTTGCATTCAACAGGAACATGTCGTGCCGCATAATTTTGGACAATCCGGGCGCCTATCATCCGGGCGACACGGTGTACGGGCGCGTCGCGTTGAATTTCCGGAGCCGGGAGAGCTTCAGGGGCGTGCGGTGCAAGTTCCGCGGCAGGGAGCACACGGCCTGGACCGAGCGGGAGAGCTACTACGACAGCCACAGCAAGTCCACGAAGTGGCGGACGGTGCATTACAGCGGCGACAATAAATTCCTCGCCGTCGATTTGACCCTGCTCGGCGACAGTAAGATATCCTCTAACATCAGCTACTTCTTCGCGAGGTTGTAATTGTTGTCGGTTTCGTTTGTAGGTACTTTGAATGCCGGACATTACGAGTACCCTTTTTCGTTCACCTTTCCCAGGGGTAACATCCCTAATCCATACAACGGCTCGTACGGATACATCAAGTACTACATTAAAGGGTACGTTGATAAGGCGTTCGCGTTCGATTACGAGGACGAGGTTACGTTGCATTTGATAGCTCCTATCAATTTCAACGATATCGTGGGCGAATTGCAATTGGTAAGCGAACATCTAACTCGGTTCTTTATGTTACCGATGTTGATTTCTTTACATTCGCAGCAACCGATGGGTTACCAAGAGGAAAAGACGACTTGTTGTTGTTGCTGCGCCGGAGATCCCATCACCATGGACGCCGTCTTGGAGAAAGAGGCCTTCGTGGTCGGCGAATCGGCCAGGATGAGAGTCGACATATCTAACTTGTCCAACGAAAGTCTTCGAGAGCTCACAGTGAAGTTGAAACTAGTGGGTACCTACCAATTACTGGCGATAATTGTCGATCTATATTTTTGCCTATTTTTAGACAATCGAATCGAAAGTGACCCATCCCAGCACCAGGCACAAATACAACGAAGACCTCCTCGCCTACGTCCACGAATCTGGAGTGGGAGCTCACGGACAAAGAACGTACAACATCGATATGTGCATACCACCTTCATCTGTAGTACCAAATTTCGCGGGGTCCTATCTGTTCAAGCAGTGGTGCGACTTGGAAGTGGGTACTACTCTTCTTTTAAATGCCCTACCAGTACTCCATATATTAATTTCAGATCGAAGCCGTCGTGCCCGGTTGTCACACCAACCTATCGATCAAGACCCAAGTGAAGCTCGGCCATATTCCGCTCCTGCAAGGAGCCCCGACGGCAACTTACATTCCAGCTGTCCAATCTCCTGGAGGTAAGCACTTCCGTTTCTAAATTAGAAGATACTAAATTTATATTTAGGACCGTTCGGTCCACCACCACCGGTGGTCGACGTCCCGCCTCCGTATCCTCCAGCTCCTTACCCTCCGGATGAGAAAGCGCCGCCGTATCCAACGGGTCCTCCGTCGTTTCCCACCCCGACCGGCTACGGGGAAGCTGCTCCGGGCATGCCGATGCCTTTCGCGGGAGAATCTTCAGGTATCGCGAGCGCTCCGGCAGCTGAAGGGGCTCCTTCGGCCCCGTCCAAAGCGAAGCTGGCTGACGAGGATTTCGAGCTGATCGGAGGTAAGGTCGGGCTGGATTCCTCCAAGAGGAACGTTCTTATTTATGTGTTTCAGATAAACCTGATGGTGAGAATGTTCCACCGCCGAATTACAACGATTCGATGAAAAACAGCTCTTACCCACCAGCGCCCTCTGCTCCGCCCAAGTAGGAGCTGATCGAACGAATCGAGATTGTACTGTACTTACGAGTATGTTTTTTTATAATATGCTATTTAATAGTGCCATTGCAGAAGGAAGCACAACTAAATTGTTTTGATAAAATTGATGAGAATTGATACCACCTACTACCTCAGTTATTTTTATGCAGTACTGTATCTATTATAAGTCTTAAATGGTGTTTTTACTTATTCATTCTCTATTTGTTTATTTTAATTTCTGGAACATACAGATATTTTTGCATTAAAAATGCATGTAAGATCTGAATGAGGATTTTATTGGAAAATTTATATATTACTATTAAAACCTTTGAAAAATGTTTAGTAATTGTTGCAACAGCACGCTTTTTTTTTATTTTAAAGCAATGTGATACTTGCGTTATTTTTACTCTTGTTAACAAAAATATAAACGAAATGTGTTCAATATTGGGTGCATGCACATCAACAATATTTTTTATAATATTTATACGAATGCTATGTATTTGACGTTTCTAAAGTGCCTACGCTATTTATGTATAAATATATACCTACTTAAATACTTTTAACAATTCGCTTTATTTATCCCTTCCCAGCTAATACCAACGTAAAAAATATCGAAGTTCATTGTTCAACACTTCAACAGTCAATCTGACGTCCAGTTATGTTGTGAAAAATGTCCTTAATATGCTCGTCGGGCGCTACATGTCGTTGGTGATCATTTTTTCCGCAAACATTTCAGTATGTCGTGCAGGATCATGCTGGACTGCTCGCAAAAAGTAGCGGCAGGAAGCAGCATATTCGGAAAAGTTCTTTGTAAATTCTGCACATCGGAGCACGTTAAAGGTAAATCGTAGAGCTTCTCGCGAATCCCCTTCAATAGCCGAACGTTTTCCAGAAATCCGAATCGTCTGCCAAGGCTTGGAACTGATCGGTCCTCACGCGCACAAAGCCAAACGGTTTTTCTTCAAGAAACAAATCCTGCATTATCGAGGTAACGGATTCGCGCGATCGCTCGCTATCGCTGACGGTCAAATCTTGCAGGTATAATAAAACCGGGCAGACACGAATTTCCGTTTTCAATCGAAATTCCGAAAGACGCCCCGAGCAGCTTCGACGAGCCGCCGGCCCTCATCCAGTACATGCTGAAAGCGATCTGCGAAATCCCGTCGAATCCGCAGGAAGACGTCATGCACATACAGGTCTTCTCCTACGTGGATTTGAACCATTACGTGACCGAATTGAACTTGGTATGTACTCTCAAACCGAGGCGAATTGTTGATTGCAACTGGTGAGTTTTGCAGGAGCCGTTTACAGTGGAAAGGCAATGTCGAAAGGGGTATTTGTGCTGGGCCGCTACAGCTATTGAACTGAGCTTGACTTTGGAAAAAAACGCCTTCGTCGTCGGCGAGACTATCAAAATGAAGATATACGTCAGGAATAGCTGCGAGCAGGACATCCAAACCAACGTCGTAACGTTGAGAAGAGTGTGTATAATACCTCCATCTTCTAAGCTATTCCTCTAAGCAACATTCTTCGTGGATTGTTGCAGATGTTCGAGTACAAAAACAGCGAAAGCGACAAGAAATACCACACCAAACTCAAAGAAATCATCACCACCGAGATCCTTCCCATCGTCGAAGCCAATTCCCATCAAACTTTCTACGTCAACATGACCATACCGCTTTACATGGAAGTCGCGAATTTGAGCAGCTGCCGCTGCACCAAAGAAGGTTTCCTCATTAGTGTGAGTGCATCCATTTCGTATCATTTCGAATCTCCAATAACCCCCCATTTAAGCTCGAAGCTATATCTCGCAGCGCCCACGCCAGCATCCAAGTACCAATCCTCATCGGCCACATACCAGCAGTCTACAAGGAAGTACCAGGTAATTAATCAAACAATTAATTAATGTGCTTGTTAATTGAGTTAAAATCGCAGCCAATAAGGAAATGTCGGTGAACCTGAAGGCGTCGAAGCAGCTGTCGTACCGGGACCAGCCGAGCTTCGGGCTGTCGAAGGAGGCGCTGGCGGGGCCGCCGCCGGCCGAGGGGCTGTCGAGGGGCACCGGCTCGCTGAAGGCGGCTTATTGCAACTGCAACGCGGAGATTTCGATGCACGCGAAGTCGACGCACGTGCCGTCGGCGTCGGGGCTGTCGCCGCAGCTCCAGTCGAACGTCGGCGTCGTCTCGATGGCGGAGAATCTCGATTACTACGCGCCGTCGGAGCAGGTCAATCAGCCGCAGGGTTATTCCTAGGGGAATGCGTACCCGGTATATTGTTACGAAATTGCTGTAGTTTTTATTGTAATTTTAATAAAAAAAAATCTCGATGGAATGATTTTTGTTAGGGTAAGTGCGCCGAATATGGACCACCGCTCTTTTAAAAAGAATATTATTTATATCGAGTAAATGAGCATCATACACTAAGCATCACTCCTTCCTTGACCTAGCGACCTTTTTTTTGGTTTTCTGCAGCGCGCGATCTAATTTTCTAGCGCACTTTTTGGAAGTTTCTTAACCCAAAAAATACTATTTTATGTGAAAGTGGATAAGACCACGAGGAAGGTGAGTCATGCTGCAATTAATTGTATTAAGTTTTAACATTCTAAATTATTCCAATTTTCTGAAAAAAAATAATCTCAAAATGAGTGAGTATCACAATATGGACCAGTGGCACGTTTTAAATATGGAGTGGCTAAAAAATTAATTTTTATGTTCTAGAATGGCTTCTATAACAATAGAGAAGACCAGACAAGCATGGGATAAAAAACGCAATGGCGGAGGCAATTAAAAATGCACGAGAAAAGAAAATGGGTTTTTTGAATGCTTCCAAAACATACACCTAAAACAAATCACTTAATGATATCACCATCCAAAAACTTGGGAGACAATCAACATTACCGAGTGAATTGGAAGATGAATTAGTCAATTATATTCTAGAAATGGAAAAATCTGGATGTGGTCAATATAGCTTTAGAAAATGTTATTTATTTCAAAGATTTTGTTTTTTTTTGGAAAATTTTAATATGAGTCTTTCTTAACTAAATGGTTAAGGAATTGTTTAATAAAAAATTGAGCTGATTAAAAGCTGATTAGATGATTAAAATTTGATTGAAATTAAAATTTGCTGATTAAAATTGAAATTGCAATTAAAATTAATTGCCGATTAAAATTAAAAATTCGACTTTTTATTGATAAAAGTGGTCCATATATGGCGCACTTCCTCCATGTGTTAATGTGTTAGGTAATGCGATTTTTGGTGTAACCCTCGTAGCGATTTCGAAAATGGATTTTGTTTCACAGACGCCCGATGCCAAATCGTAAACAGTATTGTGGCGCCTTGAAGACTATTCCCTATCCCCTATTCTCTGCTCTGCATCGTTCTCTATCCCGTATAAGCCGGAAACTTTCGCTCATGCCCGATTTCGAATATGTCCGTAATAAATGTTTTCTTTTTCCTTCATATCGGCGACGTAAATAAATAATTAGGTGAGATTTTTGTGTTTATAATGCGCTATTTCGCGATGGATCCGATTCGCGGCGCGTTTGGAGCCTGGAGTGGACAAAGCGAGGCGGATTTTTGAAAAAAGTGTTAACAAATCGCCTCCAGGATGTCCCAGTGTAGGATAGTTCTGGACACGCCCGGTGTTTTGGGTGCTGGTAGTACTTTATACGGGAAAATATTGTGCACTTTTACAGCAGACACGATAATTAGAGGTAAGAGGGTTCTGTTTATTCATTAAAATGCTAGTTAATTTATTTTTATATAATTAACGATTGTTTAGAGATAAGATGCAGGATTAGAGGAAAAGAGAATACTAGTATTAGACAGGGGAAACACACCTACGTAGGTCGAAACACGTTTCTTAATTTAACACAAACTCTGGTGGGTGAAGGTCAGTAAAATATCGAAAATTTAATACATAAAAAATGTTGTTTTTAATTTATTTTAGGTACTGTACCAATAGGTCGATACGAATTTAGGTTTTCCTTCACATTGCCAACGGACATACCCAGCTCATTTTCCGGAAAATACGGCTCGATCTACTACTATATCAAAGCGACTGTCGATGTACCATTAATGTTCAACTACAAAGATAAAATTTGTCTTCGGGTAATGGTTCCTGTTAATTTCAATTCAATGCGAGAAGAATTGCAGTTAGTGAGTACATCAATAGCATCCCAAAATAGTGAAAAATAGTTCAATCTATTTATGGTTCTAATCGCTCTTTTCCAGACTCCTGTAGTATACGAAAACGAAAAAACCCTGTGCTGTTGGTGCTGCGCCAGCGAGCCCATAACTCTGAGCCTATTCGTGGAAAAAGAAGCTTTCACTCTAGGCGAAATCGCCAACATCCTAGTCGAAATAGTCAACATGTCGAACACAAACGTCGAGGAATTCGAACTGTCGCTAGTACGAGTAGGTACTCCTCGTTTTTTACGCGCAGTAGAATAAATACAGTTCGTTACAGGTGACTGAGTACTTATCAGAGAAAAACGGAACGAACCACGTAACGATAAAAGAGCGAGTGGCCGTGGAAAAGGCGACTGGGGTAGGAGCGCACGGTCGCAGGATCTACAGGATAGATTTCCAGATACCGCAGACCATCGACTTGTACAACTTCGCCAATTGCTACCTGATCAAGCAGCAATTCATGCTAATGGTGAGCGAATTACCGTCTAGTTAACATTGAAAAAACCGGTTGATTTAAGGCGGAGGCGGCGCTGCCGGGGGTGCACCAGAATTTCTCGGTGTTTGCCAGTATTATGTTAGGGCACATTCCGTTGCTCGAAACGCACGGTTTCCAGCAGGCCCGTTCGGGAATCGAAGGTAAACGGCTCCAACTTACGCGCGTCATTTCAGTTTTTGTTTGATTTTTTTGTTTTCAGTTGAAGATTTAGAAGAATTGCCTCACGAATCGCTAAACCCGTGCGCTATGTTTTGAGGATTTTATTTTAATTTGAGCGAATGTACAAATGCTATATGAATTTAAATTAATAAAAAATAATCGACTGTTGTTAGGTGTTTTATTAATTATTTGTTTTTTTTTTAGTTTTTGGAAGAAACTTGCAAGAATCGGAATCGCCTCCCAGATATAGCTCGCTTAATCTATACGATATAGAAGAAAATGATACTCTTGCGGATAGTACTATAAGCGATATTGAGAATTCGTGAAGTATCTAATAGTTGATTTCGCCTCGAATGTCTTGCGATTTTCCCAATTTCTTGTTATAATTCTAGTGATATTGGACGAATTAATTGTACCTTAAAATTGCCTTCGAAATATCTTCAACCATGTATTCCAAAATGTATCTACTTTTCAAATGTTACGAATTAAATTTTTAATAGAAAATCCATCGAATGGATATTTCACTGTGAATTTATCCAGTCGTTTTATTGTGTATATCGTCATTAAATAACCACGTTCACCATCTCTATACTAATATTACATTACTTTTGCAATTTATTATCAGTAAAGTGTAGGATTTGAGTTTAGTAGACTGCCTTGCATTTTAATTGTTTACTTTTCGTTTTTTGCGATTGAACTAACTAAATTACGCGGAAAAAATGGATTGTGCAGTTTTATTAATCGTTAGTTAATTACAGTTATTTTTCATATAAATTTCTGCTAGATACTGAGTAAGTAATAAAAAGTTTCTCTATGAAATTACATATTATTGTGTAACCTTGAATATACGCTACCCGTAGATTTTGTTTAGTGCATAAACTAATAATTAATTTAGAAGGCTAATTCTAAATGGACCGTTTATTTGAACACAAAAATTCATCACTAACTACAGACTAGTTTCATTAAACTGGTAATTGAAAACTGTCTACATAATTCCATAATTCACAAATCTCTCCCTTTATATTAACCTTGATATCAGTTTTATCTTTTCATTGAAATATATATTTGTGAAACTATTTTGGAAGGTATATCTAATCTGCAATGTTTGACGGGAACTCGTCATCCAATTAACCCGAAATACTGCTTAGAATGAACAGTATAAACAATTATTTCATTCGCAGTATTATTTTTTTGTGATTCAAATTAATAAAATTTTTTAGGATGCCCGAATGCAGGATAATTTTGGACACCCCAGGTGTTATAAGTGCCGGTGGTATAATTACAGGAAAAGTAATCTGCAATTTTTCTTCGGACGTACCGATTAGAGGTAAAAAAAGCTGATTTAAATTTTTCTTATAGCTTCACAAAATTTGTTATATTCTAGAAATAAGATGCAATTTTAAAGGTAAGGAAAAAACTCGTATCAGACGAGGAAAACACACATATTTCGGCAAAAATGTCCTCGTCGATCAAACGCAAATAGTAGCCGAAGAAGGTTAGTAAACCATAAATATATATAATTGCTTGTGTTAAATTTATTTACATTTAGGTACAGTACCCAAAGGTATCTACGAATTTAATTTTACCTTCGACGTACCCAGACAGATACCCAGCTCATTTTCCGGAAAATCCGGATGGGTTTTTTACTATGTAAAAGCAATTGTCGATAGACCATTAATGATCGATTACAAACACAAAATTACCCTCGAAATGTCGTCCCCTCTAGACTTTAACATGATGCGAGAAAAATTGCAATTGGTAAGTTATTTATTGTCTATCTACAGCACAAATTTTATTCAATCAATTTGCAGACTCCTGTGGTATACGAAAAAGACAAAACCCTATGCTGCTGTTGCTGCGCAAGCGAACCCATAACGATGAGTTTACACCTCGAAAAAGAAGCTTTTGTAGTCGGCGAAACGGCCAGAATCGTAGTGGAAATCGTAAATATGTCCAACACCAACGTCGAGGAATTGGAAGTATCTCTAACGAGGGTACGAAAATCAATCTAGCCTCACGAATTTTCAATGGATTTTTTTAGATAATCGAATGCTTTTCGGAGAAAAAAGGAATGCGTTCTGAGAAAGTGAAAGATGTACTAGGCGTGGAAAGGGGATCAGGAATAGGAGCCCACGGTCGCGGAACCTACAGGATCAATTTCCTGATACCCCCGACGATAGAAGTGCACAATTTCGACAATTGTCAACTGATCAAAGAGCAATTCAGATTCACCGTGAGTGACCTAACACCACCTTATTCATTAATAAACGATTGATTTAAGGCCGAAGCAATGCTGCCTGATATACACAGGAATTTCTCCACGTACGCTGTGGTTACTTTAGGACATATTCCTTTAACGAACGCCCAGAACGTCCCGCCTGAATATTTGGGCATTCAAGGTATACTAATTTTTGCAGAATTAATAAACAAATCCGCAGCTAATCCTGTTTTTCGGTTCCAGTTCACGACGCGGAAAGATTACCCCACGTTTCCGATAACTCCTGTGTTATAGTTTGAACAATTTCAATAAACCTTGTATACACCAAATTCCCCAGAGCGCCTTCACTCAACGTCAATTCGACAATACTGTCACTCAAAGGCGAATGATTTGTGAAAATGGCTACCGAGCGCTCGCCGCCCTCGGAGCACCGCTTCGACAACGACGTGGTCAAAGAGCTGATCCACTCGGGGATGTTCATAAAACTGCGGAGGACGATCTGGCGGTGGTGCGTCATCTACGAGGAACATCCCAACGCGCAGTTCCGCTACCAATCGACGACGGCCCGGCTGGCCGAGCAGAAGCGGCACATCCTGCTGTGCAGGAACGCGCTCATCCTGCACCCGTACAGCAAGTTCAGCTTCTACTGGGAGTTCTTCATCCTGCTCGTGTTCATCTACATAACGCTGGTGTACGTCTTGGACGACATGGACCTGTTCAGGGAGTACTTCCAGGTGAACCTTCTTAAAGGCATCGGCGACGCGCTGTTCTTGGTGGATATCATTCTGTTCTTCTACAGAGGATACTACGACGAGATGGAGTCGAAGACGGTGCTGGTTCAGCGCCTTATCGCTGTCAATTACTTAAAATCGTATTTCTTCGTGGATTTGATAGCCATCATGCCGACTTTTGCATCGATTTCGGTTTGGTTGAATTTGGTGGAGGATGAGAAGACGCATCTGTTGAAGACGATGTCGATTCTCGGGGTGATGAGGCTGCTGCGCATGCCTCGTTACTTGAGCGTGTTGGACACTTTCAAAGCGTACAAGAACTACCCCCAGCACATTACTAAAGCCGTGAAGACGGTCTTCATATACGTTATATGCATGTGCGTTTCGTTTGCCACCATGGTGATCCTAATAAATAATATTTACTTATTAAGAGGGGCGAGATTGAATTTCGATAGTTTGAGGTATTTATGGGCGACAGTCATAGTTTTGTTGATTTCGAACGGATTGTATCATTTAGATGAATACGCTTTGATGAATTTCATATACGTTATATACAATATTGCGGGATTCTTGATGATCGTTTACCTCCATTCGGAAATATTCAAAATTTGGCACATATTCTTCTACGGTAGGAATAAGTACCACAACAATTTCCAGGAGATACAGCAATACCTGCATTTGTCCGGCATATCGAATGAGTTGAGGGAGAAGATAAATCGCTACAATGAAATGAAGTTCCAAAGGAAGAGCTACAACATCAACACCGTCAATTACCTGCTTTCCAACAGCCTCCGACTGAAAATTCTGCTGCACTTGGCCAGGAAGTACCTGGGCAGTTCCGAAATAATCAAGCATCTCCCGGACAAATTGCTGCACGAATTAACCGATAAGTTCAGAAGCGATACTTACTTAGCCGACGATGTTATTATAAGCGCGGATGAAGGGAAGAAAAACACCAACATTTATTTCATTTACTTGGGAACAGTCGCTGTGTACGATGTTAACGGGAAGGAAATATGCCATTTGGAGGACGGCGAATCCTTCGGGGAAGGCGACAAATTATTCTCCAATGTTCAAGTGGGAAAAGTCGTGGCAGTCTGCGATTGCGACATTTTTTATTTGAAGCGAAAATTCGTTAATGCGTTCCTCGCAAAATATCCTCGCTTGCGGAGTTTTGTTACTTTCAGTGAAAGTACGTAAAAGGTATTGTTTATTTAAAAATGTGTTAATAATTAGAGAATCTATTAGCGAATAAATACGTTTTGGTTGAAAACGGGTGTTTTTACTTAAATTCATTTCACTAATTGATGAATTTCTAGCGTGACCTCGTACAATTCTAAAAATAGATTTCTGTTCGGCTGCGCTCAAAGCTTACATCAATTCATTCAGTATACATATTGGTATTGCGGCGCCACGATGAATTAAATTTTGTGCTGTTATTGCGCCTTGAAATCGAATCGATTTCTTTTACAATAATTATTCTTAGTAATTAGTTAATCAATTCATCTGTAATGTCGGAATGTGACATTCATTTGAACAATCTAGGTAATTTTTACCCGGGAAGTGCTGTTGAAGGAAAAGTCGTGTGTAATTTCACATCAGATACAAAAGTTAGAGGTAAACAGTGTCAATTAATTTAACCTAAATTGTTTATACGTCGAAGCGATTTCGTATAGTGTTGTACGATTATTTTAGAAATAACATGCCGAATAAAAGGAAAAGAAAGAACTGTTATTAAAAATGGGAAACAAACACTTGTAGGTAGGAATACATTTTTCGATCAAATTCAAATCCTAATCGGGGAAGGTTAGTACAAAACTGATGATTTAGTTGTTATATGAATTGCGCGAAATTTAATTTTAGGTACACTACCAGCAGGATACCACGAATTTAATTTTTCCTTCATCTTACCTTTACATATACCACCCTGTATATCAAAAGAGCCCTCTTGGACAGAATCAACTAAAGGGCGAATTTATTATACCGTCAAAGCTGTTGTGAATAGACCATATAATTTCGATTACACAAAAAAAATTAATATTATAGTGCAACCTCTACAGGTCGATTTTAATACGATACCACAAAAACTAAGAATGGTAAGTAACTTATTGGATTTCTCACAAGAAAATAGCACGAGATTTGCAGACTCCAGTTGAATATAAAAACGAAAAAACGGTATGTTGCTGTTGTTGTACGAGCGGGCCCATAACTCTGACTATGTGTCTCGAAAAAGAAGCTTTTGTATTAGGCGAAGTCGCCAGAGTCTTAGTAAAGATAGTTAATTTATCCAAAACGAGCGTCCAGGAATTGGAGTTAACATTAAAAGACGTACGAAACCACACAACTTCTATAAATACATTCCTAGTTGAAATGATTTTGTAGCGATTCGATTTCTATCCGAGAGAAAACGCAAAAATAATCAGGACAAAGAAAGAAGTGCTGGCCATCGAAAAGGTCCCGGGCGTGGCCCCTCACGGTCGCAGGATCTACAGGATTAATCTACTCATACCGCCCAATATTAACATAACAACTTTGGAATACGCTACACTAATTAAACAACGATTCGTACTTAAAGTAAGCGAGTAATTGAGGTAATGTCGTGAGTAATTGTATAATTTAAGGCGAAAGCCGTGCTTCCCAAATGCCACCGGAATTTTGCAACGAGTACTTCACTGACTTTGGGTCACGTCCCGTTATACGATTCGCGCTCTTTCCAGCAGGATCGCACTTACAACGTAGGAGTTGAAAGTACGTAATTTGTATCAAATTTCGTGTAGTTATCGATTTTTTTGGTTTCAGTTGAAGATTCCGAATTGCCTCTCGTTTCCACTAACACCTGCGTTTTATTTTAAACTCTCTATTTTCTCTTAATTCACTTAAATGCGCTACGAATACTTAAATACTTAAACGCTACGAATTATATTTTTATTTAATAAAATTTCTATGAATATTATCAGGGGTTTTCTTAATAGTTTTTTAGATGCAAAAACAAACCGTGTAGCTTGAATGGGGGCGTAACTCGACCTTTTCCTTAGCAAAAAGAGGCAACTTATAAGGGTGAAGGTCTGGCGTTGTTAGGGTGGACACATCGCGTCGATAGAAACATCACCCTTTTTGGCGTCCAATGAACTCCAAGTATAAGGTCACTTATTTAGTCAGTTTGGCGACGCCTGCGAGCATTTCCACACGCTTTTATTTCACGAATAGATGCATATCTCACAAGTAGTTACACACCAAATGGATCAATAAAAAATAGACAAGACTTCTAAATATATCTCTGTTCCAGTACATTGGATTAGTTGTATTCGGAACTTCTGATGATCCAGAAAAATAGGTTCATTTCGCCAAGAATATTTTTTTTAGGATGCCTGAATGTGAGGTAGTTTTAGATACCGGTGCTGTATGCATAGGTGACACTGTTTGCGGGAAAGTTGTGTGCAGTTTTCCATCGGACACGAAAGTCAGAGGTACGAATAGTCGATTTAATTACTTTGTACATAATTCGCTCAGTTTGATATGCCTTTTAGAAATAACTTGCCAGCTTGTTGGTAAAGAGAAGACTCGCATTAGGCAAAAAAGGCAGATACATTTCGGCATGAACGTGCTCTTCGAGCAATCGCAGATTCTCGTGGGAGAAGGTTGGTTAATAAAACTTATTGTAATTTATTGTACCGTTAACTGTAACAAACTATTTTAGATAAAATACCTACGGGTTACTACGAATTTAATTTTTCGTTCACTTTACCCACGTATATACCAGCAACATTTTCGGGGAAAACCGGGTGGATTTATTATTATGTCAAAGCAACAGTCAATAGACCATATATGATCGATTATGAACATAAAGTTACGCTTACAGTATCCTCGCCTCGGGTTGATTTTAATCATATTCGAGAAAATTTACAATTAGTAAGTAATCTAATAACTTAAACTTCTTGTATTAGTAGTACTATTTGTAGTCTCCTGTAGTATATGAAAGTGAAAAAAGGCTGTGTTGCTGTTGTTGTGCGAGCGAGCCGATTACTCTGAGTTTGTCTCTTGAAAAAGAGGCTTTTGTGCTGGGAGAAGTCGCTAAAATCGTTGTAAAAATAATGAATATGTCTGAAACGAGCGTGCAAGAATTGGAATTGTCTTTAACAAAGGTTGGTATTAAATTAGAAATATTTTTCTGGATGAAACTTGTGGTTTTAGCACCTCGAATTCTTTAATAAAGAAAACAGTGAGTTAACAACCGAAGTGAAGGATTTAATAGCGGTCGAAAAGGCCTCAGGAGTGGGACCTCACGGGAGTAGAATCTACAGAATTAATTTCCTTATACCTCCGACGATTAACATAACAAATTTGAACAATTCCACCTTAATTAAACGACAGTTTGTGCTTATGGTAAGGGCTATAAATGGAGCCTAATTTCTCAAAAAAAATAAATAATTTCAGGCGAAGGCGGTGCTTCCCTCGTTTCACGAGAATTTTTCAGTGTGTACGGCGATTGTGTTAGGACACATTCCTATACTCAGTTCACAGGATTCGCCTGTTTACCAAATGGATCGCCTAGGAATCGAAAGTACTAAATTTCCCACTAATTTCACAAAGTTTCTTATTTTTTTTTTGTTTCAGTTGAAGATTCGGAGTTGCCTTATGTCACAACTACTAATCCGTGCGTTATATTTTGAACGCTGTCTATTGAATATTGTTAGTTATTAAAAATATATATTATTTGATATATGATTTTATTTGATTTCAATTTCTATAACAGTTTTATCAGTGTAAAATTGAAATGATGAATTTGTAAAAGGTGTTGCCTAACTACATACCGCTTTACTTGTAAATAGTATTTGTCACTGTCATTATTGTCAACACTGTCACTAATGTCACTGTCAAATCAACACATAACCAAATTGTTCGAGTTAATTTGCATTTAACACTATGAAATAAAATCAACATCAGCATTATAAGAATATAAATATTAATTACACAACTTTATACTCATTTTTAACAATGCCGGTAAGTTTATGTTACACTGTGATACTCAAATACGGTATAATTCATGTGGCAAAGTTTGGGCGTGTCAAAACTGATGATAAATTTCAGGCCTACCATTCGAGCATCCCTTGCTCTACCGTCGTTGGAAATACAGCCATTCTACCGTTGAAAACGAGATTCAAAGGACCTGCCCCGATACAAACCAACGAGCAGGAGCAAGACATAATAGACGAAGCTTTATATTACTTCAAAGCCAACGTGTTCTTTCGCACCTACGAAATAAAAGTCAGTACGGTCTCCCACTGTATTCGCCCTATTGTTAACACAACTCTCCTACTTCCAGTCGGAATCCGATCGACTTCTAATATACATCACACTGTACATAACGGAATGTCTGAAGAAACTCCAGAAATGCAGTAACAAGAACCAGGCTCAGAACGAGATGATTACGTTGGCTCTTTCGCGGTTCGATATACCCGGTGAGCCGGGTTTTCCGCTCAACTCGGTTTACAGGTGAGCGATTTCACTAAAATTTTCTAATCCGGTAATATTTGGTTGTTTTACAGCAAGCCTGACACCCCCGCTAAAGCCGATTTGTTCAAGAATTATTTGGTCCAGTTGAGGCAAGAGATCGGTTTGAGGGTGTGCGGTAAGGTTTTCGGGGAAGATGATAAACCGAGCAAATGGTGGTTGTGTTTCGCTAAGAAGAAATTCATGGATAAATCGCTATCCGGTCCGGGACAGTAGAATTAATTTATACAATTATTGTGTTATGATTTATTTGTATTACTAGGTATTGCTTGTGTTCTATTATATTGATTTTGTAACTAGAGGATGTTTGAAACTTGAAACGAATACATTTTTATATACGATTTTTATTTAGCTTATGAATTAGTAGATACAAAAAATTGCTTATTTAGGAATGAGTACGTTCCTGGGATATTTGTGGAATATTTTGTTGGCGAATTTTTTGAAAATCATCGCTATGTTATCTTCGAGAACCGGCTTGATTTCGCTCGCTATTTGCCTCCAGTTATCGTTTAAGAACACATTCATAGCTTCACCTGAAATTAAAAAAAAAACGCGTAATGCAAAAAAATAAATTCATAAAATTCATAATACCTAAATCTTTGTCTCCATTGAAGAGATCATCCAGATGAATTTTGGCGTCGCCTATATCGAAATTAACATAAAAATCAGTCACGTTGTAGTAAATTTCCTCCCCTTTTTTAACCCTCTCCGCCCGAAGGGTGATAGTCGCTTCGATATTCGCTGCAAAACAACCAATTAATCGACAACAAACCAACTCAACAAACACCTACAGTATTTAGCAGTGCTCTTCCCAGCCCCCGAAATCGGCATCATCAGTATCTTCCCATCGATGCTGTAATTACAAGTAACCTCCAACTCGGGCAGCCACAATTTAATCCTCATCTTATCCTTCTCCAAATCGACTCTACAACAAAAAAAACACATCGAACAATCCCTCTTAAACCACCGCGAGGAATCTACTTGATGTCTTTGATGACGAATTTCGAGGGGCCGTGCACCTGGATGTTCTTGTACACCGAGCGAAGGGACACCGATCCCGATCCCTGATCGATCACCACCTCGGAGATGTTCAGCGGCTCCACGCTGGGAATGTCCAAGTCCGGGATGCCTTTCACCAGCAAGGGGCGCAGCTCCTCCACCGATTTCTTGATGCACGTGGGCAAATTCGCGTCGGATTGGTGGCAAACTTTGATGAAAGACGCTGCAAAAAATTGTGTGTAAAAAAATTACTCTAGCGAGTAAAGGGCGCACTTACGTAATTTGGGCAAGGCATCACAGCAAAGGGTTCGCACCAGCAGATAGAAGATAATCTTGCGAAGCATGTTTAATCGATTTGGAACGAGTAGTTTGATGCGTTTGATCGATTTATTGATCGCTTGCATCGTTTTATTGACGGCGAAAATTAAATAAACAGACGGTGTTTTATAAACTAATTGGGAATTTGGTTCAAGTTTATCACACACTACATGAAAGAGGTGTAAATATAATAATATAAAAAGTGTAACAAATGTACAGAGTGTTACAAGTGTATCTAGTAGCGTTTACAATTTATTTTCGATGCGATAGAAGAGTTTTTCGGTAGAAAAATTGTAATTTTTTTATATATACAAAAAGCAGTAAAGGAACAGAGGACTTCAATGCCGCGGCGACCGTTATTATCGCATTTCCGATACCGCACCGCAATTATCTCGGCTCGAAGAACGCGCGAAATAAGGATAAGCCCGCTAATGGGAATTCCATCGGCACCGCCAAGGATTTGTTCGCTCCGCGTCCGATCGCGACGGGCCGAGAACGCCGGCGAAAAACCCGCGATCGGACAAGGTCTCTTCTCGGCGGGCCGCCGTCGCCGCGGCAACGCCTCGGAGTCGCCGCGCCGTTCGCACGGGGAAGCCGCGCGGCGGCCGCGACTCCTTCGACGTGCTGCGAGCCGCGGTCGCCAGTCGTTTTTGCACCGAGGCGCCCGTGCAGTCGGTACGATTCTCGAGCACCGCGGAACGCCGGAGAGTCCGGAAGTATACGCGGCCCCGTTTGGCTATTTTAGAGTGTTTCGACGAGACATTGAGAATCTTCAGGCGGCGCCGAACCGATAGGTAGGTTGCGATCGATGCTTTTCGAAAGTTTCTTTCGAACTTTTGCGACTTTTTTCATCTGCGTCGTAAGGACTCGCGAGTTTGTTAACTTTGTTTTAGATAAAAGTATGCGTGTTAAGCGCGGAATCGATGGAATCTTACAAGGTTATTGCTGAACCAAATAAGTTGAGACAGGAAAAAATTAACTCGTTTGCTCGTTAGCCTCTCTTCCATTGATCGATTGAATGATAGACACTTTGAATTGAAGGAACTTAATACACGATTTAATTTGTATCGATATATTTACTCCGTTTTCCTCAAACAATTCTTCTGAAATGAACTTGTACCAAGAACCCCGAATTTTCCATTTTTACTCGAAAATTCACCAGCGCATTGGCATCAATTTTCAAACAGAGCTCCATTCAATATTCCTGGTTTGTTTACGCCGAACCATCGAGCTGCATATTATATCAAACATCCCGATCATTATGCGAAAGGGCCGCTCTTCCTCGTTCCGCGATTTCCCCCATTATCGGCGATTGTGATGTCCCGATTGAACATCCAATTCGCCCCTGATTGCTGTAGCTGTACACATTGTTTTCCGGGAGCGCAAACACGGCAAACGCTCCCGACGGTCTCCTTATTCGATATCCCGATCGAGTACCCGATTGAATACACAATCGGGTTCGATTAGATTCGATGGATAGCGCTCGTTCCAGCCAAAAATAGAAGACGCAGCGACTAGACTTCGTTAGAGGGATAATGGATTGTTTAAATGCTCTATTTAGATGAGAGTTTTAATGAATGATGTTCTGCATATTGCACATTTATGTGGATCGAATTCTAGTTCGATTTCGGGCTCGATATAAGTATTATTTATTCGCCTTGTTCGGCGGGCAAGGTCGAGTTAGGTCTTACGTGATCGAACTGCTAATTTTAGTTATTTCTGTTGCGACTTTCACGACCATTTACCAAATTAATAAAGATAGTATCGGGTTGATAAGGCGGCGTTTTAAATAGGAAATGGCGCATTACGGTTGGTTTCTGAGAAAGCGTTAATATTCCTCCCTTAACGCCCACATTGTTAGCTTAGGTCAATGTTATAGGAAGCGCAAATTAATTTGTTTGCGCTTTAATATAGTTGATTATGAAAACCCGACTGGTAGATTCAATAAACGTGGAATCCTGGGATTCCTTATTATTAAAGAATTCGAGGAATTCGCGCCCGAGTTGAACTAAACGCATATAAATTAACTCTACTGTGTACATACGTTATAGCGTTTGATTGCGATTCGGTATTCATGAAAATAATTTCTCTCGTTTAATTGCAGCGAAATTTTAATTACGTTCGTTTCGCTGGAAATTAATTATTCATTATTAAATCTAGTTAAGGTCGGTTCATTGGTTTATTAACTGCATGCATCCTTATAATGTTATAAGGTGTAAATGTGATATCCGTGGGATGGGAAATTTTAACGAATTATTCGTAAATGTAATAGTTTAATGTATTCAATCGAAATTAGGCAAAATACGTCACAAAATTTATTCACTGGTTTATTTACATTATAAACATCAAGGTAAATGGTATGAAGAAATGCGGGTAAATTAATTAAGCGAATTTGCATAAACAACTAACAGTAAACAATCAACAAATAGGTATGCGTAAATAGACGTTGACGTTATAATAATATCCTAAAAATTTAATCATGTTTTCCAAAAGGAATACCTAGCAATCGTTTAAAAAATGCCGTCGTTTTTATCAAAGAAATTGAACATTATTTACACTAGAGTGAACGATATTAAATGAAATCACCATCTGATAATTACAGGCGAAGCCTAAACATCCACCACAAAGGAATTCCTATCGTTTCGCCCGGAGAAAAAGACGGATTGCCAAGTAGAAAAATATCCTTTTTACCGATTTTCGCCGGCCGCTCGATAAATGACAAACGATTTTCATCATCCACATGGCAGCCCTTCAGCACGGTAAGTACACCATTAGAACTAAAAGAAGTTTCTTTGATATCATCTACAACTACACGATGTATGTAAAAATGGAACTTTATTGGAAAGTAATTCGAAAAAGATGTATAAGCAAACTTGAAACGCTTTAAATACCCATAAAAAAATCCCTTATACAGCAGGCCGTAAACATTTTACAATCCTACGATATATCGGGACCGTGCGTCGATAAAATTCTCGGGAAACAGGCGGTTAATTTAGCCGTAAACCCGGCAATAAAACGCAAATAAGTCCGAGCGAAAATCTCGGAAAACTTCCTCGAAGGTGAGCGGGTTTGCCCGCCGATTTCCATACATTTTCCTCGACCGTCGAAACGCCAATGGCAATGAAAACGTCGCGGGCGAGGTCGCGCCGGAAGGTCAATATTCCGGACTTTTCGGCCGCAAACGGATTGATCGCGGGATAACCGAACAAAGGGCGATTCCGGCACGCTATTTTCGCTAATTTTAGATCTACAATATACGCGCGTAAACCGAGACAATCGGCCGGATTGCGCTCGACATTCCGGGATCGTTTCCGGCGAAAAATCCGAAAGCAGCGAGCGGATCCGCGCCGCCTTTTCCCAAAAAATACCTAAAATATTTATAGTGCTTTCAGCGTCGCGGATCGAGGAATATTTTGAATATTTCACGGCGCTCTTAACGACTTGCCCGGTGGAAAATATTAAAACCAGGACGAACTTACGGGAACGAGTGGGCGGAAGGAAGCATTATTTCACTATTAAACACAATATCTAGCTGTACGTTCGGCGGGTGGGAGATGATTTAATTAATTTTAGTAGGTATCACCTACGCAACAAGTGTTAGAAATCTGCCATGCAAACATTAACGGGAACTCTAATATCCTCGGAAAATTATGTCGCTTGTAAATTTCCTTCGTCAACAGGAAACCCGCAAGCTTTTAAAATCGCATTGTAATTAGTATAATGCGTCAATAATTATAAAAAATAAACTTTTACCGGCGCTCACCTGTCTCATTAAATCGAATTAACCGTTTGATTAATCGTTGCTAGAATTTTTTGTATAATTAGATTCATTTTTTTTAGTTACACGCTCCAATAGTGAATTAATTAGATCAATATTTGCACACTTTAATAATCAATTTATCACTATTTTTTATCTAAAATCTACTCCAAATAACTCACTGAGTGAGCGAATGAGAATGGGTTTCTTGTGCGATCTTCCCCGCTAGGAAATAGTTCGCAAATTGGATGTTTCCGTGGAAAACGGGCGCAATAATTATTAGTTGCAACGTAACGGCGTCGTCACTTTCGAAATTGTGTATAGGAGAAACGTGATTAGGACGTCGCGGCGTCGCTCGAGGCGACGGGCGTCGAATTACGAAACGACGTCTCGTTTACGCGCCTATCAGTAACACGGCGAAATAACGGTTGTTTTTCGAAATTTATCGCTAATTACAGCGCTAATGGGCGTCTAAAAAGCGATTAATTCGAAGTGGAATTCTGGACAAAGGACAAACTACTGCTCGTTTTTGATTTTTTATGTAGAAGGAATTTTTATTTTTCCAATAAAATAACGTTTATAACTGAAGAAATGCCGGGCATTTCGAACGTTATCTCTATATTGCTTTTTTTATTGTTTTTTTGAAAAGTAAAGTACGCAATAATAACCAATAAATTACCTGTTACTCGATGTAAAAAATTTTGTTACGTAATTTTCCCCATTTCAAACAAAAAAAAACCATCAACCTTCAGAAACTACAGAGCGAAGGAAATTCGAACGAAGAAGGCCAGACGTGGAACAAAACGAACGGAAAACTCCAATAAACTCAACACCGATGCTCCCAAAGAACGACGGCTCGAATGACCGATGATCCAGGTGCGCGAAAAATCCTCGAGGAAATCGAACCGAAAAAAAAAGGAGGATTCCGACGAACCGGGCGCTCGAAATTTAATTAACAAAGGAAGGAAACTTTTCGGCGAAAAGTATGTTAAGTGGTTTTCCGAGTGCCGCGGACTCTTCGAGCCGCTTTCATCCGGTTCTCTTCGGGAAATAAAAGCGCCGGGGCGCACTTTCAGCGCGAAAAGCGACTCACCTTTTACCGAAATTAGAACCGGCGTTGTATGTAAACAATACGGGTGATGTAATGGTGAAAATGTATCAAATTTTTTTGCAAAGAAGGAATTATAAACAAATTGTTATTTACATATTCCACACCATGGAAATATAAATATTATGAATTGGTAATGTTGTTTCGAGTGCTATCTATTATTTAGAATTTGAGCATTCAAATTTAGAAACCACCTTGCACAAGTAATAATTTAAAAAGTAAATTAACGATAAATGAGTATAATGAACTGTAATAAATAAATTAAGCAGTTAATAAATAAAACGATTAGGTATAACTACTAAATATTTACAAAGCATTTTTACTTTATCGTACGAAATAAATCCAGCGTTAAAAATAGACTCCATAAACTGGATATTTAAGGATAAAGATTTTTTTACACTCGACATAAATTCCGGAGTTATTAATTTTAACGGTTTTCCACGAAAGCAGTGCTCCTTAACATGGCATCTTTCATGTATGAGCGGATTGTTTCCGCTCGTACTTGCCATCGAAAAATTATAACCGCTCAACCGTTATGAATCCGCGCCATGCGATGGATTACTTCGGAAAATCCTGGGAAAACGAGAATTTCCCGCTCTCACCTTGACCCGCCGCGTTAAACTTAGCGAGCCCCTGAAGTACGGAGAGAGTTTTCCATCAGTCAGGAGCGATAAAAAATATATTAAAATCGTTTGTGCATTTAAAAATAGTCAATTACCGATAGATTTCCCGTACCGAGTTAATTTTAAACCCGATTTGCATCGGAATAGTGGATTTCGAAACTGCGCTTCGCATTTTCACACGATGATCTTAAAACCGAAAAAAAAATGTTGTTTGTTCGACAAATTTTAATCTATGAATATTTAAACACGTTCGCCGGAATGTTTTATGGAACAATATGTGAGCGATACGATCGCTCGCGAGCATCTTTTTCAGTTGTGGCGTTTTCTCTTTCGCGTTCGATGTGAATTTTTCTGAATAGAAAAATGAGCAACGGCCAGACGGACCCAAATCGTAAGTAGTTTTTTTATGGATGAGTACTTAAAATACTGGAGGAACGTCTAGTTTTTTTTCTACAAAACACATCAAGAATATCTGGTTTATTGTTGAAAATAAAGTAACATTTTATTGCGAATATTTCGGTAGATTACATAATTTTTTTTGTTGTAAATTTAGTAAATTTCGTGGAAAGTTTGTATAATATTTTTGAGAACTCTTTGGAAATATTGTCATTATTTTAGTAAATTAAATTATTTAGAATATTTTTTCATTAAACATATTTTTAATAATGATGTTCTTGTGAAACGCCCTGTATACCATCATATTGATTTTGACAAATTATTACAATATTTTGTGTACACAAAACCGCCGAAGGATACCCATAAATTCGATTATGTTATTGGTAAAAGTAGGACGAATTTTATAAGCAGGTAAAAATAATTGGTATTTGACGACACGAAATTTAAATAATACTTTTACCGCACGTTCATTATTGTTATCGAAACTCTTAATAGTTTTCTATAAATTTAACCTTTAGAACTATAATTATAATAAAAACATTAGCGGAATGCTGTTCGAATGTATGTCTTAATAATAATAATGGTTAATAAATTTTATTTTACGTGTCTATACACGGGCTTTGGGCGACAAATTATTTTTTCGTTTAATTATACCCTTTAAAACCCCTGGGGTGGCAAAGAAAATAATAATTACATTGTCAATAATTATATACACAACTTAAATTGACTATATTTTGTAACACAATATATTTAAAGATAATTAACAATTTCGCTATAAACTACAACTCTTCATGAAATTTTAGAAATTTCGAACACGTCCTCAAGCCGAATGCAATTTTAAACTTTCGCAATTACAGGATGCGTTCCTGGCTAAACTCTTCCTGGCTAAAAACTTCCCAGGCTAACTTATTCGTATCTTAAATATTTGTTAATGCACTTCATCTTTTCGAAGTTGTGAAGTTTCCCATTGTGCCCGAAGGTGATAATACGAAGATGGGCGAGGCACGAGTTTTTTCCGATTGCTTATTCTCTTGAAAATTCAAATTAAAAGTTCATCAAATAATAATAATCTTACTGTACATTCGCTTGGTAAAATTCTAAGCTTCGTTTTTATCGCATTCTCCTTATTTGTGCATGAGTAAAAATCTCTTAAGATGTTGCATAATTGATTCAATTTCGGCAAGTCATATTCCTCCTCAATAATAAAACTATTACTTCCATGTATGTAATGGAATAGAAATTTCATAATAGCATATTCGGTGTTTATTCAGCACTTCTCACCTACACTCTAATTCGAATTTAATTGCACCAGTCTACGTTTTAATAAAAAATTGATGACTGGCCATTTTCTGCATTGAATACTTAATTATTTTCCAATGTGTTTCGTTAGCATTACTTAATTGTGTTGTAGTTAAATGTTTGTTTGATGTTTCAGTGAATCTATGGCAAGACGGTTGCGGAACCCTCAAACAAAGACCCCCAAAAATTGGAGATATTCCCAGGTGAGTACCTCACTTAAATACATTAAGTAATTCGTGAATCTACGTGGTGTAATGTGCATCAGTGTATATACAATATTCATGTTTGTTTATTTGATAGAATCAGATCTGCTTCACACGTGTTTCAATATTATGATAAATTCCACTCGTTAGACATCAGAACGTTCCCCAATTCAACTAATTTTGCAACAATTTCCGAACACATGCATTCATTAGAGCAATAATCGCCCGAATTCCGTGAATTATATTCCCTATTTGCACGTCTCTCGGGCGGACTCGCGCCAAAGGAATCGACATATTTCATAAGGCTCTCAGGGAAAGTGTCTCGTTAAAAATGATTTATTCGTCGTCTCAATTCGCAAATAAAAAAAAACCGTTTAATCAGATGATTGTTGCAATGAATTAGGCATTTGCGCGCGCAAGGCTACACCAAAAAATGCGTAGGATCGTAAAGGAATTGTTGTATAAAGAATGCAGAAGTTTGTGATATTAAATACCTCGATTTATATGAACGTAGGAGAAGCGTATTTGAGTGTTTAGATACTTCACGAATAGTCTGCGTAATGGTTCTGTTTTGAAGCCGTTTAAATACACAAAATTTCAGAATGCCGGGATAAGTTGTTGGGCAATTTAAACTTTGTTTGGTAATTTAAAACGATGCGTTTCCCAAGTTTTCATTTAAAACATTATTATGATTACGGCAAACAAACCGACCTCGCGCTCCGAATTCCGAGCATCAAAGTGCATTTAATCCGATACCTGCATTGCGGAGAACGCCGATCAGAAGAGCCCGGCCCGTCGCGACGCGACTGATAATGTTTACCGCCGGCCGAAACGTCGAAATCCGGCTTTGATAGGCGTCTGTAATTCGTGCGGGGAACGGGCGATTTCCATCGGCGCAGGTCAATGCGGCCAATCAATCAATCATCTATCCGTTTTTGTTTCGACTGACTTATATACAGCGCTCCCATCGATTTTCGGGCGGTTTTTTTTTTGTGTTTTTATTCGAATTACTCGGGTGTATCGATGACGCTCGGCGAGGGCCCGTCAATGGGAGTTCAATCGAACTTTCGCCGGTCTCGATCTCGCGGAAAAGATTCCGTTGTTGTCGAAATCGGATTAAAAACTGACCTGCCGAACGCCGGACGTGCCGATGGAGTTCCCGTCGATTTCCGCCTGAATTATTCAAAGGCATTTCCCGGTAGTCCGGGCGTCCCATGAAAAGTACGAGCGATGATGCGAATAAAAAAATCAACTTTATATCATGTACAATGAATGCATGTAGGAGCTTTTAAACTTTGCAAAATTACAAATACAACTATCCGGATATTGAGGCGCGGGTTCGGGGCTTCTTTCACGCCCCCGGTTCGTCGGGTTGTTTTCCTTTGACGCTCCGGAAAGGTCCCGTAGTAAAAATAACCTTGCGGGCGAACTCCGGCAAACAAATTAAAAGTCTCGTAAGCGGGAATGGATCCTGAAATAGCCGAAATTAGGTCGAATTGATTCCGAACGGGGAACCTCGATTGTGCGATCTATTAGTTCGCTCGTCGATCGGGTTTTTTACGACCTGCACTCGAAATGTGATAGTGTAAAATAAATTCGTGTTTTCTCGAATGAAACGCCAGTGATTGGAACGAATGCAAAACCACTCGGATTTTCGCGAATCGGAGAAATATTCCAGGCGTTTTGCGGGAATTCATTTTTGCCACTGTCGATAGCAATTACCGACGGGATGATTTTCGATAGAGTCCGTTTATTCGGTCGCTTTATTTAGTCGGAATTATTTAGCCGCTACACGGCGATTTTAACGGGAGCTTTTGTGCCGGTTTCGCTCATCGATAAGTTTCAATAGAAACGCGAAATGAAACGAAAAACTGGAATAATACGTATAAATGTCGTTTGGGATCGAGTCGAAGCGATTTCCATCAATTTTCATTCGCGAAACAATCGACGAAATCAGCAGGAGAAAATTCCTGCTTACGTGTTTGTTTCCATTGCAATTGAAATCGGATCCCTCGAGTGCGAGGCGATAAGAATACGAAAGAAAGCACTTCGCAACGAAAACCTCTAATATTAATTTATCTACGATCGCGAATTTCTGGTTATAAAAGATTTTTATCGCATTCATAAACCATGAACTCCGCTCTAATCCATTTAATAGACGTCAAACTACGCTGCAAAGTCCTCCATTCCAGACCTAGTGAGACACTTCTGTTCGTGAACTTAGTTAATTAGATTCGAAATGTGTCTCTTTGTCGTTTGTTAACGCATTGTTCGACGAACAGTATTATTTCGCAGATCAAACGATTGTATACATAGACGAAGCTGTTGTAGTTTCACGCAAAAATCCGTCGGAAATTCTCGAACAAACGCAACAAACACAGCGCGATTTAATGTCTGATCGAAGCAATTATTTTCTGAAAGATTTTAGGCCAATTTTTAAATGCCACAAAATATGAGTAAAAGGTGATTTTTGATAAGGTTTTAAATATTAAAATCCACTCAAATTACTCTACCCGAGAGTGCGACTTTATAGTTGTTTTATGAAGGTTGGAATTTAGAATTTGGGAGTGCTCGGAGGTATCCCGGAAAACCTCCCTTGAATTTTTAAACGCGTAATCTTCTATCACCGCGAAAAATATGCCCGCCTGCGATTTTGCGAATCGTAAAATATAGGAGGAAAAAGAAGGAGTTTATTTTGAAACTTCGGTGGGAAATTAACCTTTCAAGTTCTCTCGGCGTTATTGGAAAATTTCCCGGACGTAGCTTCGAAAGAACTTTCCGGGGAATTTATTAGATATGCTAGCTAATAAGAAGAGCAATCATCGGCGAAAAGTCGAGTAAAGTGAGTTTGTATCTAAAAATAATTCCGAGCCCGACCGGACTCTTTATTACCGGATTTTAAGTACATTTCGTTCGGATTGTAATAAGCAGCGGATTCTATTCGGCTCGTTTTCAAAAGTTCCACGATTGAACTGCGCTCGACTGACGGATTATTATCAATTTTAATGCCATTTCCTCGAGCATTATTAGATAAATTTTCTGAATCGATTATCGACATTCACAGTGGCAGAGGGTATTAATAGAACTATACAAAAAATTGCACCTATTACAATAAAATAAGGGGGATAAAACTCTTCTTGAAATTCCTTCGCAGGATTTACGGTGTATATTTAATAAATTACGATTCTTACGCGCGACTTTCCGCTGAAATTTACGGCTCTCCTCATAAACAAGGAACAATAACAGGTTAATCCTAATGTCTGGCGAAAGTGCCGCAATTAAAGCTCGCCCTTCCGGGGGGGCGCCCCTCGCTCGGGCTCGCCCCCGCCGCTTACAAAATGCAAAACTCTATTAGTATTTCGGCGCGCCTCCTAGTTTTCTCCTGCTCTTTGGCGCTCTCGTTTCCCGCTCTCCGAAAGTCCGAAAGCCGAGTTCACGAGTTCAGTGTTGCAACCGTCGGGAGGTAGTCAGGACGAGCGCGCCGCATTCGTCCTGCTGCAGCTGGCTCGACGCGTCTACCGGAAACTCCTGCCCCATCGGAAGCTCCACGGTAAGCTTTTCCGAAAGTTTTTTTTCGCGCTACGGCAATATTCTGCGCTTGCAGCTCGAAATTCCTGCTGTACTTGTTATAGTTATGAGAATCTTGATTTTGTTTTCGTAGAGGGAAATTGTTTTGTTTGATATGTAGTTTTGAAGGGAAATGTATTTGCTTTGTTTGAAATGTATAGAAGAAGATAAGTGAACATGTTGTGAATAAATTTCTGGGAGCGAAGCCCATTTTTGCGATATTTATGGAGCTGTCATTTTCGCCTGTGAAAAGGGGAATCCTGCGAAACTGATGATATGGCTGGCACGTAATGTAGCGTACTCGGCGTATTCGCAGGATATTTTCGGGCTTCGGAAAAAAAATTATACAGAATACTTTCTTTGTTGCTGCTACAAGTATAATTGTATGTTGGGTTCTTCAAAAAAAAAGTAATAAATTCTTACATAAAACAACTAATAACGACTCGTTTAAAACGAGTAATTAGTTCTGGTGTATGTCACGTTGTCAAGTGCGAATATTTATAGGAATACACGAGTATGGGCTATGTGCGTATCAATAATTTATTTGCGGGAAAATCGATGGGTGCCAATTCGAGGTGATTGTGCCCGGAGTGGAGGCGAAAAGCCAGTAAAACGGATGAAATGCGACTTTAATGACATAGTTTTGGCAGGAAAAATGGCATTTTTATTGCTTTTATTATTGATGCATTATAACCAATGCATGAAAAATTTATTGCTTTCTAATATTATAGAAGATGATAATAAATTGACTGCCGATACTTCAGCAAGTGAATATATTTTTTTTTCTAAAACTGTAGTACCCTGTAGCTCGAAAATTAAGAGATTTAGGACACATATTGATATAAATTGTTCGTTTTAAAATCATCCAAACATTCACATGCTGAAGTATCGGCAGTCAATTAATCAACACCCTGTATGTTTAGGGAGTCCCCTATTCATAGTAAATTATATCAGTATTTTTTTCTTATTTCACGTCGACAAGCGAGAAGCTTTTTAATGTCACATCAAAGGATACATTATGGTGAAATACCACCAAGGGAACTAAAGTTTGGTTTCGACGCTTTTGCGCCTCCATATGTCAACTTTCCCTCTTCTCGCTTTTTTTTTCTTCTGCGCCCTTCGTTCTGGCAACAAACGAGCTCGTCGGGTTAGAGAAGATTTATAAGGACTGATGGCGATATTAATTTCCAGTAATTAAACTGTCACGTTTTCTCCTTTTTTCGCCCGGAGGCGGCGCGTTGTTCGTTTATTTCCACCTGAAATCGGTAGCCTGACGAAAGATGCGGGCGATTTTCCCGGGCGTAATTGCCCGGTTAGAACGCACATTTAAAAAGAAAGGAATTTTTGATCGAGTTTGGCGGTTTCTCCGCCACTTCCTAACCATTCTCCGGGCGCTTGGATATTCTTTTGTCGACTCGGATGAACGTTTTTCCCACCGCATTTTTAATCACTGCAATTAATTCCTGCTACGGAGTTTCCGAGATGAATTATAAAAGTTACCCGTTGATTAAATTCGAAAAGTTTCTCTAAGGATAACGAGTATTTGTTCTGCTTCTGCAGCTACCCTGTATACGTATAATAAACGATTTTATTTATAGTATCGTGTTTACTTTTTATACACATTATTGCTACCGATAATTCTTCGGTTTAATAATATAGTAATAGTCAAAACGAGGTAGCCGATAACCCGACATTAACATTTAAACGCCGAATAACAGATAACCGAGCCCATTTAAAATCGTTCGTATCGATTACGGATCGGTCAGAAAAACGAAAACAACTCGCGTTGAACGACAATGTCGTTGTTATGTCAATAAAACCGTTTACGAAATCCGGGAAACGGCCAGTGAAAAAATGACCTACTGGCGGGCCATTAATTTTAATCAAGAGATAATCGTCAATTAAGTCGGGAAAAAATCGTTCCTCGACCCGGAGTAGCCTGGCATAGAAAGTGTACGATGAAAACTTATGGAAACATGTAAGTTATTATTCAGTAGATTATTTTCGCTTTAATGAATAAATAAACGATAAACGTGCAAAACAATTTTATTATATCGCGCTAAAAGCCGCAAATTTAAAACCGCATGCAGTAATTCCCAATTATTGTGTGGCGCAAAAATCGAGTAGTGAAATGATTATTTCGAATTTCGCGAATTTATTATCGCAAATAACAATTTTTCTTGATGAACGTTATTTAATTTCGCGTCCGCTTTTTCTGAATAATTCATCGATTTCATGGGGTGTTCATGAATAGGTACAATTCGAGAAGCTCGCTCGTGAAACGGCTGAAAATGGAAGTCGAATTTCGGAACGACAAATAAAAATATGTAATTCATTTTATTCGAAAGGGAAATTTCCGATATTTATCGATTCGATTTATCCTTATTTAATTACTGTTCTGTTACAAGCAATCTACTAATTCCCTGTAATTTTGAGACGTACTAGCCTTGATTTTCAATCTCTACTTTAATCGGGAACAAAGAACGCAATATCAATTAGTCCCGCTACACAGGCTCTGCGTCGTATTAGAAAATGCAAATGGGAATTTTTACATTTATCTTCGTCCGTTTTCTTTTCGAAAGGCGGAAAATGAAGTTATCCGGCCGGTGACGGCTCCTCTGTAAGCATGTATTTATCCCGCTGCGACGGCAGTCGGACGTTTATTTTTTCCGTTTTAAATCGAATTTCAAGGATGAAAATTCCCGGAGAAGCCTCCCGTTTTGTACGGGGAACATCCGCTCGAGAAGCGACCGCCCCGGTTTCATTATCAACGTGCTAATATCGAATTTTGAGAAATATTTCTAAATCCAAGAGCAATTTTTTTGTTGAGATTTACTAGTTAATTAAAGAGCGCTCTATTATTGGAGTTTTACATTATTGTTGTCTCAAACAAAGAAAGATTAAATAAAGGCAAAAACTCGTTGTTTCGGAATGGTTGTTTGCCATCTTAAGAAATTCCAGATCTGCAATGATAATAAAAATCGACCGGGACTCGTCGGTTTTATTTGGCATCGAAAATATTGTTGAATTTTTCGCATCTACGACTCTCAGTTTCCCGTTCCACTCTTTCGGAAGCTTTACTAACCAAAAAGGATTCCCCCTTTAACTTCACCGAAATATTTTAATGCAAACTTCTTCATTACCTCGCAAGATATACTTTAAGTTCGTGTTCCGCGACAACCATATTAGTAATTATACGGCGGAGAAAACAAACTTCCCTCGCTTTATATACCTGCCGTCGATGTAAAATGCAAAGCGAATTGAAATTAGGCACTTAAGGCGGATGGAGGAGCGTTTACTTTGCATTCGCCGTCGCCGGTAAAGGGAGCTCGCATAATGATGTACACCTCGAAATGCAAACTAATCCCTTTCGAAGCGGAAACTTCCCGAGTTCAGACCGAAAAGCGACTATTTAGAGGAATTGCGATCTGTTCGCAGGCACGCGGCGGTGGAGGTCGACCTGAAACCGGCCGAACCGAGCGCCCAGCAGCCCTTCCCGGTCTCCTACCAGCCGCTCTACGATGGTGAGCGAATGAGATCGGAGACCAAGCGGCCCGACGATGACCAGCGCGCCCGTTCGCCGGGCGCCAAGGCCGCCGGCGACCGCCAGCGGGCGCCGCTAGCCGCCCAACGGCCACCCCAACCTGTGATAACTAATAACTTAGTGCCTTCCCACGTCGATGCATTGCCCGAGGGCGATTCCAGCGCGACGACGGTCCAAACTAAACTTTTGGGTGAGTATATATCCATCTGTGCTCGTATTTAATAGAGCGAAAAGAGAGGAGAAAATTCGATCGAATTTAGCATTTCCACGCACTTGTTTTTCTCTTAGTAACGACCTAGTTTTTCCCGCCGAACGTCCAACGGATTCTGATGAAAGTCGAGATTTTTCGAGAGAAACGACCAATAACGCGGAAAATTTCCGAAAATTTCCGTCCGAAAAATTCGCACGTTTCTCACGGATTCCCATGGAAATCCATCCCATGGAACCTCCTATTCATTATCCTTTAAAACCGAGTTTAGAATCTGATTCCCCTTTTCGACGAGTTCTATTAAAGGGCGATCGAAGAACTCGCTAAGTAATTTGTTTGCAGGTGGTTCGGGTAATTTACTTTCGAATTCGCCCTACGGTAGTCCGACGAACAGCCCTAGAAGTAGCAGGAAAAGACAACCTTTGAGGGAATCCCGGCGAGTGAGCATAGAGAAGTCTGGGATGTACCTTCAGCTCAACCAGTACAGACTATTAGACAGCATAGGGCAGGTATGAATAAATTATATTAATAGATGTTGTAAATATTTTTCATTTAGTATGTTCGGTATCGATTTGTAGAGCCACGCGCGGTTGTTCCGTTTCGACATTACGGCCATTAAAGGATTTCTTTACGTTATTTCTATCGCTACGATAAGGTTTTTATATTTTTCGATGCACGTTTCTATTTTCGTCTCGACTTATCTATCTCTTCTTCGCCGCAATACTCGCGTAAATATTCTAACGAGCGCGTTAGTTTATTGCATTTGCTCGAATGAAATTATTTTCCACTATAATTTATTCGCTTACCAGTCTGCGGTATTCTCCGAAGATTGCGGAAACTTTCGAGTTTCAGTAAAGCATAATCACACTAATTTTTTTTGTACGATGTGGGTTTCATTAAGTTCGTATTTTCTATCGATCCGCACGGAACACACCTACCGGTTTAATATTCGACTGAATAATAAATTCGAATCGTCGAATGGGCGTCGTTCCTTCGTTTCCTAGTTATTAAAAAATCATTACAAAAAAAAAAACTTTTTCCCGATATTCGGCGGGTTCAAAATTAAACCTGAATGGAGTCGCTCCGGATGGGCATTGAATTGATATTTGCCGGCGCGAATAATATTTCCGTTCGAATTGTAAATTTCCGCTAATTGGGTATTCAAATGATGTTAATAAATTTAATATTTAATGGTGTTTTTTGCAGGGTTCTTACGGCATAGTTAAATTGGCTTATAACGAAGAAGACGACACGCATTACGTGAGTAAAAATGCAGAATTTACTAACTATATATTTCTATTTATATGTAAATTTGAATGTACAGCTTTCGATACAGTTTCTGGGCAAGCTAGCGTGGAGCAGCTCCTATGAAACTGACACTAATTTAGTTTAATCCGAACTTTTCGAAAAGTTTCTGGGATAGTTTGCGATGAATTACCGGCTCTATTATAAACCGTCAAAGAGGAGGAAATCCAATTAGTCGGAATTAAAATACTTTTTTTTATCTAATCGAAAATTTGAATCTTACGATCGAAATCAATTCCTATTAAAAATCTCATTGTTTTCCGTTGACCTACAAGTCCAGCACAGATTTATTTTCACTTCCGCACACATCGAATCAAATTCGGTCAAAAATTCCGCTTCCTACCTGCACTCGATTTTTTCACCCGGCTCGCTCTCCGTAATAAAATAGATTTTCTCCCTTTGTGATTGCATTCCGCTTGTTGTTTTTTTTCCCCGACCTGCACATACCATCGTTTGATGTACCAACAAATCGATAGATTGAGCCGAGCGCGAATGATTGAATACCGAACGATTTTCCGGAATGTAATAACGAAGTTATCCGGAGCGAATTTAGAATAAGTTGTTCGCTTCACCTGCACGTTTTTTTTTGTTCGTCGAATCGTTGGAATTGCGATTTCCGATCGGCAATACAAGTTGGCTAGTTAACCGTTTGTCGCCCAGGAGTTTCTCAAATTACCTGCGGAGATTGCAATTCCAGCGAAACTTCAGCTATAGCTCGAGCTTTAAGAATGCTCTTTTGTTGTCACATATGTAGCACTCTTACGCTAGATGTCCCTATGCTCCGTTCGATAAAATATTTAGTATTTTTAATGGTAAATCCAGTTCAGATCATCTTCGAAAGTTCAGCGGTGATTCAAGTATTTACCGGATTTAATTCGTCGACATCTGTTATCCGAAATTCTCGACGGATTCCCGCTGAATTTACGTGCAAATCGAACGAGAAAACACCCCGACCAAAATCCCCAAATACGTTCCGTTTAATTGGAAGTTAAATCCTCGAAATGAAGATTGATCGAGAACGTCGTCTAATCGTTCGCGAGAAAGTTTCTTTTGATTGATCAGGGAGTTACCTGCCGGTTCATAAATAAATTTGTTCCGTTATGCATGCGTAATTTCGCCCGAACCTCGTCCTTAAACAATTAACTTTAATTCAATCGGGGACGTAATAATAATTTAATTTCTTTTCGAGGGGATCCTCTCGCCTTCACGAGCAGATCCCTCAAAGCTCCGCAACATCTGGAAAATTAAACGCGATTAATTCGCGGAAAATTACGACTATTTTCCAATGGAAATGAGTTCGTTGTAATTAAATCAATGTCCGATGAATAAACCGACTATATTTCGCGGTATAAAAGGGTGAAAATACAATCGCTCGGTCGAATTTTCCAGGCGATGAAGATCCTGTCGAAGAAGAAGCTGCTCAAGAAGGCCGGAATGTTCGGCCGGTTGCCGCCGGCGCGGAAGGACTCCCGCTCGAACTCCTCGCCCGTCAACCATCCGTTCCAGAAAGTCTACCGCGAGATCGCCATACTGAAGAAACTCGACCATCCCAACGTGGTGAAACTAGTGGAAGTGCTCGACGACCCCGTCGAAGACCACCTCTACCTGGTGTTCGAGCTCCTCGAAGGCGGCCAGGTGCTCGAAGTCCCCACCGACACGCCGCTGGACGAGCACACCGCCTGGACCTACTTCCGGGACGTCGTCCTCGGCATCGAGTACCGTAAGCGCCCCGCCGCCGCCGCCTCCGGTCTTCTTTCTATTCGATTTTCCGTTCCAGTTCACTACCAGCGGATCATCCATCGCGACATCAAGCCGGCGAACCTGCTGCTGAGCGACGCCGGTCGCGTGCAGATCGCCGACCTGGGGGTGTGCAACGAGTTCCACGGCGCCGACGCTTTCCTCTCCACGACGGCGGGCACGCCCGCCTTCACGGCGCCCGAGGCGCTCAGCGAGAAAAACGAAGCCGGATTTAGCGGGAAGGTAAGCGTGATTGTTTCGCGAAGCCTTCGCTCGGTTGAAGCGCAAAAAATGATGCTTTGCTCCGGCTCTAATTTCGAGTGTTGTGGCAAACATGATCTCATGCAATATTGATCTACCGGCCGTGCGAAATACCCGGCGCTGTAGTTTGATTACTGTTGGAATTAGTTTCATACCTATCTTTGAAATTTCCATCATGTGCCGCCTCCCGGAAGAGGCGAACGAGGCGGTTTCGAGTTACTGGCGCGTATCGAGTTTCTCGCTGGTGTTTTTTCCACGTTTGATGCAATTATGGAAATTATTGCAACGTTTTTTTTTTCGCAGTGCACGGATATTTGGTCGATGGGGATCACTCTCTACGCGTTCCTCTACGGCAGGGTGCCGTTCTACGACGACAACATCGTCGGTTTGTATTCGAAAATCAAAAGTCAGCCAGTCGTCTTTCCAGACACACCTTCCATTAGCGACAATCTCAAGGACCTCATCAAGAAGATGCTGCTGAAGGAGCCTTCGCAACGGCTCACCTTGCCGGAAATAAAGGTAACTAACTGCGACGGAATTTTGGAAATTACTTCGATTGTATCGCGATTCTTCCAGGTGCACCCGTGGGTGACCCGTCGCGGGCAATGCCCTCTTCCGTCGGAAGAAGAAAATTGCCATTTGGTCGAAGTCACCGAAGAGGAAGTGGCCAAAGTCATCACTTCGATACCGAAGCTCGACACTTTGATTTTGATCAAGCACATGCTCAAAAAACACTCCTTTCAGGTAAGAATAAACTTCATTACCTCCATATTTCACCTCCACTTTTAAGATTTTCTTGCACTTATATCACCAATCTTCCTCAACTACTTCAACTCTATCAAATTTATCTCTAATCCTCTAACATTACCGCTACTTTGAAGATTCCAACACACGATTTAGTCCTCCAATTTAACCTCACGTTCTATCCACTTCATCTACTACCTTCTATCCACTCCATCACTACCATCATCAATACCATCTTCCAGCAACCGGTAATATCAGGTGCTAAAGAATCTGGATGTGTTCCAGAACCCGTTCCTGCACCGCCGCGACACGACGGTGGTGCCGGCGGTGTCGCACTCGAGCTCGGTGTCGACGCCGGCGCGGCGGCACATCGGCCAGTCGGGCCGGTCGAACTCGGCGCCGGGCAGCTACGACTGGCACCACGCCAAGCAGCTGAGCGTCGAGACGAGCCTGGAGCGCGTCGAGGAGATCATCAACGGCGACGAGGGATCGGCGAACGGCGACAGGCCGGAGGAGAGGCGGTGATAGAGGCGGTGCTCCTGGTCTCGTTCGCTGGAGGCTTGCTTCAGCGAGTGCTGCTTCCAATAGTCTGTCGTTCAAGAGTATAGACGGGTTGTTGGGAGGATGCTTGGTGAATGTTTGGGGGTGTAAATGTTTGCTGTTGTACCCCTGATATCGGCAAACGAGGCCAGTGCAGAGCGGGTAGTAATCGGATGAATCTTATGTTTGAACGTAATTTTTTTGTCTGTGATTTATACAATTAATATGATTTTTTTATGAATCTCATAGATGATGAAAAGTAGTGTGTGAAACATGATGTTTTTTACGCAGATTATTCTCCTAATATTTTTGTATGATGTTTATAGAACGATGATGCCGCGGTGTATTGAAATATCGCTAAGTTGTTCGTTTTTATTTCGAAATAAATATTTTGTTTATTTTTTATTTATTTTAATTTTTTTACGGTACTTCCATTAATTATCGTTTTCGAGATCTAGGTAAACATTTTTGAAGTGCATTAGGAAAGGATGTTTGCGAGGCATTGCATCAAAAATATGTGAAAAATATCAGCGTGCTTTCGTTAGAAAACTTTACAATTTCTAAATTAAATTGTTGCGGGACCATAGCATTTGTGTAAATAAGGTTTATTTGAAGAGGTAGGCACTTTATTTGATTATTTCAATATAAAAATATGTATCTCTTCAAACGGATTGTTAAATCAATGTACTGTTATACACGATAAAAACTTTGTGGTGTGTACATGGTGTATTTTGCTATAAAATTGTGTATGCATGTTATCCTATAGAAGAATATAGTTAATTATACATAATAATAAATTAGGCACATTTTTTCGAACTAACTTCCTCAAAATGTGTCTAAAATAAACGATTTTTCATGCGATAATTGAAATTTTCTCATATAATACGCACAATTATTAACCACGCGTGTTTCTACTGTTAAACTCTGAAAATTTCCAATTATCTCTGCATAAATTTTAACATTATTGAAATTTGGCCTTCTTATAAGATATTCCTATTAAACTTTTATCCAATGCATGACGAGAAACTTCCCCATTTAACTGTATAATGGAATTTTACACCTATTATAACGTAAAGAGCACCAAATTTTTACAATTTTGCACGTTATTTACGTTATTACAGTAGATTTAAAGTATCTAAACTGTTACAGAAAAATGTTTTCTGGACTATTTGAATTAAATTTTTTTAAATACGAATCTACTAGTTTTATTTACTTATTATTATTACACAATGCTAAAAGGAAACAACTTATTAATCATAAACATAACATTTATTAATATTGTAGATCTAATATCTAATTAATTGGACGGAATTTTACATAATTATACAAACTAAGCTATCATTTCGAATCGATATTTTAGGACAGCGTATAATTTTATACCGCGATTTTAGTAGTCACGACAACTACATTACAATTAACGATATCACATATAAATTATTCTAGATTTTATCTGATACAATAATAGGTAATGTTAATATCACAGATTGCTTATGCAATTTGGTTCAAAACAAACAAAACACCGAAAACAAATACTACATCTCATTTGCTCAAAATCAGCTGAATCTCCTGCAAGCTCCTGCCCTTGGTCTCGACTATATAAAAGCTGCTGAACACTATGGCCAGCATGCAGCAAACCGTACAAGCCAGAAACACCACGTCCATGCCCAGAACTCTGATGGCGAGCGGGAAGCACTTGGTGACCAAGAAGGACACCGTCCAGGTAACAGTAGCGACGAAGGCGCAGGCGAAGGACTTGTACTTGGTGGAGAACATCTCGGCCATGATGATCCACGGCAGAGGGCCGTAGCCGATGTTGAAGAAGACTATGAACGTGGTCAGGGCCACCACCGGCAGCCAGCCCAAGCCGCTCACGTCGTACTGCTTGGCCTTCATGTAGCAGAAGAGGCTGATGGTGCCTTCTGTCAGCACCATGCCTATGCCCGAGATTAGCAGGCACACCTTGCGACCGGACCTGCGGAACAGAGGAGATGCTACTGTAGTTTGATTCAGTGAATGGATGAAGTTGATGGAGTAGAAAGTGATCTGGAACTGGTGAATAATTGATGAGAAGATGAATTAGTACGAGTGTTATATGAGGTAGATTCTTAGGAATTAGGAGTTTTACCTATCGACCAAAAACGCCGCTATGAAACTGCTGGCGAATTGCACGAATATGAAAATCATAGTGCAATAATGAGCGGGCAAGTCCGTTCCTGCTTCGTTGAAAATCTGCGCGCTGTAGAAAGTGAAGGCGTTTATTCCTGATAATTGTTGGAATACCAGCAAACCCATTGCAGATACAACGCCTTTCAGTAAAATTTTAGACCTACAAAAGAAACCGTTAAAACACCCATATTGCATCGAAATTAAATCTCTCACGTGAAAATGTCCAACGGGTTAAAATGATCGTCTTTCACTTGATACTCCGTCTGCATCTCCGCCATTTCTTTCTTGATCATTTCGGGCGTCCTGCCCAGATGGTGCAGCGCCATTTCGGCTTTATCGCTCTCCTCGATTTTAAGGAAGTACACCGGGCTTTCGACGCCCAGTATACCGAAAACGATAAGGAACGCCAGAGCCGGTATGGCCAGTATGGCGTTGAAAAATCCGATGGGTTTGTAAGGACCCAAGCAGACCGCCAACAACAGCCCCATGCAGCAGGAACATCCTGCGGCGCAATTCACCAAACCCCTGTTGTGGCTCTCGGATATCTCGCTCAGGTACATCGGCAGGAGGATGAACGTGCCGCCGACGCTTAATCCTGCTAACGTTCTGAAACATTTCATTTAATAGCACCTTGAAGGCATTTACAGGAAAATGATCGCTTCACATCCGCGTCTAGCGCTAGTTTAAAGGACGATTCGTGTGTATCTAGCGGTTTCCGTTCAAATCAAGGTGAGTTAGTACCATTGACACTGACTTTGCATGAACTATAAGTACTTTTTATGACTCAATACGGGATTTTCTACGATTACAAAAAATTCTGGTACGTACCTGGCTAAATAGTAGACCTCCACGGCCGTCCCGACGGCCATAAGGACGTAGGACACTAAGGCGAGCAGGCCGGCGCATAGCAGGGAGTACTTCCTGCCCAGCTTGTCGGCCGAATAGCCGAACAGGAAAGGGCCGAAGATGGCGCCGAGCGTCACCAGGGAGGATATCCAGGAGATCTCGTCGGGGGCGACGTCCCTGCCGAAGGGGTTTTCGGTGGCGTTTTGCAGCTTGGGGATGGCTGGTGATGACCAGGAGCATATCGTGCCCACGACGAAGAACAGGATGCTGGCTGGAGAGAACAGAAATGTTTTTAGTAGGTGGGCTTTTCGTTGATTAATGTTTTATGCATTTTATGGTCTGTAAGTTGGTCCCGAAATGGAAGAAAAATCACCGGAAAATACCGGGCCGGTCGAAAAGTTTATAAATTATTTCTTATTGTAATAAATTTAAGGTAACAGGAAGTAATTTGGTGCGTGACATGTGAATATGTTGCTGGTAATTTCGTTTTAACACGGGTTCCTTTGACGATTTTGCCGTGCATTTTAAGTTATTGCTTTGAAGTCTATGACAGAACTGTATGAAATGACGTTCGTTTATTGTTCAGTTCGTTTTAGTAATTTATTATAATAGGATATTATTATTATATATTAATTGCGAATTACACGTGAAATGTAATAACGAATAGTCCCCAATCGTTTTTAAAAACTGATTTTTATTTTACTACTTTTTGACTTAAATTTTATTTAACATAACATAAAAATTTATGGTTGCATAAAAAGTTGTTAAATTATGCATTGTGTTCTATGTAAGAATTTTTACGAATGTATCTAAACGTTCGTACTCTAAGGTATTTTAAAATTTTTTTAATGCTTGTAGTTTAAATAAAAACCAAAAAAAATGGTATAATAATTATTAAAAAATATTTCCATTAAAATAAAACAATTATTAAATTTTTTCAAAATCAATAGCGCTTTTTTACTTCGAATTCAATTATTAATCGATCACCAGGGTCGAAGTTACTCGATTAAATCAGGTCTTGCACATATATTGTCAATGTAAATCTTTTAAATTATGTCAAATAACTAGGGCATCTAAAGATAATGTAATTTATTGGTAAATACTTAAGCTACTCGACGATAAACAATACCTAGAGAAGTAAAATGTAATCAAAGATAATTTTTACGTCTACAAGATTGAAGTGAACAATTTACTCAAGTATTAGTATAATGGAGCAACAACAAATTGAATTAGATCGCCTATTTACTATACTATTAATGCACCTACAACAAGTCTATTTGTTTATTTTCGTACAATGAATTGACGGCGTTAGTTATTCGAATCTAAAAATAACATACTCATTTATCAATTCAACCATCGTTATGACGAATTATAAAAAGGATTCGGTAACAGCTCCATTAACGAATTTAGTTCATAAAAGAAACGATGTTTAAAAATTAAGCCGAACAGGCCGAGAGGGCTCTATTTTTAGATAACCAATAGGTAAAGGAATATTAATTGACGTTGACATATGGGTATTAAATTGACGTGTGTAAGAGGCTGCTTGGAAGAAAAATGAACATAAATTTAATTGAATTTAATCTTATTTAATTGCCTTATTATAACTATTATGACGATTTTTCATTAAACGAACAAAGACAAAATGTAAATTCATGTCGAAGAAAACTAAACTGAAACTTTTCGCAAAATTATTGAAGACGGTTAAATGGAGTTTTATGTTTGTTTCAGTTTTGTTAGTGTTTTCCAGGTTTCAGAAAACTCAAACACAACACCACTTTCTGTTCTTTTTATGGAAAATTGTCATTAGGGAGTAAAGTGGTGTCTGCTTTTTATTTAGTTGGAGATAGGGTAGTTAATAATTAGACATTCTTATATCATGGTTATAAATCGTTATAAAAAAATCTAATATAATTCAAAAAATTCTAATAAAATTAATCTCGATATAGTAGTTAAATGTGTTAATTGGCGAAGATCAAATTATATATTTTTGATGTGAAATAAGGTATAAAAAATAATTTTCAATTGTACAAATCGAATGAAAAAATATTCTAGATAAAACCATCGTAAAAATTTCATGAGTAAAAAAACGAAATATATACCTGCCCCTGCAGAAACGTAGACACTAGCGATCCGTGGTAGAAGTACCATTTTTCTCTGAGCACTGCACCGTTCGAATCAAAAACAGTGATAAACGATCGTACTCCTACCTTCGAGCTATATAAAAAAAATATCGGATTGAACTTGAACTTGCGAAAATTCAAATTTACCCGGTAGCAATGTTCGCATTTGCGGCGACCTTATGTAGTGTATTATTTCTAAGTCCTCCTCGGCGAACTTATACCAACGTGCCTTCCTCGTTTAAATTGCAATGATCCTATCTCAGTTCGAGTCGCTTCCGATTGGTTATGGGAAAATTAAAAAGGCTCCAATTTAATTTTTTTTGTCAAATTTAATCGGTGAATAGATAGCTTAAATATGGGTAAAAAATGCAATAATTTCAGTAAAATAAGTAGGTTAATAAGAAAGTAAATAGTACGTTCAATCACCCACCAATTAACCTTTAGAAATTATTAGATATTTTTAATTGTACGTGAGAAATGGCGATATTTTATTTACTGTTGATATTTGGTGTTATTGCTAGGTGGTCGATATTTTTGGTAAATTTTCGAAACAATGTTTAGATTCTTTTTTTGGTCATTGTCTGTAGCTCTTTTGCAAACAATCTTTGATTAAGTTTCTCAATATCCAAAACTTTGATCTTGAAACATTGGCTACTTCAAGCAAAACTAATACATAGTTTATGGTGGATAAAATCGAAATTATTGTATGTTTTAGTATATAATAAATATATGTTTCATGGATAATTAAATTTGTAAAATTGCATTAGGAATAGCAGTATTTCCCCATATTCTTTATAATTGATGGTACTTCACATAGGAAATAAAAAAGTTAATAGGTTGTCAACAAAAATCTCTACGAAACCCCAAAACTTGTGAATCAATTTTTACAGAAATTGTGCTATTTTTCATTTTCTATCATACAACAACCCAAATAAGGGAAACGAAGGAATGTCAATTGGGTATAATTTTTACTAAATTGCGAAAATTATTGTCACAAACCAGGCGGAAATAACATCAATTCAAAATGCTCAGCTCCGATTAAACCAATCAGATTAGACACGTATAAAAATATTAACAGTTTTATGTAATGGAACAATCGTGGAGCTCTGTTATGTTAACGTGTCATTTTTATTGTTGAACGTAATTCGGAAAATATCAATTTTACCGACCAACTGAAAGCCGGAAAACTCCAATTTTATATCATAACAAATTACCCCAGCAATTCGACCTTCTAATCACATTGTCAAGAAGATACTTTAATTTACTTATTTACTATATTTAATTAACTGACGCCTTTCAAATTATTTCCCCAGCCGTTTTATCATTAACTTTCCACAAACAAATACAGCAAATAAAACGCACATGCATACAACTTATTTATTTATAAACTTCATAGAGTGGTTTCCAATTCGCCGTTGCCTTGCGCGGCGTTGTTGATGTGAGCGATGGCCCCGTAGACGAGCCCCACCAAACTTCCGAACAACTCCGCGAAGAAAACCCCGAGCTGGCCCACGCGAGCCGCCTCTTCCGCCGAACCGGCCGCCTCTACGGCGTCTTCCGCCGCCTCCGTGGAGTTCCCGGCCACCTCGTTGATCTCCAGATTGATCCGCAAAGGGATGCCGTACTCCTTTCTAGAACCAGTCAGTCTCTGAATGTGCTCGCCCGGCCCGTCGAATTCGATTTTTACCTCGCTCTTGGGCGTCGCGGTGGCGCCCTCGGCGGTTTCTTCGACGTCCATCGGCGCTTGGGACGCCGATAGGGTGGACAAGAACTGGATTTTGGCGAGGAATTTGTTGAGTTGCTTGCGTATCAGGCTCGGGGTCGCTTCGTTGTTGGTTTGCTCGTCGGAATCGATCGGATTGACGATGTCGGTGTTGGTTAAACGTTTCTCGTTTTCGAGCTCTTGGACCTTCTCCTGCTTCTTAGTGTAGTCTGCTATATTGGTTAATTTCGCCGATGGCGAGGAAGAACTAGCAGAAGCTGATGAGGCCAGCGTGAGTAGAGCATTGTGAAGAAACGGTTTGGATGAAGCTAACTGAAAAATCTAAAAATCGCAATTACTAGAATCAATTAAGCATGAACGTCAAGCAATTTTTAAGAAATTGCCTATTAGAATCAGATCCTTGATCTATAATTCATACCCAAACGCGAGTAAACAACAGTATACCGTTAGGTTCGATTAAAATTCTGATTAAAAAACAAACTTACGCTCGAAATTATTACGCCAACAATGAAACCGCGCACCCACATGTTGCACCGTAAACTGATCAAGAGAAGCCCCGAAATGACGACGATAATAAAAACGTAAGTAATACCGACGGTGTGATATGCATAAATAGTTTGACACGATCCCTCTCGTCGGATCTTGCGAAATTCCTGCTGGTACTTACAAAAAAAACGGCCTTTAATTCTTTACGGGAGATATCATCGAAGGTTTCTTGCGACTTTGGCCCGAATATGTTGGCTGCATACAAAGCCGTGTAAATCGATACCGTACTACCAGCATTACAATTAGAAATGATAGATAATTCTATCGAAAATTGTACTGTGAATTTTACTTTCGGTTGCAGCTCTTTCGTGGTCCTCGATTAGTGAATCTGAAATGTATACCCCATCATCTACAATCGCCTATAAGGCTTCTATAATTAGATTTGATGGAGATGAATAATTCACGCGCGGATTTCAGTTTGTTACTGGTTCTAAAAGAACAGGTTCTCGTATTCCAATGTAGGAGTTGGAATACAATAAATTATTAATTACAAACTGCCTCGAGGGCACCGGCCGGCCTGTTAATAACCTTTATATAAACCCTGATCAATAAAGTAAAACAGGGTCGGAGTCTACCAATAATCACTCATCATGAATTCGCATTATTATCGTTATTCCTCGAGATATGAGCGAAAGTAAGTTTTTTATAACGACCCTATAGGTTTCGATGTTACCGCAAATGTTAGCTTTAAGAGCGTTGCGCTACTTTCCCGGTTAATAAAACGAAAAAAAGTGAAATGAAGAGGCCATTGGTTGAGCGTCTAAGACTAGGCCTGTATGTCATGTCGCACATTACCGAACAACAACAGTTATACGCTTTGTATACATCGCTCCAACGCCTATTTTTAACCCGACGAAGACTGGTTTTGCGGCTGGTTCTCATCGCCCAACCGATTTTGTGGCCACTTTTCGACAACGTACATGCTCGGAGACGGCAGCGAATTCGCCAGCGAAATGCGCGCTTTATCAGTGATAACTTTCTTGGTGCTGACCCAATCGAACCAGGTACCTGAATATTTACTAACGTGCAGTTTTTTACTTCGTTTTTTGCTTGTAGTTAGGGCTCGTTCGGGCGGAAACGCCGATCAAAGTGGAAGCTAAGCCGCTGCTGCTGGAGTCCTACATCCCGCCGGCTATGCAGATTCTGGCCTATTTGACGGAGATGATGAAGTACGATTTGAGGCCCACGACGACTCCGCCCTACGGCCCTACGACCACTTCCACGATGCGCCCGACGCCCTACCACAGACCGGGAATCTACGCGCCTTTGAAACCACCAGGGCCAGAAGCCTACCAACCAGCACAAAGAAGTAAGTATTTACTAAATCCCGGCAACTTTAATGGAAGAAAACGATTTTTAGGCGACTCGTACAAGGCTTTCGTTGAGAGTTTGAAGCAACCCAGCGGAGCGGATTACTTCCAGCGGTACAAATTGGGACAGAGAGCATCGAAGTCCATCCAGAATCCGGCTGGAGGTGATGATAACGATGATATTCTGGATCGGGTCGCCGCTTATTTCGGCAGGAACTTCGCGGATACCTTGCGACTGGTGAAAGAAGTAGACAAAGACGTTCCGAATAACATCGACGAGCAATCGCAGGAGTTTTTGAAGAGATACGACGACTCTAACTTCAAGTGAGTGTACACTCGAACTAAGTATTTTGTATATAATTTTGTTCTTAGATCGGAATTGTTGCGGCAGAAACAAATACCTCCCACAAGGGCTTATGTGTCGCTTCTCTCGTTGTACGATACGCTGAATCAGGAATCCAAGAGGCAGGGATTGAACAAATACACTGTAAGTTAGTAAGCTAGTGTTTATAGGTTTAATTTATGAACGATTTTTAGGGATATACGGAGCAAATGCTGAAAGAACTGGCGGATATTTCGAGCGATACATCGGCTTATCAATTGAGAATAGTTTTGAAGAGAATTATTGACAGACGGGACACTCCACGACAGGAAATAACCAGTAAAATCCAACGACTTATTAACGATTTGGATGATTTTAACGGTTACTTAATTTCCGCGTTGAAGTACATTCCTCCGTTAGCTTTTTCGTTGTAAACAGTGGTATTTTAAGATTATATTTCTTCGATTAAATAATTGCAATATTCAGGGTGGTTTTTAATAACATGCTAATACTGAAGGGGGTGATTCTTGGACCCATTTTAAGAAAAAAACTTCATATGAACATTCATATGTCCTAAACCTAAAATTTATTACTACCTAATTTCAGCACAGCTGCTTACAAATGATTTTTTTTATGCGAAACGGTGAGTCGTACGAAAAAAAGTCAAGATATCAAATTTGCTCTAAATTGAACGGGGCCTCCAAAAATAATTTTTATTTCAAGAAAAAGCAGTGGCGTACCACTTTTACCCTCAAAAATATTTGTCCCGAGTCCAGTACGGACGCCACTGTTGGAAATAAAAAAATGTTTTTTAGACCAAAAATTGCTCTTTAAAGCATAAACGCTATACACCAAATTTCATTAAAATATTTAAAGTGACATGGAAATGGCAGTAAAAAATTGATTTTCTTCTTAAAATTTTAACTACCCATATCTCAAAAGTTAAAACGTTTAGGACATAGTTTCATATGAAGTTTTCTTCTTAAAATGGGCACAAGGGGGCACAAGAACCACCCCTTCAGTATTAGCATGTTATTAAAAAACACCCAGTATAATTTATTAGTAATTTCCTATATACAAGTACTAAGCTATATTGTCTGTAAGTTTCGTAACTTCTGGCACGCTCTCCAGCTTTTCGTACAAATTCTGGCAAGCCTCCAGCTCGGCGTCTTGCAGGGCTTGCAGTTTCAAAGGAGTGTAATTCACTTCGGCGTTGGTTACTTTATAGCCCAATTTCTCCAGCTGGCCCACGACTTGGTTCAAGTTCGTTTTACCGCAGGTGAATCGGAGAGAATTGTTCTCAGCTATTTGAACGTCTTCGGCGCCCGATAGAATCGCGTGATCGGTGGCTTGCTCGAGGATTTCGGCCTCCTCTTTGCCGGCTAGAGACGCGTTCTCGGCGTCGATGGTGCCCTTTTCTTCGAAGAGATGTATCCCGCCTCCGTCGCTGTATTTCGCTCTAAAAAATAGATTACTCGAGCTTAGTTGTAATAATTCTTCGATCGTACGCTTACTGGTTCTTTCTCAATATCGTCGCGATGGTTTGCTTGGTTAAGTGCAATTGATTGGTGAATACTTCGCAGATGATGAAGCAGCTTCCGGGGCCTCTGTAAGTTCGAGAGAATTGTAGTTCGGAGTAATTATGTGAGGGGTGTGTTTACTTTATTTCCAGTATGTGCTTTTTGTGTTGCGATTTATCGTTCTCGCAGCTTTTCAAGATGTTTTGTATGGTAGCTGCGGGCATGTTGGCCCTCTTCGATTGTTCGATAATTTGGGATAATTGCAGGTTTTTCGAAGGATCTATCGAGCCACCCTCTACAGCGCACAATTATAAATTAATAACGATTTAAATAATACCAGTATATTACCTGAGACTGCTATCCTAATTTGTCTTCCTATTCTGGTAAACACCCTAGCTTTTTCGGCATCTTTGGCTGCCTTTATGTGCTTTATATTAGACCATTTGGAATGGCCGGCGTACCGTTTGATAATTAATTGGTTTTTATTGCCTATTTCATTAGAAATCCGTATGGTTTTAACTAAAAATCGCATCAACATCTTGATATTTGCTACATAAGAACCTAAAAGTGAGGTTATATTTACGCGAAATTCGACATTCACATGACATTGACATTAAGAGATTGTCTTTGACTAAGTAGGGTATGTAGCAAATTGTTGAACAATTTATTGTTAAAATATAAAACTCTAAATTATCAACTAAAATATGGTAAAATTTAATAAATTCGTTATAATATAATAAGATTTGCCTGTAAATAATTTCAATGTAATATGAGATTACAGAAATCTCATCTTACAGAAGAAAATACTACATTGTTACATAAATGTCTCAATAGATGGCGCGAGCGATTTCAAAAATATTTCGTGTCATTTTACCAGTATCTTTTAAAAGGAATAAAGTACATAACATTTTATTATTTCCAGAAACTACTTTCAGAACAAAATTTATAGACATGCCAGGAATTACGGCGTAAATTCAATTATACATAATTACCAGTAATAAAGCCGGACGATTCTCGACCCACGGCAACGTTCTCGTTAATTAAAAAAAACCGTTTATTTCCGAAAAATAATTCCTAAAATCCCTCGGATTATATTAGCCGGTCGAAACCCGGAGCGCGCCGGTTCCATTAACGATTCCGGCATCAACTCCTCGAATGTGGATCTTTTTTATTATCAATTTAGAGCGAATTTCTCCGGTTACGGTAAAGTCCTCGGGCGCCGTCGCGACGACGTTCGGCGTCGACTTTTTGTCTAGACGACAAAATGGACGGCCAGATTAAACGTGGCAGTTTTCCTCTCGAATTCCCCGAGTTAATCTACGAGCGTACGTGGATTAAATAAAAATACTTTCAAATTAAAGCCAAGAACTTTTGCCTCGGGTATTATTCAACTTATGTCGCGCGAGAACTTTCCCTGTGTTTACTTCGAAAGGAAAATTGCATCACCGACCGCAAGGAAACTTATCGCATATCTAGACCTAGGAAAATTGTATAATAAATCGTGCGTATTTGTTTTTTTCATTGAACAATATATCCACTTTTACGTTGCTCATGTGGAAACCCCCCGTGGTACATTTAACCTACTAATAAACGATCGCGATCGGTAAAATAAAATATCCAGTTTCATCCGAAAACGTCGTTCGCTTCTCTAATCTAGATCGGCCCGGAGCGAAAGGAACCTTTTATCAGAACCTAATTTTTGCTCGTCTAGCTCGGAATCGCCGGCGGGGAAAAACTCGCAGAGTAAAATAGGTCGCTGTCGCATCTCCATCGTCGTTTATCGGTAATCTCCACGGGGCAAATGACCCTTTGTTCCGACTCGTCCTACGACAGGACTATCACTGGATAACAATCTGGCGCTCTTGCACATGCACACCCACGCGCTCTACCCTTATCTCTGGTTGGCCTGATCCGAAATCCCCTATAGTACAGGTGATACATTGCTAAATACACCTCAATTAGTACCTAATTTATTATATTTATCACATACTGGCAACTGTTAAATGGTGAATCGGATTTGGTTCCACCGTTATTTGGACTATTAGAATCCCTGAATAGAAATTAATAAGTGCTGTTGATGTTATTAAATGTTATAGCGATCGCTTGTACTAAAATCGTGAATGTTTCCAGGAGCTTTTCCCGTTAGAAATACGGACGTGGGGATTACGGGATTTAACAAACTTTTTGCGATCGGTACCCCATGAGTTATAGAAAATGTTCTATAGTAGTGGTGGATCAAACATCTGAATTTTTGTTATAGCTTGAAATATGCAGTTTCTATTTAAACATCTTCATTCCATTCCGCTACCGTGATTTCTAAAACCTGCCTCGACCAGTTTAGATTCGTTTTAGCATAAATTTCACGAGAGTCGGATAACGAATTTCAATCTCGGTCCACAAAAATGTTTAAATGTTTCCTGCAACAGGTTGGTTCGATAAAAACGAACTATTTATCAATAAACTAATGCTTATTTGTTATCGAGGGGATGTTATTATCGCAGTATTGATAAATTCAGGCGATATAAATCGCAATCAATGGTAAAATAACGGCTGGTTTAAATCGCGTTCATTAACTATGTAATATCCGTGATTTAACATAAAACCATTTTCTAGTCTCTTAAATAATAATAAAATTTGAATAAACCAATGTTTCATATTTATTAATGCGTGTTGTTAAAATGGGTTTTACTATAACGGAGACGGAATTTAATTTACTTACGTACGTTAGAAAACCCGATAAGGAAACGAGATGTAGAAAAACCTAACGATAATAAAACCGATATAAATAATTAATTAAACACATTACATAAGTAAATAGAAATTATTGGTAAATAATGAAAAAAACGAGCGTAAAATCAATCTAGTCGAGGACAGTTCATCCAATAACAACCGAAAAAAGTGTCAAAATACACAAAGACTGTCGGAGAATGGGAGAGTAAAAGAAATCCCCCGGCATATATTTCCTGTCGTTGGAACTCCCATCCATCCCTGTAGGCCGGAATGATTGCTCAAATTTACATTTAGCTCCGGGATAAGCCGATAGTTACGGCGACCATCTATCTTCCGGGAGTTTTTCTCCGGTGCCATTTTACACTGGCGAAAATCCAGAAAAGAAAGCTCGCATTGTAAATGACTGTACATATTTTAAAGTCCCAACTCAAACACACTTTAAAAACAGCGAGGGGGCGAGAGGATTTTAAGTCCTTTATTTATTAAGGAACTTTCCAGGTAATTTTAAATTTTTTCCAATAAAATCTATAAGTAAGGTAGACTTGGGCAAATCGGTTGTAAAATTTGTATAGTGCAAATTAAATCCTAAAATGTGACTTTATTTTTTCTCTTATTAGAAATGCTGATACCACATTAAATTCACAACTTCCTAAACTAAATAATCGAGGTATTAAGAAGTTTTTTTGAAAAAGGAAGAAAACAATTTTACATATTTTTTAACATGTTGACAATACAATTATGCTTGCAATTATGCAATACAATTGTATAGAAAAACATATGGGGCAATTGTAAATACATATTTGGTTCCTCTAAAATTTGATATGCTGTTTATTTATTTATTTCAAAAAATAACAGAGCTACAAAATAATAAAGAAAAAATATGAAGAAACCCTGTCTAATGCACAAAAGAACTATAAAAATAATAAAAACATTAACATAATAGGTAAAAATATTACATTTACCCCATTTTTACATTAGCCCTAGTCTATCTATTTGTAATTTAAATTGGTGCTTTAATTTTATCTGCGTTTTATCCAAGATTGGGTTTATACTAACACCTATTGGAAAATTGACCGCTAGAAAGTGGGTTTACCAAATCGGTTTACCAATAAATAAGACAATAATTGTAATCAGTACCGCACTGTTCTATGTTTAGGTTTTTTAGATGCTTGGTTTTTTTCACCTAGTAAATCTAGGCGAGATCGGTATTTTGAAAACCACAAGTTGATAATGAGACTATTTTATAAGGAATTCTCTTCCGAGACAATTTAGTCTCATCAATACTGTCAAACTCATCTGATATATGTGTTGTGTCTATTGTTTTTTATACATTTACATAATCTAATACAATTCATCATAAAAACAAAATGTTATTCAAATTAGTTACAACCTTGAGTTTATTACTTTGGTAAGTTTCTCTAACGGTATCATTTGAATTATTTATTAATTCTTCCCGTTTAGGATTTGCAAAGCTGACGATGTACTGAAGAACAACGGGCAATTTCCAAGGAACTTCATGTTCGGCGCTGCCTCATCAGCCTACCAAATAGAAGGCGCTTGGAACGAAGACGGGAAGGGCCTGAGCACTTGGGACCACTTCGTACGCAGAACCCCATCTCCAGTGGTCGACAACACCACGGGAGACGTCGCCTGCGACTCCTACCGGCGCTGGAAGGAAGACGTGAAACTGGTAGCCGACCTCGGCGTCCAATCCTACAGGTTCTCCATCTCCTGGCCCCGCATACTGCCCAGCGGCTACGACAAGCACGTCAACGAAAAGGGCCTGGAGTTCTACAAGCAACTGGTCCAGGAAATCATCAAGCACGGCATGGTGCCCGTCGCCACCATCTTCCACTGGGACCTGCCGCAGTTCCTCTTCGACAACGGCCTCGACTGGACCAACGAGGAGCTGATCAACGTGTTCGTCAGGTACGCCAGGTTCGTCATCAAGAACCTGCCGGAGGTCGGGTATTGGATAACCATCAACGAGCCGAGGGTGCACTGCAGGAGGTCCTACGGCGACGGCCTCCACGCTCCGGGTGTCAGCGACGACGGAATCGGCGACTACAAATGCACTTATAACATCCTCAAAGCCCACGCCGCCGTCTACCGCATGTACAAGCGGGAATTCCCGCGGTATAAAGGTAAATATACACCGCAGAAATTCAAATTAAATTTAATAATAACACCTATTTCTTCAGCTAAAATGGGAATGGTGGTAGACTGCCAATGGTACGAACCTGCTAGTAATCGACCCGAAGACGTAGAAGCAGCAGAAAGGCACTACCAATTCGAGGTTTGTTTAATACATATAAAAAAATTCTCACCCTAATAAAATTTGTGGTTTCCAGTGCGGCATGTATCTACACCCCATCTTCCAAGGCGATTGGCCGCCTTTGGTTAAATACAGGGTGGCCGAACGGAGCAGACGCGAAGGCTACACGAAGTCCAGGCTTCCTTCGTTCACCGCCGAAGAAGTCAAATTCATGAGGGGCACTCAGGATTTCCTGGGGGTGAATCATTACTCCACCACGTCGGTGTCGAACGTACAGGAGGCGTCTTACAACGAGACGAGGTTCGCTCACGATATCCGCGTGTCGATAAACAGGAAATTGAATTGGGAAGTTTCGTTCTTAGGCTGGGGTGTAAGTACCACGATAAGCTCTTAATATCGACGGTTTTTCTAAAATTTGTTGGGTTTCAGGTGGTGCCCACGGGAGTGAGAAGGTTATTGAATTTGTTTAAAGAACGTTACAACGATCCAGACGTTATGTTCACTGAAATAGGTGTAGCAGATGATGGAACTACGTTGAGAGATGACATTAGGATTCGATATTTTCGCGTAAGTTTCATGCGTAAATCCAGGAATTTGATGATAAGTGATATTCGTTGTTTACAGAGTTATTTCTGCAACATTTTGGAGGCTATGCAAGTGGATAAAGTCAGCGTGGTAGGAATTATTCCTTGGAGTGCAATGGATAGCTTCGAATGGCATCGTGGTTACGAGTAAGTTACACCTAAAGTATTTAAGTATTAGTTTATTTAAAAATGAATTTTTTAGAGCTCGATTTGGATTTTACGCCATTGATTTTGAGAATGATCCCCAATTGCTGAGACGTCCTAAAATGTCTGTAAATTACTACAAGTCTATAGTGGAATCTAAACGACTACACTGCAATACTGCAGTTTCTGTATGGAATGACAAAGAAATTTTATAGTTTTAATACGATGTACAAATATTTAGGTGTAATATTTATTAAATTATTTTAAGCATTTTAAGTAGTTGTTTGATTTGTGCAACATAACTGGTTTTTAAATTTTTCGCATTGAAGTAAACAGAAATAAGGGATTGATAAAAATAGTTTGAGTGTAAAGATAAAATGCATTACACCTATAATGTTAGCTTATGTGTTACCACTTGATATAGCTAGTATCAGTTTTTCTGTAATTACGGAAATAATCTAATCCTGGACCATTTTTTTCTCAAACTTCCTGAAATTAACAAGTCACCTAATTAATTAAATGCAAGTGTCAAATCTTTTCCGTTGAAACGAGTACCACATCTGATAAATTTTTGTATAAATACAAGACAATCGAGTGCAGCAGAATGCATTTTTTCAATAACCACAAAACATGCAACAAACAATAGCGTTCGTATTGGTTTTATTGCAATTGTAAGAGCTACTCTTTTATACATACAAAAATTAAATAATCTGTAAGTTACGAATTTCTCAAATAGTTTATTTATTTTAAGTGCTTTCAATGCTGATGGAGCATTGAAAAACAATGGGCAATTCCCTCGGAATTTCCTATTCGGAGCGGCCACGGCTTCCTACCAAATAGAAGGCGCTTGGAACGAAGACGGGAAAGGCCAGAGTACTTGGGATGAATTCACTCACAGAATCCCATCACCTGTAACCAACAACGACACAGGAGACATCGCTTGCGATCATTACCACAGATACAAAGAAGACATCAAAATGGCCGCCGATCTCGGCTTACAAGCCTACAGGTTCTCCATTTCCTGGCCAAGGTAAAGCTCATCTACCGTGATAAACAATTTTACTAGCATATTATAACTTATAACAGGGTTCTACCGAACGGTTACGCTGACACAATAAACGAGAAAGGGATGCAGTTCTACAAAGACCTCGTCGACGAAATCGTCAAGTACGGAATGGTGCCGGTGTGCACGCTCTTCCATTGGGATTTGCCGTTGAAACTGTACGAAAACGGCATCGACTGGAGAAACGAAAAAATCATCGACATCTTCGTCGCCTACAGCAGACTGATGATACAAAACCTGCCGAAGGTGGGCTACTGGTCCACCATCAACGAGCCCAGGGTGCATTGTTTGAGATCGTACGGTGATGGAAAACACGCTCCGGGCATTGCCGAATCCGGAATTGCGGATTACCAATGCAGTTACGTTATACTCAAAGCGCACGCCAAAGCTTATCGCATGTACAAGAAGGAATTCCCCCATTACAAAGGTACCTACACACAGCCGATTTAATACCGCAAATCGCTCGTCTAATTATCTTTTTTGTTGCATCTTCAGCACCTTTTGGTATCGTAATTGATTGTCAATGGTATGTACCAGCCACTAATTCATCCGAAGACATAGCCGCTGCGGAAAGATACTACGAATTCGAGGTCGATAACAGCCAATTCGTTTCTTCTTTTTACTAAATTTCTTCGTTTCCAGTGCGGAATGTACTTCCATCCGATCAGCAAGGGCGATTGGCCCGATATAGTGAAGAAGAGGATAGCCCATAGGAGTCAACTGGAAGGGCGCAGCAGTTCTCGGCTTCCCCAAATAACACCCGAAGATATCAGGCTCATGAAAGGGGCTCAGGATTATATAGCGATCAATCATTACTTCACCATTATGGCAGCGAACGCCGAAGAAGCTTCGTATGATGAAATTAACTACAAACATGATGTTAGAGTAAATCTTTTGAACGATCCTTCTTGGAAAATTAGCGTACTTGGTTGGGCAGTAAGTACTCTTTTTATGTGTATCATTAATATCATCATCACGCATTGATTGCTTTGATTCTGTATACAAGATGAATAAAGGTTATTAAAAAGGATCTTTTACACCTTTTCTAGATTTGTCCTTTTGGAGTAAGAGAATTACTGAAACACCTTAAAGAGCAATACGGAAACGAGCCAATTATATTCGCAGAAATAGGAGTTGCTGATGATGGTACCAGTTTGAAGGACGACATAAGGACTGAATACTATCAAGTTAGTTAGTATCAATTAAAATCTTTAGAAAAATAATTACTACGAATCGTTTTTAGGGGTACTTCTGCTACATTTTAGAAGCTATGCAGATAGATGATGTGAACGTTGTGGCGATAATACCATGGAGCTTGATGGATAATTTGGAATGGGCCAAAGGTTATATGTAAGTTTCATTTATTTGCTTTTGTGTAATGAAGCAATATTCATATTCTGTACACAATTATTAATTCTGCACTCTTCATTTTAGTTACCATTTCGGACTTATCGGAATAGACTTTTACAATGATCCAACGTTAACAAGAAGACTTAAGGATTCTACATATTTCTACAGAAATGTCACCACTACTAAGCGTATAAATTGCGACAACGTGAAGTAAACATGGATCAGTGGACCTGCAATTTGTACCTCTACAAAACGAACTGTATATCATAATTAATTAACGTAATCTTTATTTATAGGAAATAGTGCATAATGAAAAAAGTACATACGGATGTGTAGGTAGATATTTCTTAAATGTTGTAATATTAATAAATTTTCTGGTATAAAAATAATACGCTTTTCTACTAATTTAATCTAATCCGTCAAATTTTATCGTACCCAAAACTTTATCAAAATAATTAATTATGGTTAATTATCGTAAAATCGTAACCGGATAAAGAATTTCTTCTGATATGGGTATGTATATAATAATTCAAAAATCGATCGGCGTTACCAGTTACCGTCGTGAAAATGGCAAAAAAAATCTCATTACTCTTAGGTGTTCTGTTTTTGTAAGTACCCTTATTTAGGTTAGTGATAATTTAACTTAACGCGTCCAATTTTCGTTTCAGCGTCCTGAAAACAGAAGCACTGCAAAACAATGGACAATTCCCTAGGAATTTCATCTTCGGTGCCGCCACGGCCTCCTACCAAATAGAAGGCGCCTGGAACGAAGGAGGAAAAGGTGCCAGTACTTGGGACGAATTCGTCCACAGAATCCCATCGACCATGTACAACAACGACACAGGAGATGTCGCCTGCGACTCGTACCACAGGTACAAAGAAGACATCAAATTGGCAGCCGATCTCGGCCTCCAAGCCTTCAGATTCTCCATTTCATGGCCCAGGTTCGTAACAACAATCAAAGCTATTCTATTAGTTTATTTGGTATTCGTTTCCTTTAGAGTTTTACCTACCGGTTTCACCGACAACATCAACGAAGAAGGAATCAAGTTCTACGAGAACTTCGTTAACGAAATCGTCTCGTACGGTATGATCCCCGTATGTACTCTCTTCCATTGGGACTTGCCCCTCGAGCTTTACCACCAAGGACTCGACTGGAGAAACGAGGCTCTGATCGACGCCTTCGTCGACTACAGCAGGCTTATGATCCAGAGACTCCCCAAAGTAGGCTACTGGTCGACCTTCAACGAACCCAGAGTCCACTGTTTGAGATCCTACGGTGACGGCAAACACGCCCCCGGTCTAGTCAACTCAGGAGTTTGGAACTACCAATGCAACAAGAACTTGATGAAGGCTAACGCAGCTGTATACAGAATGTACAAGAAGGAATTCCCCGAATACAGAGCCCCCTTGGGTATGGTCATGGACTGCCAGTGGTACTACCCTAAAACCGACGCTCCTGAAGACGTCGAAGCCGCTCAGAGGCTTTGGGAATTCGATGTAAGTCCAAATCAATTAACGCGTTAAATGAAATCGCATGTATTATTTCTTCTGCAGTGCGGTATGTTCTTCAACCCGATGTTCAACGGTGACTGGCCCGACATCGTCAAGGACAGAGTAGCCGAAAGAAGCAAAGCCGAAGGTCTGGCTAGCTCCCGTCTTCCCGCATTCACTCCAGAAGAAATCGAGTTCATCAAAGGAACGTCCGATTACATTGCCATTAACCACTACACCTCTATGATGGTAGCCAACGGCGTTGAGGGCACTTACAGCAAAACCGACTACAACTTCGACACCAGGGCTGTGACCTCCAACCACCCCGATTGGGATGAATCTTTCGTCGGCTGGGCTGTAAGTTTCGCAATGGCGAGGGCGCTGTTTGCGCGGGTTGTTTAATTTTTGTAAAAATTCCAGCTCGTCCCGTCTGGTGTCAGGGAGCTGTTGAAGCATCTTAAGAAAGCCTACGGAGACGCTCCCGTTATCTTCGCCGAGACGGGTCTCCCCGATGACGGTTCCAGTTTGGAAGATGACCTTAGAATTCAATATTTCCACGTAAGAATTTCACCAATCGGCTGTTTAATAGCAAACGCTAAAATATCGAATGCTTTTTAGGGATACTTCTGCAACATTTTGGAAGCCATGCAGGTAGATAATGTCAACGTTGCCGCCATCATACCCTGGAGTTTGTTGGACAATTTGGAATGGGTTAGAGGATACGGGTAAATATTAAGAGATTTCTCGTGTATTTTGTATCTCACCGAGCTTATAAAATTTTAGTATTCACTTTGGATTGTTCGGAATCGATTTCTACAACGACCCCACTTTAACCAGACGTCCCAAGAAGTCCGTGGACTACTACAGAAAAATCACCACCACCCACAAGTTAACGTGCGACGATCTTGAGTGATTGAAATGTAACATTAATTAGTAACTGTTTGCGTACAAAGTTGGATGTAATTAATTTTAATTACTTGCTAATTGAGGTATGAAAATAAAAAAAATTTAAACAATTATTGCCTACTTAATTTACCTATTAAAATGACTAAAAATTTGGCTGTAAGAAATAGAGTTTTGTGGAATTTTCTATTCAGAAATTTTTTATTAGAGTGGCATAAACTTGTGGTAAAAATATGCAAATTTTTATTTAATATAATTATGATTATTGGGTTTGTCTAAAACCGCTGATAAGATTAAATATATTCTTACATAATAAATTATCAACAATTTTATTAATTATATAATATACACATTGAGTTCATGTCGGTCTATAATTAAATCGGAACTGATAAATTTCTTAAACTCCTATCGGATTTTTTTCAATTTAATCTTAACCGTAGATCTGATAGCTTATAAACTGAAGATATCAACATAAATTCTAGGCATAAATTCCGTAGAAAATAATAAGCAAATGTAAAAATTTATTAGCGCAATTGGGGAAAAACGCGGACCCGCATTAAAAACCGAAGATGAAAGGAACCGTCGAAAGGGCGAGAGTTCGCCGAGGAATATAAGAAAACATTTAGTAATAATTCCGGTTTAATTGCACGTTTCTAATTAAAGGAAGCCGCAGAGTTTCCCGGCCGCGTTATTGTCTGCAGCCAAATCGTTTTTGTATTACTTTTAATTAAACGCGGGAAATTCGGGGGGCGGGCGGACGCAAAGGATTCGGATTTTAATGCGGAATTCGCCACTTTTAATTAAGCCGACTATTAAATTACTGCCACGACTTTTGCGTAATCGATTCAATCGGATTAAATTTCGATTAATAAATCGCTGAAAAGTTTTCCTCGGCCCGGCGATTCGTCTTGGGAAACGTTCCGAAGAGAAAAAAGCGGCTCGCTTATTGCCGAAACCATTAATAACATCTGTTCGTGTACGACTAATATGGAAAACTACACGGAACGCTCATTTTCGGTTATTAATAGAAGTTTTTGTTGCGAAACTTCCCAACAGGACGAAAATATTTACAGCCGGACGAAAATTTCACTCCTTAATTCACCGATTAGTAGATTAATATTTCGTCCTGTACGTTTCCCATCCGGCTCTCTGTGGCTTCCGCGAAATGAAGACATCTCTCTATGATTTATATTCCTGTTGTTTTGCAGGAAAAGTTGGTTTTGATTGCAACAGCTCGCTTAATCGCGGAGACTAATCGAAGTAGTTTTTCCGTTTCGTCGCTAAAAAACTCCCAGGATGAAATATGATCACTGCGGTGATTAAAAAAATTAATCCATCATTCGCGTTAATACCTTGATGCGATTTTTAAAAACCGAAATAAACGATTTATATTCATGACGGGCGGGTTTCGGGAGCGCATTCAAAACGTCTCCGAAAAGTTACGCGACATCCGTTATTATGTTAATCTGTCGGCGGGGGATTCCTCCAATATAACGAATAAAAAAACCGGTTTTATCGGGAAACCGCGAGCTTTCCGAGCTCCCCGCGCATAAATTCCCGAGGATCATCCGACGACGAAAGTTTTATCTTTTTAGTTGCGGCGGAACAGTCGAATTCTCGCGCTCGATTTCCCCGTCGAATCGAACTCCTTCGACCGGCTGGAATAAACACCGAAATCATCTTTCGGTAATTTCGCGAATTAATTCGAGCTCTCCTAACGCTAATTATCCGTCGTCATTGAGCCGGAGTCGTTAGTTCGCCCTTCTTCGTCCCCTTTTCTTAATTAGCCCACTCTCGATGAGTCCGAGAGACTCCCATTGAAAATTTCCCGGACTAATGCCGACGATGAATCGAGAGTTTAAAAGCCCGAGTTACGACTATAATAACTCCGGGCCTCCCGCCGTTATACCTGAACTTTACGCGGACGAAAAGGGATAAAGGTTAATGGTGTCTGATGCGCGATTTTTCATCAATGTCGGCATTTTTATAAGGAATATTCGAAGAAGGGTTCTCTCGAATTATCTGTCTTTCCAGTTTTGCGTCCGCTCGAAAAATTCGCTTAAAAGCTTCTCCGATTCCAGTTCCAGCCCGAGATTAAGACGGTCTTTTATACAAACAACCCGAACGAACGTTCTTTAATTATCTCGAGCACCTTCGCCGGTTCGAGATAAATTCCGGCGTCTTTTAAAATTCCGAAATCGCTTAGCCCTTAACGGCATACGTTCGTCGGTAGGGATTGCGGTGTTTTCTAATGTCCCCCGGGGCGTGCAAGAAGTTATAAAATCGGGGGCGATGGCTCAATCGCACTTTAAACAGTCGAAAGTCTTGAGGGGCGGCCGGCCGGCTTGGCGCAGAGGCGGCCCCTTTGTTTTCACAACGGTCCTGTGTCCACTAGCAAAGTGTTTTTTTTTGCATAAAAAAATGAGTGTAAATATTTGTTGTGCAAGTAGCAGGAAGATGTAAATTGTAGGATGTAAATTGTAGCTTGCAGGAAAGTACGAAAGTGATAAATATTCCTATACTATAACTCCCTTGTATACTAGGGAATTTTCATCGAACGCCGGCGATTTTCCTGTTGGCGCCACTGTCGAATAAGCTCCTCAGATTTGGAAATGGGTTTTCCTGCGTCGAAACACATTACAGACGGCCTAATCCCGCCAAATCCTGATTCATCTCTCCACCTTAGTCTTGTCGTTCATCCATAACACGCCCGGATAAAAGTCAAGGAAAAATTCCGCTTACCGGGCGAAAATTCCAAGCGCTTTACAGGAAAATGTTGCGTTATGCAGTTGTGGAAAGGCACTAATGGAATAAATGTATCGTTTCCTGGTCGTTTGAAAAATTGGAAGTAATGGATTTATCAGGAACATTAACAAGGTTACTTTCTTAAACATGATTGTAAAAAATATTTAGTGTAAATGTGAGATGTATCTTTCAACAATACCCAGTAATTTACTATATAAAAGGCTCCAGTAATGGGCCTCGGGTTAATTTCGCGTAATCCTTTTGTCTTACAAACGCATCTGAAGCGTATACAGACAGTAAAGGAACAAACAAGACAACAAAAAGCGAAATTGATATTTTTAATATTTTATCACGTATGCCTAACGCTATCTAAATAAAATCTTAAAATATTAAGCGAGCCCATTCGAACGGAACAGCGAACATTACGATTTTCGTTTTGTTCTCGTTTGTTCGTTGCTGCTGCTACCGCTGAGGCCCGTTCTCGGTGTCAGTAAACGACAACAAAAGGCCTCGGACGTTTTGTATGTTTCTCAAATACGTGCCCGTTGTTAAGCGCTCATAAAGGCTCAATAGACGATAAACGCGAAATAGTTTATCGACTGCGAATATTATTCGCAGTCGAATAGAGTTCCACTAATTGTAGATTTATCTCGCGAGTTATAATAATAGAGCAGCGGCTCCGGCAAGATGGATCGTCGACCTTCGACGATTCCGATCGGACGTTATGAAGATGTTATCGAAGTGACATTTTCCGAGATCTTCGCGAGCGCTCGAAACGAACAAAAATATTCGAAACCTCCGCCGCAGCATCGAGAGGAAGGAATTAATCAAATAGCCGGAAGGAAATTCTTGCTTCGCAATTTATTAATCGACAAGAATTAGAATATTCGAGTGTCCTGTAGTCTCCGTTTATAGCAATATCTGATGCAGAGATGATTTTGTTGCGGGAATGCGGGAAAAAATTATGAAGATTTAACTTTCTCTGGTCTACGAGGAATCATTAGCGGGGAATTGTTGGAGCGAAATTACTGTCATTATCATCTAATCCGAGTAAGAATTGATGGTAATTGACTTCGGCGATTTCGTGAATAAACTCGGCATTTTATCGTACGGTCGGTCGTAATTATCGAGCCGAAGAAGTCGCTAAGCGGTCGAAGAAAATCGAAGGAAAAACGTCTTTGGTTGAAACGTTTAAATTGCAATGTAATTAATTCCAATTTATCGTCGTTATGAAGCAATTGGATTCGTCAATAAATTTAACCGGACGGTAAGATCGAAGTTCCAGCTCTCTTAATTATAAAAGGGTATAAAAACATTCATTCGGATTTATTTCAATCATTTGTTAGACGAAAAATGTTCGTCTTAGCAGAAATGAATAATTTCTCATTGTCGTTATCTATTTATAATTTAAAGAAATGGAATCCCGGCTCGGGTAATCCGCTCGCGTCATCCATCATGCCGTTAATTAACTATGATCTTAGTTATTCCATTAATCTCAATAAATGACGGGAATCTTTTTCCAACGATCTTGCGCGCTCGGGACGAACGATTTACTCGCTATTTTCATCGATAATAATTCCGATGCAAAAACTAATCGAATTCGAAATTAACGAAATTATCTAAATTAAGATTCAATTCGATACAACAACAAACAAAATTGCAATTGACTACATAGTTCATTAAAACGTCACCCACAGCAATCGAACACCCCCGCCCATTATCGGGGATCATTTATAATCAAGCGACTTGAGGAAAACTTTTCTCTCGCCCATAAAAACCCAAAGCCCCGACGCTTATCACTTCTTTTACACGGAAAACCATTTAAATTGCAATTCACTCCATAAGAAATCTCCGACACTTTCCAATCCAATACCGCCGCCCACCGCCCGGCTTTTCCGCGCTCCCTTTTGCTCTCGCCCGCCCGAACGGCGGGAAATTTTTTACCCATTGCACCCCCAACACCCAGTTTCACCAATTAATTTCGAAAATATGCTTATAGATGCTTATATATTAATTTTTATGTTGGGTGATATATTAATCTGAGAGATTTTTCTTTGAGCGATTCTGGATTTTTTCCTACTTATTTTAGCAAATTACGGATTACAACAGGATGTATAGTGGAAGTTCATAAATCCTATTACAATTTTTCCTCTTTAGATACGAGTAAACTATAGATAATAGTTCATTTAATAATTGGTTATTGATTTATGGATTGACCGATATAAAGTTCGACTTGTTGAGTATATGTGGAGGAAACCGGTAGTAGGACGTCACTGGTTCCATCCGGAGAATGGAACTGCTTTAAAATAATGACTATTCTATGCATTGAATTTCCCACAATGGCTTTCTGACGAGGAAATATCGCGGCGTACTTGATATCACTGTATCAGTTTCCTCTTCCCTTCCGCGTGTAATCGAAAAGGCTTCGCGTTTCGGGTACGCGCGCTTTTCTTTCTCTCCTTCGTATTGATTTATGCGATTGTCGCCGGAGCGTTCGCAGAGAAAACCGTACGTTCCGAATTCAAAGCTTGTTGTCGCCGGGCAAACGGCTCAATTACGGCTCAATTCCATTTCAACCAACGTACAGAAAGGGTACTTTCGCTTCCCGTGCAAATAGCAGGACGAAAAATACGTCCAAGCGTGGGCTCCTCCACGACGAAATTTATCGCGCGGTACCCACCGTAGGTTTCGTCGAAAGTTATGACGAAACTAGAAATGCCCATTGTTTCGCTGTGCGATCGCAGATCGAAATGAATGGGGTGGGCACACCGGAGATCGTGAAAAAACAATATGCCTTCAGCTAAAGTAGCGAGTGAACGACCGCTTTATGCTCGGCGAGTCTCTCCTGCGATCGCCGGGTACTTACCTGGTACAACGTAAATACCAGTCCGGCCATGTTTTACCTACATTCGCTTAATTCGCTACAACTAAATGTTTAGATTAACGCGCATATCGCAGGATATTTTCGCTATTCCATGCAAGGATCGCATCGTATCGGGAAATCTCAATTTCGACAACAAAGCACTTTTAAATAAACCCATTTCGAGATGCTGATTCGTTCTTCCTATATATATGCATACGCACAAATCCTGTTGTGAAAAGGGAGCAACAGCGCAGCCACCGGTAAATTCTCTCTCCCGAAATTTAACCTACTCTCCTTTGCAATTTCAGATAAGCGAGAGAGGCCTAATCAAATCCCCGCGCTATCCGAGGAGTTATACGAAATTCGTTTGGGGCATTGTCCGGGCGCGAATGCACCGCCGGAATACGAATAGACGCCGGGGAAATGCGTCGGCGAAACGACGACGCCCGCCATCGTCGCGGCGAAATGACCCGTGCCGGATTGGAAACTGCCTTTCTCCAACACCTGGGGCGAGGCGCGGGTGATCCTTATCGTTTTCCGCGATTTTCTTCTTCCGAAACAACGCCAAGACATCGCTGTGGGGTTAAGAAATACTGCTGCTAATTAGAGTCAGTTTGGAAACAGAAGAGTAGAGTGTGAGTAGTATTCAGGATTGCCCGATAGATAAATTACCCGGTCCGATCAATCACCGCTTGTCGTGTTTACACAACAATTGTACCGGGGGCCGATTTTGGTAAATGAAACTGTTACGACGGCGACCCGTGGAGTTATAAACAAAAGTAAAAACACCGCCTGTGTCGCGCTGTCGACCGCATATGGGTCGCTCGTCGACAGCATTCCATATACGTGCACCATCTCACAATTAGGGTCATTAATTAAGAGGAATTTCAATTTTGTGGTTATGCCGATGACAAAGAAAGAGGAATCACGGACGGCCGATGAGGGACGGGAATGAGGAGATTTCGTCGAGCGCAGGAAGAGGATTGTATGTGGAGGAGGTTTCGGGAAGGAAGCGTTTTGCGGGAAACGTTGACATCGCTGGAGCGATTCGAAACGATTGGGAGACTTGCAGTGAAACGGTAAAAAAATTGGTTGGGTTGTTGGGTCGAGTCCGCTCCTGCGACGAACCTGTTAAAGTTGATGTCGATGTTACAGATTTATAAGGGAGATTTACGGCGGGCATTTCGCCGCAGAGATCTCGGAATAAAGTTTCCGATGGTATCGACTATAATTGGCCATTGGCTGTTTTCTTGCTCTTTGTTTACCTTTTTAGAGACAGTTTCCTAACAATTTCGAATGTTTCTCGACTTTTCTCGCTGGTAATAAACGCCCCCGGGGAGATGCGGACGCAATTCGATCTCGATATAGATTTATAGCAAATTGAAATGTATGAATTTACGGCGGCGAACGCGTTTATAATAGAGGTAGAAGCTAAATCGACATTTAGCGTGATTTTTACGTAAAGATACCATCTGAAGAAAAAGAAATTAAATCGAATTCCCCAACTATTCCATTATGTATCCCAAATAACACCCATTATCATCGAACCGTTAAGAAAATTACCTCTAATGCTACTGCCAACGTGGAGCAGGATTTCAAGTCATTTTGAGAAACCGACGTTTCCGCAGTTGAATAGTTCATCACGTGAAAATTTCATTAAAGCTGCGTGATGCAGCGCTTTGCCCCAATAAAACCGGAGGGTCCTTCCATCACGAAAATCTGCAAAAACTAAACCGATATTTCTACGGATAATTGCAGAAATATTGAGCGCTTTACGACCCTTTGTTTGTTCTTTGAATTAGCGTTAATACAAAAATAATCACTCTATCTAATGTCTTAATTTTCAACTCACATTTTTACCCAATAAACCAAATCTCGTTAGATTATTTACCAACTTTATTAAACATGCATTAAGTCGAACGTCCCAATCTCTTCTCGTTTTTCTCCATTAAAGTCGCAGCGCCGTCAACTTTGCTAATCTAAGTTTCCCGTTCGCCAGTTAAAGAGACAACTATTCACGAAGTTGTCCGGGAATTATTAATTTCAGTTAGCGACTGATTAGCGTGAAAGTTAAGTCGGAAGTTTCCCGTCAGGTTCGCCGCCTCCGAAAGCGCAACTTCGCAGAATCCTCCGAGAAGTTCGGGCCAATACAAACTCGATAAATGCGGAAAAACGGATACCAAATGCGATTCTCAACGTCTAATAACTCTGGTTTTCTTCGCCGGGAATCTCGAGTCCCATTGTCTGACAAGATATATTCATAACGGCGGGGCCCTACGTGTGTGTATTGCACTCGAACAATGAGCGAGCCCGACGGGGGGCGACTGGGGCGAGAGAAATTAATTAGATGTAAAGACCGCGATGATTACCCCCTATATCTTTCGAGCAAACATAAGGACCGCTCGGGTTTCTTATGTGATACCGGCGCTTGTTTAATGAAACTTTCCTCGAGATTGTCGCATAAAAAAATTTAATTTAGAGTACTAATATTTACAATAATAAGTCGATGTTTGTTGTCTTATATTAAGGTAGTGTAGAGAGTATGGTGTAGCTCATTCTTCGGATCGATCGGATTAGTAGGAAAAACACGAAATGGGCGAATAGATAGAGGCTCACGAACAACATTGGAGCGGTTTGATATCACAGTCACAAGAGTTTGTATTTATGTTGTAGAAACCGAAAAAGCGGTGCATTTGACACAGTTGTTGGCGGTAAATCTTTGCAGAAGAGCCTGCAAAAATATAACCTATAAATATTTTAACAATTTCACAACACTTTCGTGATATTCACATACCTATACATTTGACAACAATTAGCTGCAATTCTATCTTATTTGTGATTGGAATTATACACAACATACCCCGAATAACCACACCGGTTCAATCACTAAACTGTATGGCACACACCGTTCGAATGCGCATTTATTTTGATGAATGTAGGTCGACTTAATAAAAATTAGCATTCGCGATAAAATACACAGCTAGGCCTACATAACGCATTACCGCGTTCACTATCCAAAAAAATCCGTGCCCTCCGTTCGCTATTGTTCTATACGATTATTAACGAGGAAGGATTTGTAAACAAAAGAAATTTCGAAAACACCGGCGGGCCGACGCATGTAAACATCAACACTTATTATCTTATCAATTCCCTTACATATGTATGTATTTGCAGTCGGATTAGGTACATTTCGAGCGGTTCGGTAATTAAAGGACCGGTTCACTGATCTCGGAGATGTTTGTGTTTTCCAATTTTATCGACGGCGATTTTTAAATTGCATGTAAACAATGATAAATAATTAATAATGAGCACCTATTATCATTGCTTTCGACTATTGTGTTGCGAGTTGTATTCATACTGTATATTCAATCATATACAGGGTGTTACTTAGTTTAATAATAATAGACTAGGGTGTACTGTTTAGTTTTAAGCCAGATTCTTGTATTCATCGATGTATTCAGCAATTAGTTTAGTGATAAATGAAGTATTTCTAAAAATAAATTCTAACTACCTTCATCGTAATTCGGCAGAAACGGATTTCGAGCTGCGCCCACTACGAAACCAAACACAACAATGAACATCAAAATAAATTTCGGAAATTTTGAAGCCAATTTCCATACTACATTATATACAAATATCCCATTAAAAAACAGATTTTTAAACAAACAAGGTATTTGATTAATGACAAAAATGTTTTTTATTATTCCCAGTAGCAAACTTATCATTAAAAAATCGCAAAATATTTTTCCGAATCATAACCAACTGCTTAATTACGATGATTAATTCCTTTTCGATAAAAAATCATTCCTCAAAACCGCCGGAATATTAGGGGAACCGGCCCTAACGCGGAAACCCAAGTCGTGTAAAACATCCTACCGGACTGCGCCACTTCGCGTAGACGCCAATCGTTAATCAAACCGCGTCGAGCGGGCGCTGGGGCGACCCGTCGAATTTATTCGGCATTATTGACTGCACACCCCGCTCTCGGCTCATTGCTATTCAAGACGAACGCGAGGCCACCATTTTGCATCGCGGGAAAACCGATTCCTCGCTCATATTGAACAGCACACCCGACTCGAGCCTGTCGCGTCCTGTCCGAAATTAAAAACCCGAATTCCGAACATGATGGATCTGCGTGAATTTCCTCCGCAGAGCGGGAAAGGACGCCGAGCGGGCGCCCACGGTAACGACGCCGCAACAGATGGAAGCCAATAAACAAGCAGTCCTTCTGTTGGGCTGAATGGCGAGCGGAGCAAGAGGCCGGGGACCGGCGAACAGAGCGACAGACAGGTGAACTCGAATTGTACGTGTGGTATGATATAACGCAACCGGTTCCAGAAATCTTCGAGCTAGAGTTGGACGTCGATCGTTCGTAGGAACTGGTATCACAAGAACAACCCAATCCAACATATAATACACAAAAAAAATAGCTAACAAACATACACAAAATAATGTATGCATCAGTTAAAGAAGTCATCGCTTTTAGTTAGATGTTTTACGCAGGTGTTATGTAAGAGGAGCTTCTGAAGAGGAGCTTCCCGCCTCTATTCCTCGGTACCTGTCCGTTCGGTTTATGTGATGCGGGCAGATATATCCAGACCGAGCATCGCAGGTATAAAATCCGACCAACTACCAATGTAAAACCATCATGGGAACTCGGGTACTCGCAATAAAATGATGAAGGTATTGTCTGCGAGTGAAGTGGCTCGCTCGATTTTAATTCCGACGGATTTTTTTTCCGGTCGATCCGTAATTCTATATAGCTGCAATTCATAATGAATGATTGTTGTTGTATAAATGGTAAAATGTTGACAACGCGACGATGGATCGGATATCTAAAAAACAAAATGTTGGGCTAATTCGGAGTAAAGCGGCCCCGAGGGGGAGCGAATAAAGTGATTTGTGGCGTTTTCGAACATGACTTCGTCATTATCCTAATAGCTTTTGATTCGGATTTTTAGGGGTTAGACAACCCCTTTTTTCCCTATAAATAGCGAAGCTTCGGACATCCTTGCTAATCGGTTAATGTCGATTTGTTTTCGTGCCGTTTTTTCCGGTTATCAACCAGAATAATGTGCTTTGTAAACACACGGACAATAAATTTATAGAGTTCACTAAACCGCTATTAACATTAACATTAATGTTAATAATAATAATTGCAGCTTACGCAGTAATCACCAGTGGAGGTGATAAACGTTTTTATTGGAAAAAAAATGATCTCTCACTATAAAAGATACGATCTTTCTGTCAGATTGCTATAAAAATGATCGGATAGCGCTGCTGCTGCGCGACCATAATCAAGTTACTGGAGCGTCATTATCCAAGCAAGAAAAATAAACGGCATTGTTGCCGGTTTTTTGTCAATAATCCTCTCTTTCTTTTTGTATTCCTCGTATGCCCATAAATATATCGCCGAGATAAAATCGTGAACTTGTAAATTGCATGACGAAAACGTGCAGGCATTTCGGTATTTTCCCTCTTCGACGGTCGAATATGGTAGAGAAAGGTCACATTACGCGTTTACCGGAATCATTTTAATGCGTAGAGTAGACCACCGTTTCGGATATTGAAGCTCCATCGCCAAAAATCAACCCAGAAAAACCAAATGGTTTTCGGTAAATTCAGTGGAATATTGGCAACATCGCAAAAAAATTGCTAGAAACTAGGCAAGCCTATATAATAAAACAAAATCGAATAATTTGAATAAATTATAGTCGTATAAACTTCGACTTGACAGTAATAGGTCACCCTCTAAATGCAAATGAAGGAAAATGCCGTCGTTTCGAATAATACAGAAGATTAAAAAACATCAAAGTGGAACACCGTAACTAATATCTTAACATGCCCGAGGCCGAGGGAAAATTGAATTATACGAGAATGTCATGAAATCCGTCAGGTGAAATATGGCCTTTCCGATAGCTTATCGGCTAAGTAAGAATGTTTGCACCAGATAGAGCCGGCGGTTTTCCTCCGATTTTTTTCCAGCCATTTTTAGTTAAGACGAAATTAATAGCGGATTTATAAGACGAATGGCCCATTTGCGTGCTAATGCGTGTGTGTGTTCTGGGTTTTTTCATTAGAGAAAACACCGGGCGAGAAAATGTTGAAGAAAAAAAGCCCTAATCAAAAGTTTTTACGAAGCAAACTTCTCGAATAATCCCGGAGGAGAACTTTCTTGTAATTAACTGTATTCATTACGGAAGTCTTACAAAGTACGTAAAAATTGTTAGTGTTTCGCGAAGAGTAATAATCGTTTTAATTAGGAGGCGAATTTGTATAATACTTTCTTTCAACTTAAGCAACCCTTCGCTTCAAAACAGAGCGATTTTCTCAATTACCCTCTCATCAAAAAAAGTTGCTAGGTGCTGGTAAATTTATTCTCTCCAATAGGGATGGATTGTAAATACATTTTACCCATTTGCGCAATTAACATAGTCGTGCGATCGCAGGAAATGGCCTAGAAAACAACAACGAAGTCGCTTGTAACATTCGTTCTCGCCAAGACTAATTAAGTCATTAAGGAAAGTCCTCATGCAATATTAATTAGAAATTACATACGTTGGAATTCTAAGTCTTAAATCTTCCGTCTCTCGGCTTACATTTTTAATTTCGCCGGCTATTTTTTTACCACTCGTGACAAATATGTAACCGAGCTAGATTAGTCGATACCTAAAATGGAACACAATGGCAACGTCGACTGTGTGCACAAGAACTGAAAGAATCTCCGTACGGATTTTTATCGCAGGAAACAAATTGTCAGTAGTCTTCGAGGATCGCGAGAGCGCAAAAAATCCTCACCTACGTGCAATTGATTTATCGGTATTATTGCCGTTGTAGCGGAAGATTCGTACGCATTTTAAGTAGGTGCAAGAATCCTTCGCCCTTTGTTTCTCTTCCCCCGCTGCTAATGATAAATCGTCCGGGGAATTAGTTAAGCTAGCTGCCAGTTGATTCGCAAATATGAAAAATATAGAAAATCCTATCGCGTTTGGCTAGCGATTGAGAGTGAATTCGGTTTAGAATTTTTGACAATTTTTTGTTTACTGTGGGAGGTGATAGTGGGATCATGCTTGATGTATTTCTCCACTAATCCGCAAAAATGTGTCTACTCTGCATATATTTTAAACCATATCTGCGCTATTTGAATACTGTTGGCGTCGAACAAGAGCCTAACTGTACAAGCAAAACGCAAAAATCCTCGAACAAGTGCATGCATAAGATCATCTAGAAAGAGTACCTACTCGCGAATGACTCGGTAATGTTCGCTAACTATACAAATACAGAAATTTAGTTGTCGATATAAATTATTTAGTTATCGATTGCGTAGTATACGATTTTTCTTCGCATAAAACACTGGAGGAATTCTTCGCTTCTTCGGACTAACGGGATCGCGCTTACATCGAATTATGTGGGATGAGGAAGTAACATCGAAAACCACCTGTTAAAAGGCGCTGTGTCTATGAAACATTTTGTTGCATCTCAAATCGGTTCAGTTCAATGTTGGATACTCAGTTACATGCATACGGAGTGATTGCAGTGGTGTGTTTTAATAGCGGCTGGTATTGTTGAAAAATGAGGGTTTCGGGGGCGCGTCGAGGATTCCCGTTCCGGGGAAAGTTCGTCCCGGATCCTGCGCCTTTCGGGCGAATGCACGTGGTGAGCGATAGCGAGTCGGAAGGACGACGCCGGGCGGGCTCCAATACACTCCACTTGTTCCATCAGTTTCTCTTCGCCTCTGCGTCGTGGAGCAACGTAGTGTAGCGGTTGGTAGCGCCGGTTGTTCGATCGCGAGGACGCTGTTTTTTTTCGCTTTTGGAATATTATTTTTTTTTGTGATTTTGTGTTGCGATCTGCGGATCGGCTTTTATGTTGTGTGAAGGTTTTTTTTGTATGTCAGTTT